CAATTACAGTAAGATGGTCTGCCCAATGATGCAATTGACTGACAATGCCCCCTGGACTTAAGGCCTATCTCAACAGTCAGCATTTAATGATCTCAAACACTGGCTATCAGAGAACATAGTTTTTGCCATCCTAACATAAGATGGAAAATTCCATGTCGAAGCCAACTCAAGTGAGAGCATTATAGGTGCTATCCTCTCTTAAGAACAGGATAGCAAATAGCACCCAGTTGCATTCCTTTCTAAGGCTTTAACCATTACAGAGCACAACTATGAGATTTATGATAAGGAGTTGCTCACTATAATGCTTGCTCTGGCCAAATAGTGGTATTACCTCATTGGATTAGTTCAGATCTTTGAAATCTGGACTGATCACCAAAACCTCTGGTATTTCTGAGTGCCACAGAAGTTGAACTGCTGGCAAGCTCAGTGGATCATAGAATTATCCAAGTACAATTATACACTGCACTACAAGTCTGATGCAGCCAACAAGAAAGCAGATCTGCTCAGTAGGAGGGCAGATCATGACCAGGAAGGAAACAACAATGAGGGAGTCATAATCCTGAAACTGGAACACTTCCATGCAATGGTTATGCTGACAGAAGAGGAGATCCATGAGTGCATCAAGAGTGCAACTCAGGATACCTAGAAATAGGATCAGCAAGTGGCCCCATCACTTAACCATGAATGAGGCATAAAGAAGAAGGAGGAGGAGATGATCTGCTATGATGGGCAGATCTATATTCTCAGAGATTAAGCTCTTTGTGGTGAGATCATTGCCATATATCATGACCACACAACCACTAGACATCTCAGCATTGCTAAAACAAAAAAGTTAGTACTCCAGGAATACTGGTGGCCTAAAATGGGTCAGAACAAAGAACAGTATATCAAGACATGTGAAACTTGCCAATGAGACAAGTCTTCCACTCAACTATGAGCTGTCTCACTCTACTCAAATGAGATTTCATTGTCACCATGGACCCACATTTCAGTGGACATGATCACCAGATTACTGGACTGCAACAACTATGATATCATCATCATCATCATAGTCAATTAATTTTCCAAGATGATCATTCTGATTGTCTGCTCAATGGAATTAACCTTGGAAGGATGGACAAAGATTCTCCACAATGAGGTGTATGCCAAATATAGTATGCTCCAAGTCATCATCTCTGACAGAGGCCTACAATTCATCTCCAAGTTCTTGGATAACTTATACTGACTCCTCCACATCAAACAAAATACATCAACCATCTATCACCCTCAAACAGACAGTCAAACAGAACAGGTGAACCAAGAGATAGAGAAATACCTCTATCTCTTTATCAATTATCAATAAGATGACTAAGTGGAATGGTTGGTACTTGCTGCCTTCTAACACAACAATAGAATCCACTCAGCCATAGGCAAGACTTCATTTTTTGTCAATCATAGGTGATATCCCAATATCACTCAGACTGAGTGTGTTCACACTACTATGCCCATCTCCACTGACTTCACCATAACTATGGCAAAAATACACACTGAAACTAAAGTGGTCCTTGAAAAGACTGCTGCAACAATGAAGAATCAGTATGACAAGCACCATCATACTGCCCACAAATATTCAGTCAATGACAAAGTTTGGCTGGACACAATGAATCTCTATCTCTCATGCCTGAAATGCAAACTCACTGACAAATGAACTGGCTCATTCTCTGTACTGACAAAGATCAGCAACTCTACCTATAAACTGCAACTCCCAGTTATCTGAAAAGTCCACAATGTCTTTAACAAGACTTTGTTAACACCCTACATCACATCAGCATTTCTGAACTAAGAACAACCACTGCTGCCACTGTCTGATCTGATTGATGATAAAAAACACTATGAAATTGATCAGGTATTAGACTATAAATTATGAAAGGTCAAGGCCAGAGGTGGTGGGATAACAACAACCATAGACTATCTAGTCAGCTGAAAAGGCTATAGACCAGAGTCAAATCAATGGGTTAATGAGCAACACATAGATGCAGAGAATGCTATATGAAAATACAACCAGAAGCATTGACCAACTTAACAGTCAATGTCTTCATGAATCTCATAAGAAGGGCAGGTTATATCCTCCCAGAATGCCAGAACTTATTTCTAAATTAAGCCATCAGAATGATGATTTTAAGAAGGAGGTAATGTTATAATTTTTCTTTATTTTCATCTTTTATTCAAGAGATTGACCTCTATCTTTGATTAGTCAGGGCACTTAGCCAGTGCTTAGAACCATAGGATGGGCTTAGTCATCACAACAACACCCAGTCAGTCATTGTTCTTCAACATGACAGTAACTGCTTGACAATAGACAATACCCTTTTGTAGATAGCTTAACAACACTGGACAAAACACTCTATAATACCAGGATGCACAATTAGATAGTTATATCTATAGAATGGATGATGACTAGTATATAAGTAGTGTAGCTCTTGCTGTAGTATCCTCAGCTTCAAGCTAAAGTTTTATTCTTCACCATCTTATCTTGAGTCAATCTAAAGGCCTTGTGATACAGAGCCACATAACACATTTAGTGAACTCTGACATCATTGCCTGAAGTGCAAGGCAGTGTCAGTTTATCACATGTTTAGGTCACATGTCATTTGGGCTTAACAACCAGCTTATATAAAATCAGCATTGACATTTAAGTTCCAAATGAGTTCTTCATCATCTTCATCACTCTAAGCAATGAATGCACACTCTACTTCTGAATCACTATTAAGGCCTATGGCAGCATTTGCAGCACTCAGTGTCTTGCCACTGTTTTTCTTGTCATCAATCAAGCCTTGTTTCATAGGCTTATGGCAGTCTTTTTTCCAATGATTATAACTTTCACAATTGAAGCAACTATGATTTGAATAACACTCCTTGGATTTGCCTTTGGCCTTGCCAGATACAGCTGCTAATGCTTCATCTTCCTCTCATACTTTTCCCCCTTTTTCACTACTCTGCAGATATCAATTTGCCTTAAAACATTGGTGACAATCATACTCTTCTGAAATCATATTTATCAGAAGATCAGGATCAATATCTTGCTTGCAGCAGAGTATGAGAGTGAATAGTAATATTATTGTCATCATTGAAGTGACTATTGATGATATAACTCTCTTGCTAACCTTCACTGATCCTACTATGTTTGCTGCAAACTCAGCCATCAAGAATAGAATAGATGAGAGTATTGTTGAATGATAATCATCATTATTAATCTTGACTTCATATAAAGCTATTTTCTCTCTCTGTACTCATAGCTCTTCCAGAAACTGACATATATTAGCTCTATCAAGATATTTTGAAGCAAGAAAAGATTGTCAAAGGCTGGTTTGAGCATATACTCCTTTTTCCATATAATACTTCACTATTCCAGCCCACTGTTCATTGATGATAGCCACATAATAAACTAAGTATAAAGTACTATCATGAACTTGCTGAGACAATAAGAATCAAGAGATGGCTTCATCTTTATCTCATTGATGAATCTCAACAGCTTGATCCTCAGTAATAGAATGTATGTCATAGCTTGAATAAAGAGTAGTACCAGTAAAGTGACCCCACTTATCTTTAGCTGCCACAGCTATTTCAAAGTGAGTAGCAAAGATAGACCAATTTACTCCATTTGTCTCAAGCTACAGCATGGAGGCAGAAAGATTAGTAGAATCAGTTGATACACTTGTAATAGTAGATATTTGCATAGAGAGCAATAAGATATGGAATAATATTAATTGCTTCAAGTTCAGTTCAGGGTGAGACCTATAACCTGAAAGAATTTTGGTATGAGAATAACTAGATATGGTCAAAGTAAGCTCAGCTGTTATAGTTAACAGATGAGAAGAGCAATCAATGACTATTCATACATAAATGGCTGCTGAGACAAGAAGCACAGGTACAAATACAAGGAAGATTATGGAATAAAAAGACCAGAATTAGATGTCACAAGCATCATAGTGACACATTTGTCCATGCATCACTTAGCATTTCAACAATTCCTTCAATTTTCCTTGGATTCTTTCTTTACTCAGCATGCAAGAATGCTGGATTGCTCAAATTCTCCACAGATTCCAACAAGTTCTCCTTCATTGCAGTGCATATATGGCAGTCACATCTTGCTCCTCTTGCTGCAGTTGTGGTTGGGGCCATCTATAAACTGGGAGATCTCTTCTGCTTCTCCAACCAAACATAGGTTGTGTTTATCACAGAGGCATATGCTCACTGATGGTTGAGTTAAGAGACATATTTTTTGGTCAGCTTCAGAGTGGAACCATATTGGTTGACTTCTAAATATTTCCCTAGAGAAGGCTATTCCCCCATGTAAAAGCTTCTCTTGCAAGGGCCATCTGGTAATCTCCCTTCTGCCACTGGCAAGGTCAGTCATGTGGAAACAACATAAGCATACCACAGCATTTAATCTGCAGCACACCAACAGGTGATATTTGTCCTCTTGAGCCAGGTTGGTATACTAGACCAGCCCACTACAGTTCAGTTGATGACTCCTTCCTGTTCCAATGCACGTGCTTCACTGATGCCTAAGCACAGATCTGCAGCATACATCAGTACCTGTCTTGCACTTTTCTCCAGTCCCCAGGGGATCCCAAAGTACAACACTAACCACTCTCCAGCATCCCAATGATACTTGAAGCTTAACCAATGGGTTTTGGCCAGTAAGCTCGGGGTGGCCTGTCTCTTCTCAGAGTCAGCTGGTTTTCTGAAGGAATATCCCTGTATTATAATCCCCTCCTCCAGATTCAGGAGAATGGTGCTCAAAGCTTAACCAATCCCCATCCACTGAGGCCCATTGCTGGGTTTTCTAGAGGATGGTGAGGAAACTTAACCAATCTCCTTCCTGTTGGACCATCGAGCAGGGTCTTGCTCAGGATGGCAGTTTAATGTCATGCCAAGGACAAGATTGATCATAACCTTAATTGCTGCCCCACCCACATGATCTGTAGCTGTATTAAACACAGGAAATATGCCAGCCTAACTGTTTCACTCTGAGGCAATATGCTATTCGTCGATGGTCATGCGCTGCGCAGGTGTTAGATTATTATCACCTCCATCTGTGGGTATAAAAAAGTGATGCCTGTCTTCGTCTGGTGTTCGTAGTCATGGCCAAACTTGCTTTCCTACTCAAACAACTCTGTTTCATTGTACTCTTGCTCTGCGTGTCGTACACCCGCGCGCGCTACTGCCGAACAGTTCCTGGCGACCCAAGCTTTCCATCTGGTGATGAATGGAACAGTCTGAATTATTCTCTCTCCGGAAGACTTGTCAAAGCGGTCCCATCCGCTGAGTTTTGCGATATGCATGGCGGCTGCACTGACGCTGAATGGACCAGCGCGGTTTTTCGCGCCAATATACCTGGAGCTATGAATCAAGTGAGACGATTATCTACTGTCAAACTATCTCGCTGAGCATTCTGGCGCTGTTTTTGACAGGTCAATTGGGAGCAAGTAGGTTTTCGTTGCGCGTCAAATGAATACGTAATAACTTCGTCTTTCTTCAGGATTACGAATCGATACCTCCCTCTATATGCGAGAGGAATTCGACGGATTGCGGTCAGGGCGACGTTCCATTGTATGCTATCTTAGCGGAGTCTGTTCAAGACGTGCAGGTAATGGAATTACATTAGTCGTTCAGCAACGCACAATTGACACGAGTAAAGGCTGGTATCGAATTTTCAAGCACTCACAACCTTCGACTTGCAGTTAAGGCATCTGGACATGACTATCTGGGACGATCAACCGCGCGCAATTCGCTACTGATTTCTACACACATGTTTCAAAATATCACCTTCGTTGATAATTTTACCGTGAGCGGGTATGACGAAGGATCAGCTGTCACCGTTGGTAGTGGAGTGCCCTTGAACACCTTATACAAGGCGGCCAAGGAGCAAGGAAAAATCCTTGTTGGTGCCGTTGCGGCTACTGTCGTCGCTGCTGGTGGCTACATTCAGGGAGGTGGCCATTCAGCGCTCTCACCTCTCCTGGGCCTAGCTTCAGATAACGTCATCGGTAAGTATTTACTCCCTTCACTTATAAATGTATTACTAATGAGAAGACCAGAGTTTGAAGTCGTGACGGCCAACTCCACATATCTGAAGGTGAATGGAAAACAAAACACTGATTGTCAGTCTAATAGTTTCCTCTAACTACATATATACGAGTTTCTTATATCTTCTCTCTCCCTAACAGTATTCTGGGCATTACGAGGAGGCGGTGCAGGATCATGGGGTGTCGTCGTGTCCGCAACATTCCGTACCTTCCCTACATTCAGTGCAACATATTCGCTTATATCAATTGCCGTTAACGATACTGTGGCGATTGGCTCAATCATGGCTTCACACGCCAAGCATATCTTTGATTGGGACGATCTCTACGTGGGCCAATACTTTTATGCCTACGAGAACACCACGGCAAATGCTTATATGCTTGCTTTGACCTCCTACTTTCCTAAAACCTCCTCCGACGATGCTTCTACCGCCCTGAAGCCATTCCTAGATGAAGCTAAACAGTTTGGGCAGATTGTTTCACAACTATCCATCGAAGGCAATATAAACGACGAGGTAACGTCTGTCGACGATGCAGTCGGCTTTAACGCTGTGTTGGGTTCAAGACTTATTCCCGAAAGTGTGTATCACGATCATCCTGATACCATCGGACACGTGTATACTCAACTTTTTAATGCTGGGGCTGTTGCGTGAGTTGCCTTTCGGTATCTACTGATATTGCCATTCTGCTGAACTCTATGACGCAACATAGCGTCCTTGGTCACCTAGTTGCGGGAGGTAGGAGCCTCTTAATTGCGCGAAACGTTCTTTGCACTCACTTGACAAACCCATCATAGGCATGGTATCAGAAAACGGGTGTATTGACTCTGCCGTTCATCCCGCATGGCGAACAGCGAAGACACATGTGCGAACATTTGTATGTACTTAAACTGATTCTAATCTCTTTATTAGATTGTCCTTCCCAACATCTGGGAAGACTCTACGACATTGTCAAATATCTCCTTGATTCAGAACACATTTAAGAACTTACAACTACCTATCCTTGAACAGATCGCTGGATCACCTGGTGCCGCGTACTCCAATGAGGCTGATTCTTTGGAAGAGGACTTCAGAACTACATTCTTCGGACCCAACTATCCGCGTCTTGACGATATCAAAAGGAGGTACGATCCAATGGACCTTTTTATTGTTGCAGCAGGTGTTGGTAGTGACAGGTGGGACAAAGACGGACTTTGCAGGGTAGACTGAACCGAGCTCTCGTTAACGTCGAGTGTCTAACATTCTCTCCCCATCGCTCTGTTCCTTTTCCTCACTGAAATAATACTTTTCTCTTGGACTTATTGACGACCGACGTTAGTTTTTGACTATTCTCCCCATACTTACGAGTGTGGGAATCCGACGTTATCTCTAAAGATTTTGGCCCGGCACACACCCATGTGTCAAGGGATACGACCTTTCCCACGAAGGCCGTCTCATCGTCAAGCACCATCTCGAGTCGACAGTGATCGTCAATGCATCCTGGTCATATTCTTTAGCAGGAAAAGGAACCCGCGGCGTGGTACACAATATACTACCTTATGTGAGATAAGTAGTAGGGAAGGGGCCTAGTTCATTCTGGAGATTTGAACACCTTCATCTTCTCGGCACTGCATATGGACCCGATCCAATTGCTTTTAGGGAGTAAGACTGGGCGAAGCAATCCGCTGAAACGCATAAAATCGGACAGTCCCTAGTAATAAGCAGCAAATACCTATACCGACGGAATCTTACAGTGCCGAACATATATAGAAGACGACTTACGACGCTGAACGACAGGTAACTGTGACCAAGAAGCACGTTTTGAAAGTTTTATGAACTTCGTCTGTCATTTTAATATCATGTCCGTATTCTCTGGCGCGTGGCCCAGAGGATGCCTCAACGATATAACCGTAAAACAGCTATAACACGACAACAGAACTGAAAGATGTAGACGTAGAAACTGTAATAAAACAACGGAAAGAAGGTCCACAATAAAATTTAAAAAATGAAAATGAACGAATGAAGGGTATCGAAAGCTTAACGTGACGTGAATGATAGAACCGATGTATCCATATAAAACAAGGTAGGAGGGATAAATAGAGATGAAACCATACCCACAAAAGTCTATCAAAGGAAAGCGTAAATGATCATTCCTCTTCTTCTTCCTCGTCTTCCTCCTGAATGGCCTGTCGGAACGCAGGTCCTGCCCGTCCAGCAGGTAACTGTCGTCTTCCTCCACGAGCCTCTGGCGCAGGATCCGTTACCGACACAGGCGACGGTCTCTCCGACACTTTCTGCCGCGCCGTCCCGGAACCAGATGGCGCATTGGATCCCTTCATAGCCCTCTTATTCCTATGTCCTCTTGGCGCCGGTGATAGAACCACAGGTGATTCTATACGATGACTCGGTGCAGAAGACAAGGACGACGTGGTCATCTGTCCCAAACCCCCTGCATATGGAACATCGTCGTCCTCGTCCACCCAATCACTCTCATCCCCCAAATTGAGCGACTGACGCCCTGAGAACACATCTCGGATCGACGTCCCCTCTGCGGCCGGCGAAATCGAAAGGACCTCGACAGGTAGATGAGCTGTTCGGGTCTGCCACCCCGGCGGTTCTAGACCCCATGACTTCTTCCAACTTGATCGTCCGATAGAGTTGCTGTATCCATAGATAACGGGATTCGAAAACAGGCCGTGACGTTTCTGGAAATACATAGTGCTACCAGAACTATAACTGCTTCTTCGCGGTGTTTCATCCAGAGTCCGTCGTGAATGTGGACGAAATGGAGATCCTGTTCTAAACCCTTCGTTATCAGAAAATTCATGGAAGGACGTGGGTCGCGAGGAACATGGAGAATGGAGAGAAGATGTTGTGGAATTTGATCGAACATGAGCTGGTCTGGTCTGTACCTGACGTACGACCCGCGTAGAGGAGCCCGAACCGCCTCGTCGGTGGTACTTCTGTATTGGAGAAGCTGTCCTAAAGTGAGTCGAACCAGCTGAGCTCGCTGAAGGTGACTTGCGATGCCTTTTTGAGATACTCCGAATCGACGACGGTCGTGATGAATACTCTCCCCGTTCCGAGTTGGGCGTATGGGTTCCAAAGGATCGCATCCCAGGCACATGAGGAGAATCTAGTACAATCATCTGTACAGAATTCACAGATGACCTTCGGGAATTAACACTACTCGAACGGCGAGATGAAATCGAGCCACGCTGAGCTCGGTGCCTGCCACCCCGGGCAAATTTACCTCCGCCTGCACCTCCACTGGTCCGTCTCTTGACAGATCCAGCAGAATATGACTGTGATGCCGACATCACAGGACGTCCTCGACCAATACCAGAAGGTCCCTTGGCAGGAGAAACGTTTCCTGCGTTCTCCTTCCGTTTTCCCTTTCGATCCTCATGGAACCATAGCCTGAATGCAGTGAGCAGATTGCGCTGGGATCCATGACTGCCTTTTCCAGTGGGCGTTAAATCCGATGCGGAAGTAGAGGTCATTATATCTCCGGGCGAGTTCGCTGGAGTTGGTGCCACAAGACGAGACCGATGCGGAGAAGAGTCTCGTGAGTCTGTCAGCACCCACGGTGACCCGATTTGTTGGTGAAGTTCGTGAGGTGGAGGTGTAGTCGGCGGGCCCTTAGTGGCCTTCATAGGTGGTGATTTAGTCAGCTTTGAGACTGACGAGTTGCTTCCGTATGAGGATCTAGGTTCATCTGACATCCCGCTCTTCCTTTCCACTTCCCTGGACCTCTCTCTGTCTCTGTCCCGTTCCCTTTCCTCTTTCACTGCTTCAGACGATTTCTTACGGACCAAACCCGCAGCCTCAAGTGCCGTTGTCGCCCGCTGCATGATGCTGACGCTGCCAGACCTCGGTTTGCGCACCTTGTGCTCTTTCATACTTCCTGCTGGTGTTGTCGGGTGTGACCGCGATGATTCTGCCACCATCGAGGACGAAGGTGAAAGGGTCCGTGATGTTGGAGACGCTGTCGAACGAGGTGGTGTGTGAGGGTTCGGCACAAACGTAGGCGTTGGTGGCACTATGGCAACCTGCGGGGTACTTCGAACAACAGTCAACGGTGCAGGAACAGCCGGCTCTGTTTGCGTCCCAATACTGACACCGTGCTTCGCCTTGTCCTTCGCATCCTTTATGTGCGTCTCTATGACCGATGCAGGAGTTGTAAGATTGTCTGCATCCTCCAACAACTTCTTTTCCGCCTTCCGCTTCAACATCCACCACAAAGCTCCAGAAGCATCGCATGCATCATTGAGCACTGAGTAGACGATCTGACCGAGGTCAAATCCCAGCATACTCAGTGAATTCAACAACTCCCGCTCTAATGGTGTCGAAAATATAATCGGTGCTGGGGTGCTCAATAAAGAGGAAAAATTTATATCCTGTCCCTGCGGCCCGGGCAATGTCGGTGCTTTCTCTGCTACCGGAGACTCGCCATCGGAAAGCTGAGAAGAAACCGAGCGACGCTTCGTGCGGGCCGGGGTCCGAACCGAGTGTACTGGTGGTGCCTTGGAGCTTGACGAGAGAGAGCGGTGGGGCGGTGAAGGAACTTCAAGAACATCATCTACTTCTTCCTCCACCACAGTCTCTACCTTCGTGACTATTGAGTCAAGGTCGGACGGTTGAAGGGGACGTCTGATCGTGGTTTCGCTAGGGTTAGCGTGAATGGCAGGCGTAATTTTTGGCAAATCTTCGAAGGAATCTCCAGAAGAACGATCTGGAGTGGTAGGAGGAGACGTACCACAGGCGGAATGGAACGTCGATGCAGAATGATTAGAGTAAGAGGACGCTTCGGAGGAGCGATTAGATTCAGGAATGGACTGTAATGGAACATCTGGAGAGCTTGTTTCAGAAGTGAATTCATATCCGGACGCTGATAACACAGCAGGCACGGAGTTAGGGGATAGGTGTATAGGGGATTCTTGCTGGAATGTCGGAATTGTCGTGCTGAACCATGAGTGAGTCAAAATCTGGGGTATGGTCAGACGTTTAGCCGGATCCATAACCAAGATATTCTTGATGATATCGCGGGAGTCTGAAAAGATGTTTGAGACGTGGCTATCAGTACAACAGTAAGCTACGCACCTAAAGAAAGCCATTCGGGATCCTCAAATTCACCCTTTATAATCTTCTGTCGCATGACAGCCTCGTCATCGTCATCAAACGGTAGCGTCCCAGTCAGCAGGCAGTACAAGATAATGCCCAATGACCACACGTCCACCTCTGAGCCAATCATGAGGAGATAGCAACCAAGTACAGCATGAACAACTCACCCGGACCCTGGTACTTCTTGCCCTGTAACATCTCGGGGGAAGCATACCCGGTTGTCCCACAAAACGTCTCCATCAACGTTCCCCGCTCAAACTCCCTCGTGAACCCAAAATCCCCCAGTTTCACCTTGCATCGCTCGTCCAGTAACACATTCTCAAGCTTGAGGTCACGGTGGACTATGCCTTTCTCGTGGAGATACGCAACAGCGAGACAGAGCTGTCCAAACATGACTTTGGTTTCGTCTTCGGACAAGCGGCCCTTCTCGACGAGATAGTCGAAGAGCTCGCCTCCTGAGCAGAGTTCCGTGACAATCCATATCGAGGACTCGGTAGCGATGACCTCGTACATCTGGGCGACGTGCGGATGGTGTAGCTGGCGATGATGGTGTATTTCACGGGTGAGGGCAGCGGACATGGACTTTGGAATCTGCTTGATAGCAACCCGGGTCGACGTTAACCGGTGGGTGCCCATGCGCACTTTCCCGTAGGCACCTGTACGATCATCTACTGTTACCGCCGGTAGCCAGCCAACAGCAATGGACACACCTTCACCAATGACCTTGCCCAGTGTGTAATTTCCGACTACTCTGACTTTATGCGAGGCTAATTCCTTTCCCAATTCGTTATATGCGTTGGCGAGCTGTGCCTTTTGATTCTGGGATACGGAACCGGAATGTTTGTGTGCGTGACCAGTAGACATGACGGCATAAATGCTGAAAGTAAACGAGAGACTGGGGCCAGAATTAGATGCGGTGAAAAGGAAATTATGCAAAAATAAGAGAGCAGAGCAGGACGACGTAAATGTTTGGAAGCAAGTTGTGCAGGATGATTTCTTGAATCGGAAACCGTGGCGTGGGAATATCACCGCAGTATTACTGAGCACCTATCCAACTTGCCATAGAGGCGGGTAATTCTCAGACAGAAGAGTAGGAAAGACGGCGCTTAACCTATCTTACATTCGTACATTTTTCTGAAAGTTAGGGTATGTGCATTCTGCAAAGGAGTCATTTGCAATCCGGAGGAGGTACATAGCGAAAGAAAAAACGAGAAATTAGTCCAAAGCAAAGTACCACCTCTCTTCGTGATATTCAATCCTCAAAATCACAGCTACTCCACTGATGACACGGCGGAAAAAGAGGAAGGGAAAGTAAGACTATGGAGCATAGATACAGACTAAAAAGCGAAACGTGAAACATAGCTCATTTCTGTGTCGCTTTGACGATGGAGACCACGATGATAACAATAATCACCGCAATGGCGACCCCGATAATAATTCGCATCTGGCAGTTTCATCTGTTAGACACCGACACACACAGCGATAAAAACGACAGCAGACCTTCATATCCTTCCACCTAGGGACGGGTAGTTACGTGAATAGAATTACAATAGCAAGTGACACGGAACCATGACATACCACATGTTCTGCATAAAAACATCAGAGAAAAGCACTATAATAAAGACACGAACGCACCTTTCGGACTCGGTTCGCGCCACGACGGAAGCCTTGAGCCGACACCGCAAGATTATCTGAAACGAACAAGGGCAAAAGATGATGTGTACCGTGAGCTCACCATCCAAGACGACATGAAGACCCATAAACGCACCTGTCTTGTCCTGTAACGAATCCAGCCGCTCTCCACGCTCTGCTACCTTGGTGATGTTCTCCCGCATAATCCCAACAGTGTCGTCAATCTGAGCCTGAATAGCAGCAGTCTTCGCATTTCCGCCTCCCTGACTTGTTCCGGTTGGGTTTGAAGACGAGCCATTGCGAGGCAAATAAGGGTCGTAAGGCTCAGACCTAGGCAGCGGGAAGGCATTAGTGTGCTATGCGTTGATTCCCAAGTACTGGTACCGACATTATGGAAAGGTGATCTGTCAAAGGGGCCGTAAGTGAGAACGTAGGGGACTATAAAGAAGGCCAAGGAATCCAGTCTCACCGTTTCAAACGATTTTGAAGGAAAAGTAGGCGGACGTTAGTGGTACAAGCAGGAGGCGGCGCTGTTTGTCACGCGGGACCATCTATTTTGGCGGCTGTTGCCGAGGCGTGACGTCACAGTAACGTTGGTGGGTCAAAGCGTTTAAGATTGAAAATTGAAGACATTTGTATAATATAATACAAGTACACACCATACAACTTTGGGAAAAATCGATACACGTAAGTACAAGACACAAGACTTCTGTTCTGAGCTTAGGTGGCCGCAAGTATATCCGTGACAATCTCCTTCAGAATGTCCAGGTCCACTGATTCTCCAAGAAAGCTAGGCAATAAGGATAGCTTTCATATTCCGGCTCAAGTTCACCTGCGGCGACATTTCCACGATAAACTCGGGGTGATGTCCCGAGCAGACTCAATCCCCATAAGCGAGGCAGGGTGCATTGCCAATGCCATCATGGAGTCGTAGTACCGACGACGCATCTGCTCGTCGGCTGCCAGACGGAGATCGGGCTTACCAGCCTAGTCATCATCCTTGACCGCAACATATGTCAGCGCAAGTTAGATAATGAAATGCGCACTTACAACACTCGGAGCCAAGTGCTGTGACCATTCCACACCGCTTACTGCGATCCGCAGCCAGCACGGCATATCCAGTGCAGCCGCTAGTAATTTACCTATCTCCTCGACCAATCACTGGGAGAAATTATGGCCCATAACACAGAAATATTCTAAGAGGGTAACAAGATTGACAGTCGGACGACACCTGCGAGTTTGGGGCGTACCCCAGCTTTAAGGGCGTCACGAACTCGCACTTTTCTTCGCCACTGCCCAGTATCTTTCACCATGACTTGTCCCTCAATTAGGGGTCTGTGTTGGGCAGTCAGGACCGCAAAACGTGGATGACGGCTGATCGACCCTGATGAAACATCGGTCGGCATTTTCTGTCCAGCTTGTGAGACAGCTTCGTCCTACTCATTCACATAGCGTGTCTCCCACCTTAGTATAAAATAATATACGACCTTTCGAACCCCTTCGGTGATACTATCTGATCTATCTCATCCATCCGCTGAGGCACCACTGTCTGCTCCGGAGTCTATCCCGATGGTGTTAGGAATTTCAAACGGACTGTTCAAGAAGTATATGAATGGCTTGCACTCACATATCGGCCTGGGGATAGGATCTGTCTGTTCGGTAACTGTAGTCTCATTTATCTGAAATTAGCTACGAAACTGAAATTTCGCAGGATTCTCCCGTGGAGCTTACCAGACTCGAGTCCTAGCAGGAATAATCGAGAAGGTGCCGGTCTAATACGAGACACCCTCTACTTTCTGACTATTTTGTTGCAGCTTGGCCTTGTACGTAGCGCATGCGAATGTCAGGTTGCTCAGTAAGGCCTTCTATGATGATTATTTGCGTCTAACACTCATGGGCGCTATATAGTGCTATTGTCGACGACAACACCAAGGCCCAAGTTTAGGTCCGCAATTTTAAGCGTACATTCTTATGGCCCTCTGTCAGAGTGCATTTTCTGGGAACCTGCATTATTCTACTTTTATGGATAAAGGATGAAGCTAGGAAAGTCGGTCTCTGTTTTACATGACACAATGAACGGCCATGGTGGGCATGATAAACCTACCAAGTCTCTGCGGGGACTGGTGGCTACTTGAATATTGGCCATCAAAAGTTACCCTGATTCAAAGATTGGTCAATCGCGCTTCTTGAACGAGAAAAGAAGAGGCACGCATAGAGTCATTATCACGTTGGCATACTGTGGATAGCGTTGTACAATGCATGGAAATATATCAGCAGCCCTTAAGCTTCTTTTTGCCAAAGTTTTTGGTGGTGTCAGTGTGAGGCGGGTGATACAGGACTCGGGGAACAAGCGCACCAAATATTCTCGTATGCAAACTGTTAGGCAATGACTTCCTCGGAGAGCTCGCCGCAGAACTCGCCGATTATTCCTTGAGGACGCGAAAACGATTTGCGAAAGGATCAATTGAAGCAAACGTTTGCCGATATCACATACTAATCCTTCTATGCAACTTGCCGCTATAGATGAGCAGAATCATAACATGCAAAGAGCCCAGAGTCCAACGATCACAGAATGGTTCAAGCGTTTCTACTATGGATAACTTATATAAGTGCAATATGTCCCAAGTACAGGTGTCAAGTCCATGCTCCAGTACAAGTCCCCAAAGAAAACCCAACACTAGTCAAGGCGTAAGAAGCCCCACCTTCCTCCAATATCTCATCCATGAATCCACATCTCCCTTCTCGATCGTCTGAAACACCAAACTACGCATCGATGGGGATGCCCACACCGCTCTCCACGTCTCACCAAGCGTAAACCCAACCGCATCGCAGTTCTGGCTTCCCAGCGGCCTATAAGCTGACCGATAGAACTCCATCATTGCCAGCGACGGTATATGACTCGCTGTCTCCCCCGACCTCACAGACGCTTCCAATGCAGCTAACCATTCGGGGTAAGGCACTATAGGCACACCTAGTTCCTCACTAACCATCCGGAATATCTCCAATGCGTCCACGGGATTCGGACGTGTCATATTCATATATGGTTCACCACTATGCCGCACTTCGACAATAGCTCGGGCAGCTAGGTGGACAGGCATCCAGCTGAGAACCTGGCAAAGAACGCAGTCGGTTTACAGCAGAAGGGAACATAAGCTGGATAATACTTACACCATTAAGCTGTGGTATGCAGCCGACGACTTGACCGGATCTCACCAGGAGGGGGAACCACTCCTTAGGGCTCCAACACCCATTAGATCCTCCACTAAGCTGTCCCAAACGAGCCACAGAGATGCGTAACGGAGTCGTCTCTGCCGCCCTTGCCAGAACACTCTCTGCTACCCATTTCGACTCGGTGTATCCCCAGCCTATGGCTGTCGCCGGACGCGAATTCACTGCCTCTGGCGCTAACTGTCGAGGATTCCAGCCTACAATCACGACTCATCAGGTCTAGAAAGCCCTCCATCAAGGAACTGTACCTACTACTGAAAACCAATAATGAGCTGACGAAAACAAATGACGGCGGTACGTTATGCGGCGAGCCCAGCGCTAAATTGATTAATCTTCGCGTTCCCGAAATTAACGGCTCCAGTGTCGACAATGAAACAGCATAGTTCCGAAGCCAAGCTGAAAAAAAGGCACATTAGATCTCTTGGATCATGCCGTACTAAGAGAACCACTCACCACTATGAATGATACACGTCACATCCCTCCGGATCTCCTCATACACCTGTTCCTCAAGGCCAAAACCCTCCACCGTCAAATCCGCCTCCAGCAAAACCAGTTTATCTGAATTCAACAGCGCCCAATCCAGTTCCCTCTCCCGGAAACTGTCCACATGTCTGATATAAACAGACCTCGCACCCTTCGTGTCCCCGCGATTCAGCGCATACACACGTGTGACTGTTGGATCATTGATCAGCGCATCCAAAATATACGCTCCCAAGGCTCCGGTAGTCCCTGTTACCAGAACTACGTCGTTGCCTCTCTCACTCGGACCCAGACCCGGACGGTGCACGGGAAAGTCACTTGTGTACTTCCTCACCAATGCCTCCATCTCGGCTATCTTTCCAGAAAGGGTGGACAGAGCGACTGAGGCATGGCCATACTGAATCACCTGCCAAATGTAGGTACCCAATCGTCGAATAGTTGGGTTAGAGTACACAAGAGTATGGGGTATATTCCTTGTCGATATTTTTAGTGATCGATGGAGGAAGTGGAAGATCATGTTTCGGATCCATGTCGCCTGCAAACTACGTCCGTTTGTCAGGTCGAATATTCCAAAAAGCAAGGCACAAAGCCTACCTGTCACATCCCGCTTGGAATAGGTCATCGTCATCCCCAAGCGAGCAAGGCATATACTTTTCGACAGCCGCTCTCGCTAGCTTCAAAAAGTGCTCTTGCTCCCACATCTCAGGACGATGCAAAGGCTGCGCGACCTCTGTAGACTGATACGCCTGGTTTATTTCATCATTATAATCCTGCAGAACTGCGAACCTCCGCAGCGTCAGTTTCTGCGAGTATTGAAAAGGCTTCGCCGGGTCAGTAATAATGATCATTTCTCTTGTTATTCTTGAATACTCCGGTAAGGATTCATTTACTTCCTCCACGTGAGGCCTGGGAAAGCTAAGTGAATGCCGCGGCTCCCGAAGATGAAAACACCTACCATATGGCGTCAACGTATTCGCTGACAAGATCCCCGTCTTTGATATCAACTGCATATTCTCGAGAGGGCTCGACAACAAGCCCCGGATGAGGTCTTCCTTTCCCGAACATTACACAACGATCAATCATTGGATGCTTTGATATGGCCTGTTCTGATGAAAGCATTGCGGCCGTCAGAATAGATATACGTGAGTCGGAGAATTTCTTACCTATCGGCACAGGATTGGTCTGTTCATATAAACTGAATTAAAAAGACGCATGATATAAAGGTTATTGTGACAGAACCTTTTCGCCATTGGTATATGCGATGATGTCAGCGGTTCGCCCGTAGACTTTCCAGAGATCAGGATTGGTGGGGTGGCGGATGACAAGATCATGAGTATCGAAATATTTCACGCCGCTCGACTCCGTATTTACTACGTGTAACGGATGTTTTGATGTATTCTGTTATGTTTAATCACGATGTGAAAGGAAGCTTTGTGATGGTGACTTACAGTGAAGAGCAGATGATAAACATTTTCACTGAATGGTATGAATTTGGGAGTGCTATGGGGGGAGAACTGCAGGGCTTTGTGTTAGGGGTACGTCGCACGCTGTTCGACAGACTTGCCTTGAAGTACGTGCAACGACTTGGGTCAAGGTCGTCTGTTAACAGAAATCAACTCTAGCAGGATATGTGGGGATAGATCTTACCTGGAAGGAACTCGGAACCACAGCCAACTTCTGTTCTGTAAATGAAACAAAAAATGAATCCCGCTAAGATCCAGGTCATACAGCAGACTACTCACGTTCCATAGAGGTTGACCACATTCACGCCATGACTTGCAAGGAAATCTCCGATTTGTCTGTCCAAAGTTGAGCCGGCATAGGTCTACAATAATGCTCCGTCAAGTACATAAATTGTCATATATGAGGAGAGCATACCACGGCAAACAGTTTTTTCAATGCTGAAACATAGTCAGGATTCCTGGCCCATGTCTACATCTCACTCAGCGTAAAGAAATCTTCCAGACAGAGATGACACCTCACCTCTATCATCGACGGAACAGTACACAGCAATGTCGCGGACGTCTTGACGACCCCAGATATCACGGCATCCGCGTCAGGAGGTGCAGGGCTGCGCCATGGTGAAAATCCCGCCACCGCCATACCCGTACTTGCCTACAGATGGCATCACATTATTATGACAAGAAATCACGGACTAAGCGGCGTACCGTCCATGACAGCATGGTAGCGCCCAGGATATCTGTCTTTTGGCATGAGTCATAATTAAGTCCAGGAAGAGGGTCTTGCGTACGAGTCATCGAGAGAGCATGGGCCGAGAGAAGGTGGCCACAGAGATCCGTTGTACCGCAATCTAGGGAGGATCTCAGCGCCGTCAAAGGATAACGATGAGGCAGGACTCACATGGAACCCAATTCCATTGTAGCATAGCATGATGTGTTATGATAATCGGCTTCGGGAACTCAGTTGTACCTGCAATCATAATATCAAGACGCGGTCGGTCACGGCCCGAGACAGCACACGCACCAGAAGATGGCAATATGAGGCATGGATCAGTTTGTCGCGGATGAATTGGAGGCACGGGTTCGCGCTCGTATTCGGGTTCTGAGAATAGTTCCTCGAAGGAGGGCATTGGAGCGGCTTTAACGTTATCTCCAATAGTCCCACCAATGGACGGCACCTGGAGTGCAGCACAGGCCAGGGCTTGCGATACCGGATCAACACCGACAAGCAGGTATTTGGCGCGTGTATGCTGCAGCAGATGGGCGATACCAGCAGGCGTGGTGGTCACGGTCGATATAGGGAATGCCTGCTGGCCCGCGCGTAAGATGCCCATTATCGTCGTAAAGTAGCTGAAGATGTCTGCCCCAGGCGTCAGCGTCGACGAGGAGCAAGAAACAGGAGACACGCTCACCTACATTCGCCAGTATCGCGACCACTGTCGAAGTGTTGAGATGCTGCTCCTTCAAGTTCCTCCGTACCACTGACGCGGCTCTGTGCATCGCCTGGCCCAGTTGCGACCAGACAACTTTCTTGACGCCCTGTTCGTCCTCGTACACGAAGACGAGATGGTCCGGACTGTGGGACGCATTATAGTCATATATCTCGGGGAGCGACAAGGATCCATCCAAGGGCGGTGGAGCAAAGGTATCGCTTGCTCGGGCCTGGGACCGCGGGAGAGAAAGATCCATGAGAGAAGGGAAGCATTCCTTGTCCGTGTCTCCTTTATATTTGAAGGTCGAAGCGAGTGGGCGCTATATGCCAGTTTGATGAAATTCCCAGGCCCGGTAACAGGTCCGGTTACTACAATTGCGGGAAGCAGCAAGGGCCATATCCCGATGGCTTCGGTGATCCTGTTCTTTCAGTTCCAGCGCCCATCGATTCCTGTCACCCATCGGTTGACGGCTCAGCGCCCGCGATATCTTTCACCCCGGTTCACGCGAGTACTCGGCGGCCATCCGTCAAGCTGCATTGTTCAACAGACAGTAATATGATGATATTCGATATCAGTCACGTTTGGCGTTACCCACATTGTCTGATGGATTGCGTGAGGCTCACTAGAGCAGCTGAATTCTGTGGCGTCCAGGAAAAAAAAGTACCGAACATTATAATCGATATAATCGATCAGCCTAACGGCGCAACTGTGGGAAGGCTCATAGTCGCATAGATTGCATGAGGTAAAGGAACCATGAATAACGACAAGGTAGGTAACATCAAACTGCTCATCGTCCACCCTTTCCACCCTTCATCTGCTGCTTCGATACCTTGGGACCAGTCGCAACAGCAGGACGCGAAATCTACAATGCATTATTTCAAAGATAAAATAATATTGCAAACAGAACTCACCCTGGGCTTCTTGGACTCCTTTTCCTTCTTCTCGCTCTTAGCCTTCGTAATAGCAGCCAATCGTTGTTGTGTGCGAACATCCGCAGTTTGGTTACGCTTTGCCGCAATAGCTGCGAGGTCTGCACCGACGATGCCACGTTGGTGCTTCACAGTGCGTCGCGAGCGCTTCTTGGCGACCTCCTCCGTAATACCCTTCTTGTGCATCCGGCGGAACACCTGTGTCCAGGCGATCTTACGAGGGTTTTTGCGTTGAAGGAACAGGGAGGCATTTTTTGAAGTGGCGAATCGGAAGACCTGAAGGTCGGTGAGACTCTGAAGATAGTGTAGGAGGAAGCAGACGCACTTTGCTGTCACTGCGGACGAACAGCTTGCCCTTGCTGGGGTAGATACGGTAGCCGGAGAAGGAGTCAATCTCGACCTTCTACACTCAACAAACGCATATCAGCATTCCATTACTACGATATAAAGGATATAACCACGTACCATCTGTAGAAACCAGAGTTCCGAGGGGAGGGAAAAAAATCAGTTCATGTCCAATACTACATCCAACGGGATCTGGCAGAATCCATCCCAAATTTCCCAACGTTGGCAAAGTTTTGGGTAGCATTGGAAAGCTACGAACGCATAGACTCCAGGTGCAGACAACCGGGGAGAGAAACAGCCAATATTTACTCACTTTAACGAATTCTTGAGGGACGCAGGTACCGTTGGCGGATTCGATGAATCCCAGAAATGCTCCGGCTAATGCCGAAACCGTGGTAATATGGTACTAAAACGAGTTTTCCGTTTTCAGCCTTTGGTATCACACTGTCGCTCCCGCTGGCTCTGTTAGCTGTACCATCACCTGCTTCGTCGATCTCCGAGAAAATGCAGGGGAAAACGTAGTAGTAAAAGAAGTTTATGCCCTTCTCATGAAGCTACCTAACGACGTTGGCCTCAGAGCTCTCTTTCCACAAATTCCTTATATATCTCTTGAGCTCAGCTGTTGGATCGCTGGAGGACCGGCAATGATACATTCAATGGATCAAATATGTGGTCTTCCCGTCCACATTCGTACCATGTAGGTCAAGACGGTTATCCACGACAGGGTGTACATGTATCTGCTACACACCCTCCTTCAAGTGGTTGTATTTGGCCCTTGATCCTCAACGACTTGCGCAATCTTGGTTTGAGCTCTCCAAGGTGGCTTTGGTCAGCATGATCAGACGATGTGTAGTTGATGTCCTATATTCCTACGCAACCTGGTACGTGTGTGAGTATCCGGGGCATTTTCAGGATATCAGTCGGCGTTTGTGGATGACTTGCAAACAATCCCAGAGAACGCGGATGATCTTTTGTTTGATTCGTCTAACATCCATTCTTCTAGGATCGAAACTACTTAGTGTCTAGCACACCAAAGATTCCGCCCCGCACTGCAGCAACCGAATACAGGATGCATATATTTTTACAACTCGTGTTCGACTTAAGGTTTCAATAAGATGTTACTTTACAATGTTGGATAGGGTACCAAAGAAAGTCCTGGGGCGTAAAGATGAGACCGGTCTATCATCTAGGGGTATAATACGACAATGTCCGTTCATAAACGAGGCGTGCTAACTCTCTCCTCGGGAGCGTACTTTGCCTAGTATAAGACATTGAGATAAAGATCGCATGAGATCACTTGCTAGCACTCACCATTTCGTTCTCCTTCTTTTGGTAGCCACATTTTTGGTAGAACGCTGCGAAAATCTTAATACCCAAGCTATATAACTAAAAAAAAAAGCAGACACGCACGTATATTTGCATCGCTGCAGTTCAGTATTGTCTTGTAGCACCCGCTATTCTCGCTGATATATGTCAACGCTTGAATGATCCTTAACCCGAGCTTCTTTCCCTGCTGGTTCTTGTCGACCGCTATATCCTCGATATGTCCGACGCTTCCGAGGCCACGTAGGAACTTGCGCTCTATAAACACGCAACCCACGCCAACGATGCGGTCAGAGGCCTTGTCGACAATGACGATGGGGTAGTATGTCTTTGGGGCTGAACGCATGGCATTGAACTGGGCGACCCATGCTGACTCGCCCGGGTCTGTCACGACCGTCAGGACAGAGAGCACGTCGAGCTGGCCACGGTGGTAATCGCTCGAGGCCAAAGGGCGGATCTAAAGTAAACAGAATGTGTTAATAGGGATTTCGAGTCGACATGAGAGGGCCACGCACATGTAAATCGGCGGGTAACTGCTGTCTAACGTCTGGGCAGATGAGCTCAGCGGGGAACAGGAGTTCCAGAGCGTCATCAGAGGCGAATGAAGGAGCCATTGGCCAAAAAAAGGTGAATGAAAGTAGAGAATTTGAAGAATGGGCCCTGGAGAGAACGATAGTAAGGGCGCAGTGGCAGTTGCCAAGGTCAAACGTGGTTCACTACATGTCATGGTTTTATAGCCGTCATAGCATAGCCACCGCATGCCGCCAGCAGCATTAGCAGTGTACTTAAACTAGTGCGCCACCGTTGCCCTTTGCAACTGCTTTGCACCGCCATCGCACGGGGCAGTTCTTACGCCGGGATAAATCATTTCTCGGAAACGGGACGGCCACTAGTCTACCCCATTTTCTCTCCGTCTGATTGTCGACATGTATCATTGCTAGCAGTCGGCAGCCGCTTTTTGTGACTTCTCCCTTAATCTCGTAAGTACGAGGCGCTGCGCAATGAAGGAGATGGCTAGCTTCTAAACCGTCTTTTGTTGGCACCACCTCAAATTTGACAGTTCGTTTTCGGTACTAAAGGGTGAGACTACTATAAAATACCTAACACCTAACTGGGAACGGGAACGGAATCCTGAATGAGACATGCCCTTTCTGTTCTGCATCCATTTGTTCTCACCCTCCCACCATGGCCACGCTCCCTCCAGAGCTCGTGGAAATCGTTCTTGAAATACGGTACTCTGGAATGTCCTCTGTGGTCCGACAGTCCTTCATGACGACCTTCCCTCGGATTAATCGAACATGGAAAGTCGTTTGCGACTATATTGCTTCCCAAAATATCTGACGGAAGCACGCCATACTAACTGGGAAAGGTGTGTAGGGAAAAGTCAAGTATGCAGTGAAAACTGGTAGATGACAAAACCCGAAGCTCTGAATCGGGCCGAGTCGGCGTTTGTTTGATAATCTTCCCCACTCCTTCACTCCTTACCGTCATCCCACAATCGTTTGTATACATTAAACCTCACGCTCATTACCATATCCACTTCTACGTTCACTGGTTTTGTATCCGCCCATACCATGTTGCTCAAGGTCGCAATTAGCTGCTTAGTTGGGCCTCTTCTAGTCCTTCTATCACTCGCGTTTTGGTATATGACCCGAACATTAATGTCTCGACGGCGGACTGTCTCTGACATTGAGGTGTGTTACGAACTCTTCCTCGCCGTTAATGACTGTACAGAGAAATGCAGGTCAATGTCAAAGAATCCGCTTCTTGCACATCCGACATCTTTCCGACCCCCATCGACTCCTTGAAGTCGTGCCCGTCATTTTATCTCGGTACTAGTACCGCCGTGTCTAATCCAGATCTTTTGCCTCCTCCCCTGTCTTTATGGCAAGCTGCGGATCAAGTCGTCTGTACTTACCCGCGACCACGCTCGAACTTCTCATCTTCGCAAGCAGGCACTTCCGAGTCATACAGCCCCACAGACTATCCTGCTCGACCGCCGCCTGCTCCTCCGCTCTATGCCGATGTCATTGTCCCGTACAACCACCAAGTTTCTCTCTGCGGAGGGTCGAACTCTATTGCTTACGGGTATCGAAAGCCAGATTGCGTGGATTATGCCCGCCCTTGGGTAAGACGGAACGCACGACCTGCAATGACCATCCCGCCGCTCATCATTGTCAAGAAAGGTTCAAACGCAGGTCCTTCTCTACGTCGTGCCAGCAAAATCGATGTGATCTCTGCAATGTCATCTTCGCCATTTGTCAAGCGAAAGGAAATGGCCATACGTCCAGGCAAGCTTGACTCGGAAACCAATTCCATTCTTCCTTTCGTTGACAAGGATCTTCCTCCGGCTCCGTTGCTTCTTGTGGATAAAGCATCTGTTCTACCTTTTGTCCGCACTGCAGATTCGTCGTCTCTTTCTCCTGCTAGGCAAGAGCAAGAGTCTCCCTGCCATACTCTTTCGAGAACAACGAAATCAAGGTCTCTAGTTCCCTTCCTTGACGAGGAGAATCTTCTGTTGCATCCTCTGCTTTCTGTTGGCGTAAAGACCGCTGGGACGAGGCATCTGAGTATGCAGATTGTCAAACCACCAATACGAACCGCAGAAAAAGAAAATATCCCCCCTCTTATCGTCATAAAATCAAAACGGACGTCTACGCCTCCTCTTTCTCTAACCAAGAAGCGGCAGCTTGCGACCGAGACGATAGCGTTATGTGATGTAACCGATACGAAGAAAAGCTGGGAGGTGTTTAGGGCTCGTGGTGCTGTACGAAAGGAGCTTGGTCCTCTCTGTCTTGTCAGGAATGACGGCGAAGAGATTTTATAGGTACGATTTTGGAATGATTTTTCTAGGTCGGGGTTTACATGAATCTTGGTCTATCTGTATAGGAATTATATTGATATTTTTTTCCCTTCGCCTCAGCACATTTTAGTGCCTATTCTTTCTGGCTAAGGATCGTCAAATTGCTTTCCTTTGGATATGCTACGTGGCTGACATTGGCAGTCTGGTGGATTCGAATTTCGTCTCGCCTCTGGCATCTGCCCATGACGCCGACGCAGCTAGTTGGCAGGAAAGCCTGTCGTTGACAGAGCCATAGCAATTTCCGGGTCCTATCCGAGTCTTCTATTCTCCGGAATCTGGAAGGCCCTTTACACTGAATGCGGTCTATGTAGGAGGGGCTGCTTGAAGGTGGCGTCATTGTTGAACAAGATGATGGCAACGTCAGGCTTCTCAACAACCTGGGTGGACTGTTTAAGCCGTCTTGGTCCTGTATGAGATACTTGAGTAACTGTTAGAGAGCCCTACCATCTGACAGAGTATTTGCGTTGGGCCAAAGGAGTGCATGTTCTCTGCGGGATTTCTAAAATCGAAAGAAGTTGGTGTTTCTTTGAAAAGAGATACAATAATCAGTGCATCCCGCACCGCAAACGCTCGACAAACGTTCTATTGGTGCGCAATGATGTCCAAGTCAGAAAATCACTAAATGATTAAATATTATCGCCTGTAGATAATTTGAGAGGTACAAGATACAGCTTCTTAGCCTTCTTTAAGTTCATATACCACAGGTGTCTCCAGACGGCCATGTCGTGTAATAAGGTGATGATGGGTGGATGGATAAATTAAGTTTGCTGGGGTAAGAATGGAGTGCACGTGTCAGTGACGTAACCAATATACCCTCCTCATTTGCGACCACACCTTTTAACCCTCATGCATCGATGAGTAGCTGCCGTTCCTCCCATTCCACCCGAACGCGTACCTCGTCTACTGCACGACCACCTTCCTGGAGGACTCTCTCTTTAAGCAAGGGAACAGCGGCAGCTAGAGTCAGTCTGGTACACGCCGAGCCGGAACGGGGGCACGGATCCCTTAGATCAGCTATTGACGGGCTATCGTCTTCGCCAAGAAGAAAAAGGACACTGTCTAGAGATACCGGGGCAGACGTATCAGGCCCTAGCGGACTGAGCTACGAACAGAAGAACTCACCGAGTACGCCACAAGAGAGCAGTACAGAGGAGATGAAAGGTGTGTTTTCATGCAGACAAGGCAATCATTTACAGTTATTAACTTCTTTTGTAGTGACAGTGCCTACGAACTCCCTTCCAGGTACGAGTGCAACGGTCGTGCCGCCAATACTGTCAGGAAATGACGAGACGCCGCTTCCAGGTCTGTTTGTATGCGGCTGTGTTAAACATGGCTAATCCTCTTACCTTGGCGTCTGCTAGCTGTAACGGTCGATAAAGATAATGCAACACCGACGCCAAGTGCAAATCCAGATGTTCAACCCGAAGACGCACTGGAGCCTCATGCCGGAAACGACGATACACACCCTGAAGTAACAACCGTTCCGGCACCTGCACAGTCCGTCGGCACCATCCCATTTCCAACTAAACCTTCCTCTCCACCTCGAACTTCCTGGTTTGGTTCCCTAGGACGCTCTCGGGGGCGAGAGAAAGTGAAAGAGAGTCGAGTTTTTGTGGAGAGTAGCCTACGGGAGGCGAGCTCGAGAATCGACGAAGATACCTCTATGCGTGATTCGAGTCACGAACAGCAGAATTGTGATGTGAAGGACGTCCTAGAACCTCCAAAGGCTGAAGAAGATAAACCTCAGCCACTGAACGTACCAGAGGTAGAACCATTAGCGGTTACGCCACCTTCTCCGTTTCCTCAGCCAACGCCATCACAGCCGATCGATACACCCACTAGTTCGCGTCGATCATGGTTTGGTGCTTCGGTGTCGGTGTCGCCCCCATCAGCGCCTTCGGTTCCATCATCAATCGATGAGGATGTTCCTGCATTGTCTACTTCACCTCTACGCAGCCCTGAAAGTCCCCCCAAGAGGCCTAGAGTGGAAAGCGTTAGCAGTGGTAAACGCGCCAGACTCGATTCACTAAATCCCTCAAGCAGTAGATTCGCTATCAGTATTCCTCTCCTGGGGAGGCCAAAAGTTCCTTTGGAGGAGGCAATGGCTAGCGCTCCTGCAGTCATGGAATCTCATTCACAGAGTGACGAGCGAGATGAAACGGACACCGAGAGCACGATCACTGCTGACACCGAAATTACGATGATCACGACCACGCCAATAACCACGATAGCCGCAATTGAGGAGTCACCGGAGAAAGCGCCTGTGGTCGAGATAGTCAAGGAAGAGATTGTGGTCAAGGCTAGCGGAACGGAAGAAGTTGGGAACCGAACGTCGTGGTGGGATTACGTTGGATGGGCCGGGAGTGTGCGTTCAACAGCTGCACCCGTGCAGGCGGAAGAAATGCCGTCGACCGTAGACACCGCTCCCGCGGAGGATACTCCATCAGCGCCTGCAGTGGATGCTTCTCCTGTTGTTGAAGCACCGACGCCACAAGACGAAACGCCGAGAGAAGAACCTGTGACGGAAGCTCATAAGCTCAAGCCCTCTTCGTCCTCTGTCTTTTCATCAGACACTCGAGCATCGTGGTACACCCCATGGGCGTGGTATTATTACTCTACTACAACCGAACCTGCACCTACGGGCATGACACCGAGTGAGATGGTCAAAGAGGAAGCGTTGGCAAGAGATAGTGTGGAGTCCAATGAGGTAGTTATGACAGATGCCAATGATGGCAACGAAGCCCGAGAAGAGGTTAATCCTATAACTTCAACTATCAGCACAAATCGCTCTGGATGGGCCGCCTTTTTCTCTTCTGCTTCGTCATCGAGATTGGGGGCCAAGAGCATAGAAGATGTCAGGCCAAGTGGAGAGATGGAGGTTATGAACATTGATGAAGATGATTTGCCTAGTAACTCCGAGGCGAAGGATAGCCAGAAGCAAGAGGACGTCCAGAAATCGGGTCCGACTGATCAATCCTATGTAGGATCACCACCACCTTCTCCGACGCGGACGAAAGGCAAGGATGGGGAGACCAAGCGGGAAATTCCCCAACTCATTATCTCGGAGGATGTAAAGTCCAAGGCGGCGAAACGCAAGTCATCTGGATCGCGCTCTCCTTCTGCATCGTCATCCAGGTCTTCTTCGATAAAGTCTGGCACGACCACTGCATCCAAGAAAATGTCCGGTGCAACCACTCCGCCCAAGAAGCCAGTCGCACCACGTCCGCCGCCTCCACCAAATTTGGTACTGCCTTCGTGGCGAGACACCTTCCATTCGGCACCTCGGAATATCATCCCTGCTTCCCCGCAATCGTCAAGTAGGCTTGGCAGAACAGTCAGATTCCTCCTTGGAGGTAGCACCGATGGAGGCAGAGGAAAGGAGAGGGATATAAGTGCGGATGTAGGTGTTGGTCTGCCGAGAGCTTGGGATGTCCTTCAGGGAAAGTCGTCACCTTCGGAAGCTGGTATGGGAGATGTATTGAGAGGTTGTAAACGAGTTGTTGTCATTGGTATTCACGGATGGTTTCCTGGTACTATGATGCGGACTGTCCTTGGAGAGGTGGGTTCGTTCCACAATCTTTTCCACGACCTCTCTACATTCCTCGAACGTCCTCTTATGTTTGTTTCCTTAGCCTACAGGTACCTCTCCCAAGTTTGTCTCAATGACCCTTCAAGCACTTGACGAGTTCCAAGCTCGGCATGAAGTGAAGCTTGAGAAGGTGACAGGAATTCCGTTGGAAGGGGAGGGAACGATTGGTGGTAGAGTTGACAAGTGAGTCGGATATTTTTCTGATAAGCATGTTCTGACGATCTCTCCTTGACAAGATTATATACCTCGTTGACGAGCAACGCAGAATGGATGAGTGACTTGCATGAATGTGATGCCCTCATAGTTGCTACGCATTCTCAGGGTTCTGTCGTGTCAACCCACCTGTTGGACCGTCTGTTACGAGAGGGTCATCTTGTCACTTCATTCTCGCCTGGCGAGCAGGAGTCGTTGTCTCTCGGCGTTGAGCCGGGTCTTGTGGCAAGCAGGAAAAAGCAGAGAATTTGCTGCCTCGCACTCTGTGGTATCCATTTGGGACCCCTGCGCTACCTTAGTACTAGCTCGCTCTTTCAGCCTTACTTTCAGTACTTTGAGGGCGAGGCGACGAGAGAACTGTTTGAGTTCCAGGTATGGTGCAGTGTATTTCTGGTCGAGGAATACGTGGCTCAACTTTTGTAGAAAACAGAAAGTGACGTATCGAAGGCGTACGTATCCGCCCTTCGGAATGTTGTAGGCCATGGCGTCAGTATCTCCCGATATCTTGTTCTTCTTTTCGCTGACTTATGTTCTTAGGCGAAAATGATTTACATCGCGTCACTGAATGACCAAGTTGTCCCTCTGTACTCGGGCCTGTTCACAAACGTGAAGCATCCGCTGATCTTAAGAGCAGTCTACATTGATGGTGATGCGTATCAGTACGCAGTTTTTGACTCCTTGACGATTCTTTATGCTGATCTCTGCATTGGCAGCTCGTCGGACTTCCTGTCGAATCTTCTTGTCTTACTCCTTCGGATTCTGAACACCGGACTATCCGATTCTGGGCTGATAGCTCACTTGTCAGAAGCTACGGCTGGTTCTTTGAATGGCGTGGGTCACTCAACGGCGTATGAGGAGGTGGGAACATATGCGTGAGTGTCTTTATCTATACTGTTCACTGCAGTTTCCTGATCGTATAAAGTCTTGCTGTAAACTATCTCTTCCTGGCCGACGACGGCACCGATACCAACCAAGTTGAGCTGAAACTGGATGACTTCAATGCAGCAACAGAGCAGAATGACTATGAGGTGCCCTTCTTTTCTGTCCCTGTAATAAATACATATTGATCAGTGTACGTGCAGATTCCGTGGTCTCTCCGAGATCTCATTGCGGATCCTTCTATTCAACGGTTCTTCGAAGGAGAGTTTCTAAGCCTGAGAGATGCGTTCAAGGAGTGGCATCCCAAGACGACGATTTTGAGGGATGTTAAGAAGAAGTTGGCTCCAATTACGAGGATGAAGGGGGGTACGTCAGGTGGGATTCCACCACCCGCCATGCAAGGTAACAGTAAACTCTGAATGTTGTATACATGCTTTTTCGCACCAGGGACGGTTCTAGAATTCCATTGTAGAAAAAAGTCATGCTACTGCATGCAAACGCATACTCTTTATGTACGTATAGAAGAAGTTTATATACAGGATTGTAACTATCAGTTGAAGTCTGGGTTTCATCGTCCTTACAAGACAGCAACGGTCGTCGAACCTGGGGATATGGGGAACTCGGAATCCTACTACCGAGACAGTTCCCATATCCGCAGGTTGAATTTCTCTCTTTCGAATTCTCACCTATCTATACCGAATATGTCCTCCAGTCGTTTAAGTTTCTTCCCAACGGAACGCCGTGAATCCTGCAAAGATTTGGTCTTGGCTTTTTCTTATTTATATAGCTATCGGTTTTTAAGAATTTATTTATAAATACGACACCTTCTTCCCTGGCGCACTTCGTCCTCCCCCAATCATCCCCACTCGAGCTGAAAAAAACCTTTCGCTCTTCGGGCAGGTGAAATATCTACAACGATATCATTCCGAAAGGCCGATAGCCTTGGCAACGATGGCGATAGAGGCCTGGCCTTTCTCATCGATGATAGGGACCCTTGCTCGACACCAAGGATTCTTGGCGTGGAATGTATTCTTATTGGCAACTAGCTGGGGAAAACGATAAGGATTTTTCAACGTCGTGGCCATTCTGTCATGCGATTCGGTGGACACAGGCACGCTGGGTATAGGGCAGTTCAAATGGGCCACGAACACGTGAGTAGGCTGCGGTACTCTGCGTTGTCCTACGTTGAAATGTGCTCATGAGATCTCTAGGCTGAGACTTTATTTTTTTTTCTTAAAACATCTATGAAGCGCATGGTTCAATGTTCACTTCTGACTCGACTCTGGACTATGTCCTCAATGCCCGAGTCATATGAGACCGATGCCACTCAAATTTTTTTGGCTTGGCCCCGGCTCAGAGCAGAGCTGAACGTGAGCAATCCGAGCGTGCTCACGCGATCATTGGCTACATTCATGAAGGCTTCTTCTTTAGAGTATTTGTCAACGATGCCATTTTCTGCTCACGGTGGTGGGACATTATCAGGGCAATTCAACCGGGGGAATCGTCGTGCTACGGCCATTGTTTTAGTTGCTCACATATCCCACAGCAGTCGGATCCGAGCATAACGCCTCACCTCCGCTTTCGCAACAGGCTGTGAATTCTGCAAAAATCAGATCTTATAAATATTCGAGTGGTCGCCCAGGCATATTCAGCTCACCATGATTTCTTTGCTCGTATCGTTTACCATCCTCTCACTCTTGCGACCCCATCCCGCAGCTGGCATTGTCGTTGAGCCACAGCCAAGGGCAGACAAGCCTGCTGACAGTCGCTTGAAGGAGTTCACTATTGACCTCGTCAACAGTGATTTGGCGCCTGATGGCTACCTCAGAAGTAAGAGGAATCTATAGTTCCTGGTTAAACTAACGCGTTCAATGCCTACCAGGCATGGTTGTCGCAAATGGAACGTGAGTCGGGTCAATTTACTTAAATTTCTGCGGCTAACCCGTGTCACTGGCAGATATCCTGGACCCCCGATTTTGGTTAACAAGAACTCTTTCCTGTCTGTCACACTCAACAATGACTTGGTTCGTTCTTCAGTGTTCTTGTGAGTATTATTAGTGCTTATTAAAATTATCAGGTCGATACTTCCATGCGAGTATCCACTTCTCTGGTAAATATGCATTTCAATACCTTTTTTCATCCCATAAGAGCTCATTCACCTGCAAATAGGACTTGGACGGAATCTTCTACACCACAGAAAACTTGTGGAATGAAGGCAGCCCTTTTGTCACCACTTGCCCTCTCGCACCCGGTAACAGTTTCACGTACACTGTTGACCTTAGCGAATTTGGCCAGACGGGGACATACTGGTATCACAGGCGAGTGCCGTCATTTGAGTCATAAATGTGTATTGATCCTTTCCATGCAGTCAACTGAGCCTCCAGTATCTTGATGTATGTCCTTCCGGTTTTTTTAATTGCCCGTTCTGATTCATCACAAAGGGATTCCGGGGTCCATTGATCATTTACGGTTTTTCCTCTTCCTTTCCTCGTCTTCTTTACGGACTGAGACTTGTAATCCAGATCCGGATGACCCCTTGGCTCATTTGTACGATGTTGACGATGAGTCCACTGTAGAGACCTCATTTCCCGATATTTCACCGTACTAATCTGCCATCCTAGATCATCCAACTCGGTGACTGGTGGCACAACAGCACCCTGCCTATGTTCCAGCAATTCGCAGCCACCGGTATTATCCCGTGCGTCTCCCTTTATTCTGTCCTGATTTAGCTCTGAGCGCACTGGTTTTGCTAGAGTATCTGATTCTGGCACTGTCAATGGTGTTGGACGATTCAATGGCGGGCCCGAGGTTGATTGGTCTGTTATTAGCGTCAAGTTTGGCAAGCGATACCGATTCCGTATCATTAACGAGTCGGCGCGGAATGTTTTTACTTTCTCGATCGATAACCACACTATGACGGTCTGCTGCGCGCCATACGTTAAATAGGCAAACATACTTACGAATGCAATATAGGTCATTGAAGCTGATGGCCAGGAACTGCAGCCTTCGGTTGTTGACAGCATCGAGATGTTGGCAGGGCAGCGTTATTCTGTCGTGGTAAGTACTTGGATTGCTGTTGATCATCTACGCAGACTTAACATCAGTGTAACTAGGTGAAAGCGGACCAACGAATCGGAAATTACTGGGTCGATGCGCCCTATGTAAGTTTTTTTTTCCCGAGCATTAATCCTTGCCCTTGAGCTACATTATTTTGCAGGTCGGCGGAAGCCCTGCAAGAAACTTGAATCGTGAGTGTAATTTTTTTTTTCAAGCGGTCACGTCTGACCATCAATTCTAGAGAACGCTACTTTGTCCCGAGCTATTCTGCGGTACGAAGGAGCTCGGAAAGTTGACCCTACAAGTCCCATGACTTTGGGTCCCGTTGATGGTACTCCCTTGGTCGAGGGCCATCTCCGTCCCCTTAACCCTGAACCTGTGTGTTTGTTCCCTATCTATCTTTTGATCACGTTGTAAAAATTGATCGACAGGCACCCCCGGCAGATGTCAACATCACCCTCGAGTTCGTCGTAGTTGCCGGAAAAGCTATTTGGAATGTTAATGGAGTTTCGTATCTTCCGCCCGCGGTGCCCACCCTCATGAAAGTTCTTGATGGGGCCACGACTGCAGCCGACTTCAACGAGACGGAGAACACATTTGTCCTTCCCGCCAATTCCACTATCCAGATTGAGTTCCCAGCGAAGTTAGGGTATTTTCGACTGCATGTAAACTTATCGCTAACATAAGATGAATAGCGATGATGATGATGCACACCGTGAGCTACTTGTCTCTTCCCTCGCTGTATGGTTTCTCAGTGTTACCTGTGTACAGCTATTCACATGCACGGTGTACGTTTTTTCAGTTGTCTATGATTCAACAAATTCATTTTTCTTTATATTTAGATGGATTTCTGGGTTATCAAGTCTAACACCACCGACGAGATCAATACTGTGGACCCTATCAAGCGCGACACCGTAGCTGCCGGTGCGGCTGGTAGCATCATCCGGTTCAGGACTGATAGACCGGGCAAGTCTTGATTACTTATCTCCTTGATGTCCTTGACGGATTGTGCACTTTTATAGGACCGTGGTTCTTCCACTGTCATATCTTTTGGCACATGCAGGCTGGTCTCGCCACTGTCATGTTGGCCGATCCTGCTACTGCTGCGGAGAAGATTCATCCTGATGCTGCTTGGAATAGCTTGTGCCCCACATACGACGCACTTGCGCTTGAACAACAGTGATTACCGGTTTAAGCACTGAAGCTTCATCAAATTCATTACTTACCGGTTAATATATGTGAATTATTTCCTCGCGTTCTACGTCTCTTCTTTTGTTCCAGATTGGATTGGGGATATGCCAAAGCAGTATGTTGTCATCGTAGTGATTCGGGAAGGTTTTCTAATGCCCGAAATAAAAGAATCTATGGTGGCATGTACCCAAGTGTTCTCTTTACTTGCTGGTACCAATATTTTAGTCAAGGTAAAATCAGGTTCTTGGGACAGTCCGCCCTGTGCAGGCCCGGAATCACTAGATTCTGTGACGGTGATACTATACAAGTTGCACTGTCAGTCAGACCAATACAAGACGACCCCTAGATGACAAAGATCCTTATTAACTGCGTAGCACGTTAGTGATGCCGTTGACGACGGATGTCCAACCGCGCTTACACGAACAGAAGATCAAGACTGAGTCGAGAGGCGGCGTGAGAATTTACTAGAAAGATCAGTTTTTTAATTTCTACTTTCACCACTGGCTCGCTACGCCGTATCGACTTTTACTTATCTCCTTGAGGGTAGGTAGACAGGCGTGTGGGATGAGAATCTTGTTGAGCCAACAGACCTGATTTGATTATCCCTGTTTCCTTCTGCCTTCATAGCAATTCAGCAATTCCGACTCATCGTCCAGGCGTTGCAATTCTCCTCGGGGCTCGGCTTGTACTCCCTGATGCAGGTATATTAGAACTTGCACTCAGGCTTTCCTTGTGGAAATGTCAATGACGAGCTTATTACTGTTCACTCACACCTACTGGAGATCAGAATCATCGACGGTACGTTGAAGTGAGAATAACATCTTGCTACGTGGTCGTTTCTAAATAACTTTGGGATAACGCTACTTGTGTGTTGAGCTAAGAAATGTTGCTGCTCTGTTTTTTTATGTATTCTTACTTGACCTGAACCTGTGCTTAGTGCACCGGTGTGTGTGCAACAATTTTCGGATCACCCCAGCACGCACCACTGTGGATTGACCCATGAGCTCGAGGTCATTGCCGAATGTGAACACGCCGGTCTACAGATGCGACCACGGCAATCTAACTGTATGTGACTTGCAACTAACTGTGTCAGATCTGATCCGGCGGCCTTGATTGAAATTGGTGTGGCTCCTGTAGCAGCCCATTATAATGTACGATCTGCTAGCTAGTGTTACGGAATATGTCGAGTTCTGTTTCAATCAGATTAATGAAATGACCCCCCCTCCATCATCGAATACTTCTTTACCGCAGGTTTCCTGTACAAGTTGTTAGTGCTCCCCACAATGAATAACAGAAGTTAGTTTTTGAACAAGGGGCTACCGGTTAAGTACCGAGTGACAGCAATCCAGTTAGGGAAAGCGCGGCCGGCACGGTCCGGAGATACGAAATTTCAACGGTGTCATTGCTGCTACTGCTACTAATAGCTGTAACCCCCACCTTCTCCGCCCACCTTTTCCTTTTCCTTTCCCGTCACCTCCCTTCCTTCATTCACTGGCGTCCGCCATGAATTTCTTCAAAACAAAGCCACGAACACCGCCAGATCTTGTACGAGGCCTTCGCGATACGATCCCAAGGCTTGAATCCGGTGCCCCAGGAGCTGATACTCGGAGAAAGGCCAGTAATACCTGCATCCTTATACCGCCGACTGATTACTGAGGTCTTATCTAGGCAAGCGAGGATGTATCGAAGAATCTGCAGCAGATAAAGGCTATACTCTATGGCGATGGTGGTCGGTTGCGCTCCGCTCTCAATGACTCGTAAAAGTCCACTAATACGTACGACAGATCCATTGCCGGAGCTGGTTGCACAATTAGCCCAAGAAACGTATAATACCGATCTCCTGCAGCACCTTGTACAAAATATCGCTCGATTCGAATTCGAAGCCCGAAAAGACGTTGTCCAGATATTCAATAATCTCCTCCGACGTCAGATCGGTTCGCGATACCCTACTGTCGAGTATCTATCCGGGAAGCACGACATTTTATTTGCGACACTCGCTGGCTACGAGAATGAGGACGTTGCGCTCAATACGGGTATGATCTTAAAGGAGATGTTGAGGCACGAAGCGTTGTGCAAGATTCTCCTTTATTCGGATAAGTGAGTCGATTTGCCCACCACCGATCTTGTACTTGCGAGCTTAGACCGTCTAGATTCTACAATTTTCCCCATTATATTGAAACAACGACGTTCGGCATTTCATGTGACGCTTTTGCTAACCTCAAGGAGACGCTCACGCGACACAAGCCGATGGTGGCTGAATACCTCGACAAGAACTACGATCGCTTCTTTTCTTCCTTCACAACCCTCATCCTCTCCAATAACTATGTCACGAAACGGCAATCTCTTAAGCTTTTGGGCGAGATTCTCCTTGATCGTGCAAACTTCAACGTTATGACGCGGTATATTGCCAACGAAACCAACCTCAAGATGATGATGAACCTACTCAGGGACAAGAGCAAGAACATACAGTTCGAGGCGTTTCATGTGTTCAAAGTGAGCGCTCTTCCGGTCTTGTCGGCACTCATATTGACACCGGTGGTGGCACAGGTGTTTGTAGCAAACCCTAAGAAGCCCCCCCAGATTGAGTCAATACTCCGGAGGAACAAGGATAAGCTTCTGCAGTTCTTAAAGAACTTCCACAATGACAAAGACGGTACGTCACCCTTCGCCCTTTCGCCGCTCAACGCGTGCTTATTTCGATTTCAGATGAACAGTTCAGCGACGAGAAACAATTCCTTATTGTCCAGATACAAGGTCTTTAGTGTTTATCCTTCGCGAAACGAGTTACTCTGGTTTGTACCTCTCCCCACGCATCTGCACGGATCTTTCTTTCCGCGCACCTTTTCTGCATCAATTCATATTTTGGTACTGTCTATAATAATACTCACTTATTTGTTTGATTCATACTGTTTTCACGTCTTGCATTCTTCCATCCCTTTCTACATACACATCTATCCCAGTACAGACAGACCATACCCATTCAGGCGATATTCTTCTTGCTGCTCAGTCGTTTCGTGGTATGTAGTTAGACCATCATGCCCTTCTCGCGCAAGATATGTATTACCAATTCAATGCTTTCTGTCATATGGCTCCCATGGAACATTTGTAAATATGTCGATTTGACTACCTGTTACAGCCATACAAAGGTTGATCTAGTGGGGATATCAGTGTTTCTTGCCACTTCTTCGAGACTCCTCCCCTCGCTGACCCTACGAAACACCGCAACACCAGCAGTTCCAGCTACACCACTTGCGACCAAGTATTCAGAGTCCTCGCCACCAAACTCCATTCCACGCACCTGGTCCAAGCCTGTGTACACGTGTGTGATGAGCTCCAGCTTCCCTGCAACATACTGGAAGATCGCGATAGCGTCACCACGTTCGTCAATCTCCCCGACGTTCCTGTTTGACGCGTATATGTACTGCACGGGGAATTTTATTGAGGTTTTGGGAATGAGAAGCTCAGCAGCGGCAAAAGACGCGTTGACCGGCGGGTCTGGGGGGATGATGGAAACATTAGCGAGAAGTGCGGCAGTCTCAGTGGTATCAAGCAAAGGGATCTTCTGGACCGTGAGGGTAGATGAGAGTTCGTGTAGAGTGAACAGCAGATCACCTTCAGAAGGACAGGTAAGGGTTTTGGACCGGGGTTAGGTATCATCAGCAGATAAACGGACCTTCAACTGCTATATGCCTCGGTCCGGAACCTGCAGGCTGGGCAATTGACCCAGCGATTTTCCAGTTTCCGGCAGATCCGTTCTCCCTGAGCCGCCAGATTTGGTCGCGCCCCTGTATATGTGATCAACGCTGCATTGTACCACAGAGACAGAGCTGATCTTACCAAATCAGGAACTAACACCTCACTTCCATACTCTAGTGCCATGTGAGGGTGAGATACGCCTCCGCTAGGGGTGGGGAACGAAATCACGCTGGCGGTGTTGTCAAAATCCAACGGCGTGCTTGTTGTAGGAATGATGCGTCCGTTGCCACTCCCGTAATTCATTGCAGCGACTTGTCCTGTGGAGAGAGCAACTGCGAAAGCAGGGCTATCGCCATCGGTCGGGACCGTGTCGACTGTCGTGGAGAGTACGCCATTTGACGTGACTGTAAAGGATTGAACGGCTCCTTCAGTATTTTCGTTTGTCGCGCTGTATCACACAGTCAATGAAGACAGCTGACAAGTCGTCATATGGGATGATGCTTACTACAAGATGCTTTTGTTGGTAGGATGCAACGTTATCCAAGAAGGATTGGAACCGGATGGATACTGTCCTGTCAGTGATAGAGTGGATGCGACTGAGTCGAAGAGGTATGATGCGATGAAGACATCGTAGCCGCCGGCGAGGATGGTGAAATTTACCATCGTGATTTGGAGGTGGGTGGAAAGCGATGAGGAAGCATTGGGTTGGAACATCCTAAATATGCAAATGAAAATACACGTAACACGAGAGCATGATTCTCCAACACGGTCTCAGATCTTGGGTTGCCTGGGGTGGAGTTGCCATCGGTCCGAATAGCGCCGGCGATAATAGTTTGTGTCAGGTAGACGGAGGCTAACCAAAATATACAGGCGTCCCCGAATCTTTGCCAGACTTCTTGCGAAGACGAGTTCTACCGGAAGGATTCTTGTCGCACAAAGAAGGGTTTGATGCGTTTCACGGAAACGAGCCGCGGCAACGAATCACTGTATGCAGATCCATGTGCATATGCCAATCTGTCTGGTAATAATGAGACCATACACCAACATAGATCAACGAGTTGAGGCTAGATGTCTTGGACGACATGTCGATCACTGGCTTGTGTTTTGAGCTTCACATGACGAGGATCTGTTACGACAGCTCGGCAACCGCTTGAATTCTCGTGAGATCACTTGCATTCGATATCAGTTTCCAGGGTATTTTTTTTAGTAAGTATATATACCTGTACAACTCGTGAGTAGTCACCAGTCGCATTTGCATGAACGTAACCTCACCTTTTTGTTGCTTAGTGAGTTGAGCTGAGTCTCACATTCTACCACCCACCCTTATCGTGGAAGAATGCTCCTCATGTTTCTGTTTAGGAGCCACGCTGAGAATAAAACACTTTGCTTCCTTCTAATCGTCCAATTCACTACCTTCTTCAGAGGAATCGCTTTCTTCTTCCAAGTACTCTGAGTCATCGTCTTCGGGCGACGCGGTCCAAAAACTCCATTCGACTTTTTTTAGTGAAGGTGGCCTTTCTTCTCTGGGGATACTTTTCTTCTTCTCAACCCACCTCCGTCGAAACTCCTCGTCTGAATACATCGATGCCATACAGGAATCGCATTCGCCGGTCCACGTGTTCTCGTTTTTGTTGCCGTCAGCTAAAATGGTGGTGCCCGAGGAAAGAACGCCTATATTAAGATACACGTATTCGAGTTGTTCTAGGCAAGACAGAGCCTTTGGGTTATGTCCCTGGAAATAAAATGAGCCACACTGATGAATAAGATATAAAGACGCGACTTGCTGGAAGCCCCAGACCATTTTCGTACACTATCTTGGTTGGACAGGGTTCTTTGAATCGGGCGATGCAGCAGGTATTGCATAGTCCACACCATGTCTGCAACTGACGCAGTCGGAGTACGCGTAACGCTGGAAAACTCCTGGAGATACCACGGAGGAGCACAGGAGAAGGCCACAAGACGTCTCTGAGATCTAATTCCGTTATCCCCGAAGCTTTTGCGCGGGAAAACCGTAATTCCACGTTCCATTGGTCGTTATCCTGGCTGCCAGATAAAGGACAGTATGGTGTATATTTAATTGACAACCAATCCAGCCGTATCTTCCTCAGCCGAGTGAATCCGTCGATGTACCAGTCTTGTATGGGATTTGCGAGAGTCGGCGGCAACTGAACACAGTGCAGTTCGCTGTACGTATGTATAAGGCCTGAGGCATTTTGGTAAAGCGAGCAAAATTTTTGTAGAAATACCTCGTCCATTTCGAGAAGATTTCAGGTAGCAGATGTCCATCTGGAAAGGTATCCTCGTAAACCTTAGTGTAAAGCTTTGAGAACCACGCCTCGAGTGCTACATCTCGGTATGTTTTTGATACCAAGGAGAATGAATGTATCGATGCCCATTCAGGTTTATCGTTATTGCCACCATCTTGGGAGCTCGTACGGGGCTGAGCGAGGATAAACTGGACTATCAAGCGGATGAGTTCTAAAGGCAGGTACATGGTGATGGGAGAAGAATGTAAGCTCAATTTTCCCAGGCTCGCCTGATGCGACCACAAAACAGGATCAATCGGGGGTAATATTTCCGAATCCCAATTAGGAGCGCGCGCCGGCTGGTAGTCGGGCGGTCCTTCACAAAAAGTTTGAAAATTTGGCTGGGAAGAATCCTGATCCTGGTTGGTCGACCGAGAAAGCAAAGAGGGGTATGATCCACCCTTGAAAATCAGAATTGGCCTAGTCCATCTGATCCCTCACACTCAAATCCGAAGTACGAAGTAGTGTATGCTATGAAAAACGTTGAGACTAGGATCGATGGATTAGTACCAGCGGCGGGCTCGGCGCGTATCAACGTCACTCTTTACATTTTAAAATTTATAGTATCTCCGCTTCATCGCCCTGCTGGCTGGACTCACGACGAGATGGGGTAAGAAGACAAACCAGGGCAAAGATTGACGAACAGAGTATGGATATAAGTATGGCGGTAGCATGTATAACAAAATCAATTGCAAAGCTGGATATAAATTTGTGTTGATTCTTGTTCCATACCAGAGGGAAGATGACAAAGTTATGTCTAATAACCACGCATCATCTAAGTGACAACGTCAGCGTCAAAATTAAGATTACAGGAAAGGTAGTAGCACCTTGAAGAACTCTATTAAAAAAGAGTTCAGAGTAAGCAGCCTGGAGAGCAAGATGAAGGTACTCTCACCTTGATAATCAATCTCTCCATTTCCGTCCTGATCAGCCTCGGTGATCATGGCCTGTAGCTCAGCGTCGGACAAGCGCTCACCTTTGAGAATCATGAAAATATGTGCATCAGGAATGGTCAAGGTAACTCACCAAGACTGGTCATGACCTGCTTCAGCTCAGCGGCGCTAATGGTTCCGTTCCCGTCTTTGTCAAACACCTTGAATGCCTGCCTAATCTCGTCCTCGCTATCCGTCTCAAATGCGCGTTTTTGCATCATAGCCAAGAACTCTGAAAAGTCGATAGTGCCATCGCCATCGACATCGACTTCATTGATCATATCGTGAAGCTCCCGTTCGGTGGGGTTCTGTCCTAGAGAACGCATAACGGTCCCCAGCTCGGTGGTGGTAATCGTACCATCACCATCTGAGATACGAAAAAGAAATTGAGCGATTTCCCGATATGCGAGTGCCGCGAAAGAATTCACCTTTGTCGAACAAAGAGAAAGCTTCTTTGAATTCTGGACAAATGGATCAAGTCGAGTCATGAATAATCAGCCAGGACACACACCAGTTATCTGCTCTGGATAACAAGGTGAACGGTTGTCAGTAATTAGACTTTTGAGCGATCTCCAAGTACTTGCCTTTGGACTAGGTTCATGGAGATGATCACTGAGAAAAATCTACTAGATCACAGTAATCGACATACCAGTTGATCCATCCTTCCTAGGCAGTATCCTATCGGGGTGGGTAAAAGAGGTAGTTGAGGTCGACTATGAACAAAACAATGGGGCGTCTGTAAAATTAGGCAACTTGAATAGCAATAGAGTTACGGCACCTGATATGATTTCAAACACCCCTTAACGATCGTGCTTTCCGATGAGCGTGCTCTCCGTAGTACATGACTGCATTTATACAAGAGAACATACTATCGGCTGTACAGCAATAACTGCGATGCTATGCACTGGGGAATATGTGCTATCACCGCAGGATTTAGTTAGTAAGGGGCCTCGACGCGTTGGGCAGTGCGTGATCCTAGTAGTGGCTGTACCACCAGGGAAGGAAGACGTCATACAACCAAGGACAAAGGCACAGATGGATTCTGTTCTGCTATTCATATTCATTCCTTGAGACTCTTGGTTGCAACAAAACTAGAAATGGACGGAATTTATCGCAGTTAAGTGATAATTAATTAAATATTATGCTAATTCATGACTCGAATCCCAAATATGGCTAATGAGGGTGTGTAATTGAGCGAGCGGACCCGACTCACTAACTAGCTACCACCATCTGGGAGCGTGTGCTGTTACCCTATCCATCTGCCCTATCCATCTACTGTTTGCAGAAAGGCTCTAATACGATAATGGATGACGAGATTGAGTACCTAGGTACCAAGCCTGCCTCTGTGAATCGACCAGCAAACAATCGCCCCTTTCTAGGCGCCCTGCAGCCGACAGGTGGGTTCATTGATCATTGTCTGAATGTCGACCTTACTGGGGCTCGTGCAGGCATCACTCTTCATATCGAAAAGTACGGGGGCGAGATTGCAGAGACTATGACTTTTCAGAAGCCAAAAGGCAACACAATAGCTATAGGCAGACGACCACCCAAAGTCGATGCAGACCAATCAAAGCGAGACCAGGAGGAGGGCAAGGCCATGTTCAGATGCCCTGTCGTTAGCAGAAAGCATGCTCAGATAATGTTCTCAGATGCTGGCAATGTGAGTATAGTCACCTTCACCTTTTGAGGAGTAGTAGTCTAAGTGCCCTAGGTGTTTCTCATTGATCTGGGTTCACACCATGGCACCCATCTGCGAAAGCCGGACCTGCCTGTCTCTACAATGCTTCGTTCTGAAATGCCCACGGCCCTGTCTACGAATGATATCATCACGTTCGGCAAATCCGTTGGTAGGGGCGGTGATATGGTTCGACCGGTGGTTGCTCGGGTCGAATTGCTCTTCAATCAGCCCGTTTCAGCATTCAGGCCTCTTATTGTCCCAGATTCGCCAACAAGTTCAGAGGGGTCCGCAAAATCCACTGGCCGGTATGGTGTTCGCGTATCATCCCCGGAGTCCTCTTCCGGATCTGATCATGACTCGGATATCGAAGAGCTGTGTTCGCCATCACTTGTACCGTCCAACGACGGTGGTCCTCCCCAGTGCTTTGATTCTTTATTAGGCCGAGCCTCTCAAGTCTTAAAGAAACTCATCCCGCCCGCTCATTCAGCGCATTTGAGCCAGATCCCCCCCATCACCAGTCATGTATTCTTCTCTCGCAGCCCTCAGCCACCGTCAGAATTCGTCGGGTCTCCGGGACTGCGCTCACCCGCGATGAATCCCCTTGACCATGATGATGCTATTCCATCTCCGCCCCGTTTTGATCTGTCCTATCATGATCTCTACCAACCTGAAGACCATGCTAGATCCGCTTCCCCGATGGAACTTGGTAGCCCGTCATCTGTGTCTGCACCGCTCTTACAGAGCCCTCTAGAGAACGTACTCAATGAACCTGTTGTAGTTGGGGCGTGGCCCTCGCCACCGAGTCAGAGATCCTTATCGCTCCTCCCAGAGCCCTCTCTGGATGAGGGCATCGGGAAAGTTGCTTCTGAGGCTGCCGGAGATGTACCTCCGGCTGAGGTTGCCACCCCTTCCTTTGACATAAACGCTGCCCTGGACGAAGTCAAGGTTGAAATACTATCATCCCTATTCATTCAATCCTACTTACTTCTGCTTCAGGATGAGGTATCGAAGCTGCATGTCCTGCGTCGCAAGTACAAACTCAGATTCAACGCTAATGCCCATATTGTGAAGGATAAGTTAAGTGATCTAGATGAAAGGGTGACTGATGTGAACGGGCTATGCAACTCGCTCATTGAGCAAGTCGACAACTTGTGTCATATGGACATTCCAGATCTGCAGGCGCAAATTGATTCCCTGCAGGATCGGGAACAAGGCCAGGAGGATCTTTTGAGTGAAAGGGAGGACGCCCAGGCCAACATCCAGGCTCTTCGTGACCTCGTTGCTGGTACGGCTATTGTCATCGTTGTCCCTTTTTTGATCTCGACGCTCATCTTCCTTAGATACGCGAACGCTTCGTGAGACCACCGAACAGCAGATGGCTGCAGAGCTGGAAGCTGTGCGACGGGCTCGTGAAGCGGCTATCAACGCGATGTCAGAGGTATGTATAGGTGATACCCCCCATTTTTCTCACTGACACATCGCAGACACCCTCTCCGATGTCCTTGAAGCGAAAGCGCGACGAAAGTGAGGTCGAAGATGTGTCAGCTCCTGCGAATAGTGCCATTGCCATCATCCCGGTCCATTCCCGCAAACGCGTGAGAATTGCGTCCGTCATGGTTCAAACGACGGCCACAGTTGCCCTTGGGGCGGTGGCTACTTGGGCCGCATTGGCGTTCAGTTGAACGAACATATTCTCGTCGAAACCTGGACATTATCATGGTGTTCAGTGACATGGACGTGTAAGATCATGGCGGAATATGAATGTAGTATGTGATGTAGGACCACTATAGGCGTTATTTATGCGAAGACAATGTTGTAGGCTAAGAAGGGTACTATGCAATTGAAATTTTTCTTGGTATCTACTCCTAGCTTGGGTTATTTATGTAGTAAACGCAATAAGCGGTCTGCGAAATGTTTTTTCACGCACTATCGTAGGACTTGATGATGTTCGTATGCTAGTGGGTTACCTTTAAGGAGGCAATTTAGGGAAACTCAAACGCCCTCCAGTTCCGTTGGAGTGATGCACTTTGCTTCCCTTTATGTAAATAGACAAAAAGTACAAAAATATTCCACCTCTGCTGCTCGCTCAAGGAGTGGGATGTAACTGGCTATAATGAGGGCCTTAGAGACTGCCCTCAAATTGATTGCAACATGTGAATGGCTATTATGTGCTTTTGATTGGTGAGAAGTGGTGGTGGTAGTGGTGGTGGTTCAAGAAGGATGAACAGGTTGCAGGAAAGATGGTTAGGGGAGGGGATGATGAGTGCATAAATATGCCAATTGCAGCTGTGCTTGTAGGGCAGGGTGTTCCTGAATGTAAGTGGTCCATGTTTTAGAAGACCAACATCCAAGAGCTTGTATGATGGATTCTGAGAGTCCAAGTGATGCATAAAATGTAGCTCCTCCAGCTCTAGCAGAGTGACCACCAAAGTCTCTGCCTAGAATTGCAAAAAAATTCTGGTTGAACCAATTTCACAATGGGATATCACCATTTTCATGGATGAAGAGTGGAGTGTGTGGGCCATAAAGAAGATCTCAATGTTTTATATATTGTGATAGGAGTGTAACTGGGTCTGCAAGCTCCTGTCATGTGAGTGGGATGTCAGTACTATGGTAGAAGGGGTCAAATTTGTTGTAAGGAAGATGGTATTGTACATCACTCTTTTGGAGGATGAAGGAAGAACATTTGATTATTTTGTGAAAGTCCTGAAGTTATTTGTCATTTTTCCAAATGAGCTCACCTGACTGGTGGCAGCCATAAAAGCAGCAAGGATGGTGGCAAATAGGAGGTCATCATAAGAATCTGAGATGTTAGCAAGAAGACAAAAGGTGATCAAATGGGATAATTGAAGGGATAGTTTTTGGAATGTAGGATCATCTCTCATCTTCCTTGAGCCACAGATAGTAGCTTGTACCATGGGGTGTTTCCAACTAGTATCAAAGTCAGGATAGAGGTCTTCTAGAAAGTGACAGACTTCAGTCTAGTATTTTGGGCCAGATGAGATGAACTGGGATGTAGAGATGATGTATCTGCTGAGAGTAAGTGGTGTTGGTTCAAGAGGCAATGCATGAGTAGTGCAAAACTGTATATAGTCACATGCTCCTGTTGCATAACTATTTGCTGCTCTAAGCTCAATGATATGAGCTTGGAGAAAAGAATGCATTCATCAAGAAGAGAAAGAGAAGAAGCTAGGCAAGCAATGTGAGGAGCATACTTGCCCAGCACAGTTAGAAGGATTGTCTCTATTGTGCCAGCAGTAGATCTCTTGGTGGAGTAAAAGTGTGAATGTGGTCAGTGGGGAATTTATGATGATATTCATTCAAAAGGAGTTGGAAAAGCATATCTGCCCAAATATTATCTTTTTCATTAATATGTCAAACATGAACATCAATTCCTGATCTGAATATCAGGCCTGCTGCTTTAAGTAAGGGTCCATTGTGAAGAGGTTTTGATACTGATAGAGAATCAAATGCAGCAACAGAATCAAGGCTATCAGTGAAAAGTAAAAGGTGATGAGGAGGTTTAGATAGAGATACTGCATAATGGATGGCCAAAAAAATAGTGACAAGTTTGAGAAAGAAGATATTAATTATATTTTAGATGAAGGTGGATGGAGCTGATATACAAAACTATTTCCTGCAAAAACAAATAATGTGTTTTTTAAGCTGGCATCCATCCAGAATATCATATCAGCTTCTGAGTCAGTCCAAAGAGCTGAGTTGATGAAACAAACACCTATAGAATCTAGCAGAATAGATGAAAACCAGAAGAGATCCCCTCTAACAGCAGCATTGATGAAGATCTTTGTGAAAGAGTGAGTCTTTCCAGCCATCTTTCTATACAAAGAAGAAAGAGCAGGATGACCTCATGGCAGAACATTCAGTATCCAGTTCAAGTATCCACCTAAATGCCGCCATTTCTGTAGAATAGGTGCTCTTCTGGATGTTAAAAGAAATGAGTTGACCTCAGATTCAGCATTAATAACAGACTGCTGTGTAAGGGAGATACTTCTCTAGTTGACATCAACTCAGAAACTGATAATTTTGAGAGTCCAACCATGTATCTATTTTAGATCATCAAAAAGACAGGAGATATATTCCCAAAATATCAAAAGTTGTACTTGCCATGCCAGTCACCATTGACCTCAATAGAAAACTTGGTGATTGGTGAAATCCCAGCTGAAAAAGTCATCCATATAAACATGGAGATCAATGATGTCAAGATGGTGGATCCTAATTCAGCACAACAAGGCTGAGACCAAGCATCAAATTCTGGGTGAAGCTTGGCTCCCAAAGATGAGCTGCCTAATAATGTGATATCAGTTGTCAACAAGGACCACTTGATGAGTTTGCTATAGAGGATATGCTGATAAATTCAAAAAAGCCTTAGCAACATCACTTTTATACAGGATGAAATTGACATTAGGATGTTGTATTTTAGCATTGCAAAGAGCCTCACCAAATGGATGCATATCATTGTATTTGACCTTTGTCTCACTAGCCAGGATTTCTGCATTTAAACCAGAGGAAGTATGGTTCATTATGACACAGAGTTTTTCATCCTGCCAGGCCACAAATATAGGTGATACTTTCATACCTGGTAGGAGTATAAACCCATCTGATAAAGGTGGTGACCAATGACCAGCTGTGACTTTGCAATCATGAACACTCATATTTCATTGATATCTCAAGGATTTGTGGCATAATTCTCAGTCTTGTCATAGAGAGAATCTTCCCATTCACTAAGGTCAAGAGGCCAGGATCCATTCCAAAGACCATGAATGACTGAGAAGATGAAGAGTTCATTTGGATGAAACTGAAGGATATTCTCTAAGTGATTGATATTAAATGGTGTGTCAACTAACAATAAAATCCTTTAAAGCATGTAATATAGTCTGCAAGGATAGATCATTGAGTAGATGCAAAGAAGAGAGTAGAGAATCAGCTGACTCAGTAGGTTGAGCAGCAGAAGATGTAGATATGGATGGCATAGAAGTATTTGATCAGACATAACCATGCCTAAAGCATGAGCCAATATTCTGGTCCTCATATTTGCATTTTTAAGACTTTAAAGATCTAGACCCTGCTGCTGCTGCTACCTTTGCTGTTACCTCTTCCAAATCTAAGTCTTCTTTTTGATTGGAGGAGATTGGCATATTCTATGGTGTCTCTAGCTCAGTGTCTTAAGCTACATTCACTACAGGTACCATGCCTACAGCAATTAGTACATGGATCTTGGCAGAAACTCAGGTTCCAGTTTTCACATGAAACTGTTGATCTTTTTGCAGCAGATAGTGAAGCAGACAAAAATCATTTTATGCCTGAAAAAGTTGAAGGAGAGCAAAAGACCTGAATAAGAATGGGAATTTGTAGTTCACTCTAGATGTCCATATGAAAAGGAGACTTAGCATATTGCAGTCAAACTTCTTCATCAATATGAATAGCAACTGTAGAGTCATGAGGTGCAGCCCAAAAAACTTTGACTACATATTTCCAGTAAACTTTGAGTTCAGCCTCATGGTGTGGATAAAGAACCTGAACACCTCTAGCCCAGGCATCATACACTCTGCACCAGTCAGATTCTGATCTGAGAGACTTCTTGGCAGATGAAACATCCTTCCTGATAATGGCATATCCTGCCATAAGCTCTTTTGCCTTCTCATTGTAATCATATCCTTGGTCTATTGAAGCAAAAAGTTTCAAAAAGTCAACATACTGGTCCTGAATAATGAGTCACCAGAATGGCTGAGCAATAGGTTCAGACAGAGACTGGGCTTGAAGAACTGTGATAAGATTATCAAGTGACTTTTCAGTGGCATAAACTTGTCTGAGTTAGAATGACTCAGCAAGATGAGAATCTGAGATACCAGTGGCAATGATGGATGTGAGGTGAGGTGCTTGAGCAAGAATCATCAGAGAAATAGAAGCTGTCTTTGGTGAGACAGTGTCACCAAGCCTCAGAATGCCAGCAAGAACTGTAGCAATGGAGCTCTGAAGATCATTCATACTAAATGTCTGATGAATGAATTGGAGCTTTGAACAGAGCATCACCCAAGCAGCTTCTTCAACCACCTGAGATCTGGCTTTTTGACACTGTTTAGCAGCAGCTTTGGATTTCTTGACTTGCTTTTGTTGAAACTCCTCAATCTCAGCCTGAGACAAGTCTGATGGGGTGGCCTCCCTGTGGTCTGTCACACCAATATCCTTATTGTCACCATCTTGTATGTTAGAGGATGCAATGATCAAGCTCCACAGGCCAGCTTGCTTAATCCACTCCTGCAGAAGTCTGATGTAATCTCCAGCAGCCTCAGATGAAATGCCAAGCTGGTGAAGTCTGTCTGCAAAGTCAAGAATGTTGATGGTGCCTCTAACACATTCCTCAACAAGGTCTTCACAATGTTTAGCCAAGGCAGTGACACTTTCAACATTGGTTGATGGATTGGAGGTCATAAATGGGATCAATACATTTGAGAGATGAATGTCTGGACAAAAAACTCAATAACTTGTACAATAATGGTCCAGTAGTACTGAATGAGGATTGGTTAGGTCTGGCAAAGCCAAGACTACTCAAGTGAGCCAATTGTGAGATAAAGGAAGAGGTGGAGCCTCACCAGGCAACAGGAGTTACTGACAAGCAAAGGAGGAGGTGAAGCCTTGAAGCCTGGGATTGGTGGTCAGAAAAGATTGACAGTGAGAGAATGGAGCTCATCTCACCTAGGAATGCAGGATGAAAGTGGGAGTGAAGAAGAGACACCTGGTGCTGACATCTCTCATGAATCAGCATCAGCCGAGACTCGGCACTGAGACAGAGACAGCACCAGTGATCCCTCTTCATGGATGAGTGGAGCTCTGTATCTCTGTGTCGACAGAGATTGTGACAACCTCGAGAGCCATGCAGAGGCCTGCGAAAGCGCTCCCTACCCTTGGAATCCGCCTTTACGACGGCATTTACACCCACGCCGCTGACCAGTCACATTCAGAGAGCAAGAACATCACGTGTGCGTGCGCGCCTAAATTAGCAACCACCGCCTTCACCACGAACGTCCACCAAGACCGAACTTTCGCTTGTTTGACCATTATTCTTTCGAGACCTATGTCTTCGACGCTGAAGGACTACATTGAAACACAAGACAGTCTTCTTAGGGAGGCTGCTGAGGCGCTGCCCCACCAGTTCAACCGTTGCACATATCCACTTGGCTCCATCAGGTGCGATTTCGTCGCGTCTGTTATATATTCCCTATCATTGAGTCATCCAAAGGCAGCCTGTATACCTCTGCCTTACTTGTGCTTTACCCCGTGGTATCTGTGCAGCTTGCTCGGTAGCTTGCCATACCGACCACGAGCAAGTAGAGTTGTAAGTCATTTTATTTAGCCTAGGGAGGCGCATTTCATGTCCTTTGAAGATTTCCGAAGCGCGACTTTTGCTGCGACTGTCCTACCTCTGCCCTGCACCATCCGTGTACTCTCCATACCACCCCAGAAGACGAAAACACCACCAACCATTATGGACAGAATTTCAAGGGAGTATTTTGTCGATGTGGAAGGCCGTATGACCCCAATACAGAGAGGGAGACGATGATTCAATGCTTGGCATGTGAGGTATGTGCAAGAAACTGAATCGTGCTTCAAAATTGGTTCAACAACCCCTGGCAGGATTGGTTTCACGAGTCGTGCTGTAATCTACGAGAACGGCCAGATGCAGACCTCCCATTGTCAACAAACGAGCCGCAAGCTCAAGCAGATCCACAGCCACAAAGCGACGATGTCGACGATGGTGCATCTGATGCGTCGTCCTCAGATCTTCCGCCGCCCCTCATACGCGCTTCTGACTATGATAGTTTCGTTTGCGCATCTTGTGCTAGGAAAATTCCTACCCTACTTCGATACGCTGGAACCAATGGCTGTCTTGTCGTCGTCAGAGATGATGTCTCTGCACCTTGGAGAGTTATCAGAGAGACAAAAAATGAGACTGTCGACGTTGATGTTCCTGTCGGGTCGAAACGCGCGCATTCTTCGTCTGTTGAAGGGCCTGAAGCCAAACGTACTCGGACCGAGGGGTCCAACCCCAAATCTCCATGTCTGGTACCCCCTACTAACTCAGTCGCGCAAGGCATACTTATTGCATCGAAGCCTGACCTTGGAACAGGCGATGTGTTTCTCACCGAGGGCTTCAGAGACCGGTGGTGTCGTTGTGGATCGGTATTTGTTTATCGGCTGTACAGCTACATCCCAACTGACTCTGATTGTAGTGCCTTCCTTCTCTCGAAGCCAACAAGTTCCTCCTCTTGGAGGAGGAGACATATGAACCCCCTGATGATCCTGATTCGGGTACCTCCATGAAGTCGTCCGTTGATCGTGTTCTGATGTAAAATCTGTCCTAGGACTCTCTCTTGAAGAACTGGGTATCAGAGCCCTTTCACGCCTCCCCCGAGAAAGAGCCATTGATGGAATACATGCGTTCAATGCCATGCGGTTGGTAACTTTATTCATCTTTGGTACACTGTCTGAAATGTTGGCAGCGACGACTTGCTGAAATACCTCCGTCCCTTTGCCCAAGAAGGAAAGGTAGTTGGTGAGGTAGATGTCAGAGCCTTTTTTGACAGGTTGCAAGAGGAGAAAGCGCTTGGAGTGGCGCGATCGTGAAGGATCTACTCTTGTTTTCTTGTTCTAAGATCACCCGATACATCAAGGAAAATTGCATGAGCGCTCTGGGCTCAGATGTGGTTCACGCGTTCTATCTCGGTTCCGCAGCTAAGATCGTATGCTTATCGCTGCTCTGCATTCAAGTACATACACCATCTGGAGGATACATCTGACCGTGCCCTGGGAATGTTTCCCTGCAAGTTTCGTGGATTCCGCAGGACTAATAAGCGATGTTTACGCACATTCACATCCTACATTAAGGCTATACCGACAAATGGCCGGAAAAAGACACCTTTTATGTAGATCTGTACAAACGTTGGTCTAAAGATGACCTATACATCAGACTGATCATGCACATGCATCCACATCGAATGAGACTTTCTCCTGAACGTGGACCCACTGTTCTATAAGCGGCAGTTCGTTTACAGTACAGCAATCATCATCAAATTTTTTTGATCGTAACGTTCAACACCATGTGTTGGTTCGTATGCAGAAGTGTATAATAGCAATAGATACATACAAATATTGACTGGATACATAGATGCAAGACGAAAGCAAGGGTATTAGGTATAATGGAAGCAACCAGTCTTAATGTTAATTTGTAACTCCATAATGCTTCAGACTCTTCAATGCAACGCCTTAAAGGAGAAGAGCCAAAACACCAGCGCCACCGGCGATACCGATAAGTGCTTGAACACTCTTTAGACCCAGCGCACCGTTTGCCTGGTTACTTGCGGCAGAAGTAGACGAAGACTCAGCGCTACTCAATCATTCAGTTAACCTAAGGATCACATGGTTGAATAATTGTGTGCACACCTCGAAGCAGTGGTCGAAGCCGCCACAGAATCACCAGAGCTAGTAGCAGATCCGGTAGGAAGACCCGTCGTACTGAGAGTTACCCCCTAATGAAGCAGACGAGTCAGCGGAACGTCAACAAAAAAACGCAGAAAACACGACGGACAACTTCAGCACAGAGGGCTTCCGCGGTCTCAATAGCAGTAGTAAGGTCACTCCCGCTACAACTGCTCTCGATACATGTTAGAGTAGTATTGACGTATGTCTCGCTCTTGCACAGACAGGCGTTGTCAGACGAGGAGCAGTTGTCGTAGCTGACATTCGTGATGCAAGAGGTAGCACAAGCTATTGGCACATCGGTCAACGATGACATTGAAAAAAATGGTGAGGAAAGTATGCTTGCCAGGCAAAGAGGTTTGACGGCCCAGGAGCATAGAACCCCACGCCGTGACGAACAAAGCAGAAAAGACAGTGAGGAAAAAGCGCATAGCAGACAGTACTGGTAAGAGGAACTAGTCGGGGAAGAACTGGTGAGGATCCTGAAACCAAGTTGGACTATTTATGTGTCCTCGTTTGGGACTACTTGCGACCCAAAGTGCATATCACGACCCAGAGTGCTGGGATTGTTGGGTTCGTGGTGGGGTGATACACATACGGTCCGTTATCGAATTCAAATTGTAACTTGAGGAGGCCACTAGCAAAGTGGAGTGTGACCTCATAAACGTCTGGCCATAAACGAACAAGGCATAGAAATATTGCACGCATTCGAAGAGGAGCACAAGATGGAGAAGAGAATTCCAGAGCGTGAAAAAGTCGATGCGAGCTTGATACGAGTATACAGGACCTTTTCAGAGAAGGCTCAGATTAATACTTCCAGATTCCACTATAAATGAAGAGACAGCAAAAGCAAGACGGATGTTGCATGGTGGTGCGAAGCCGAACTCGGCAATATCCGGCCGATTGCAAGCCACTGAACTTTATCTTATTTACACAACAGACCAAACAACGGTTCCGACACATTTCTCTTCATCGACCTCCCCGACTTCAAGATTTCAAAAAATGGTGCGTTACAACATTGTTCTCCTGTCGTGGTTGGATGCTCACTGTATACTTAGGTTAACGCCAAAAAGGTCACCATCTCAACGCCAGATAGATTTCAATATTGACATGTACGCTAGACTGGCAAGCGCTCGGCCCTTGAGGATGTTGTCACTCGGGAGTACACTATTCACCTCCACAAGCGGGTTCACGGTCGTTCATTCAAGAAGCGCGCCCCTTGGGCAGTCAAGTCGGTGGTCGCTTTCGCGCAAAAGGCTATGGGAACGACCGATGTGCGGATTGACCCAAAACTTAACCAGGCTCTGTGGGCGCAGGGCATAAAGACGGTGCCCCACCGGCTGAGGGTGAAGCTGGAGAGTGAGTCCTGGTCTTTCGTCCCGTATTCTGTTGGTCTTACGGAGGAATAGGGAAGCGAAATGATGACGAGGGTGCCAAGGAGAAGCTTTACACCTACGCTTCGCATATCGTCGTCACATCGTTCAAGGTCCGTTTTCATCTTGTATTCTGTCCATCCGTATCTCATGACAAATAACAGGGCCTTGAAACCGTTGTCGTCGATGCTGAGTAAATGTTGTACTCCACTCTTCATGTTCACTTGTTATACAATATGCTTCGCTATGAACATGTTTTCTCCTGTGACCCTCGCCTGCCGTACATCCTGCTTGGATGTCAATTAATCTTTTTCTTAAGCAGTCACTGAATGTTCGGCTGTGACCCAAGACTGGTAATGTGGGCCTTGTGTCTGTTGGCATCATCCTCGTATTCAAGACACGACTACCAGGTCACCAATCTTATTATTCAGCCCTGGGGACGCAACAAACATCACATGGGCCCAATTATCTTTGGCGAAGCGACGTGGAAGAAATACAGACACTGGTGGCCCTATAAAAGGAATTTGAAAACGATGGCAACTGGCGAACTTGCTATGTAGGTTTGTTCAACAAGGATCATTCTTACAGTGGGTAAGGAGAAACTGCATCGAAAGGAATGACTTCTGCCGACCAACCGTATGTATGTAAGAGTAGGTACAATACGTTGCGTCTTGGGAACCAATTGACAATAACAACACACTGCTGAGCCCAGCTTCAATTCCAGGATCTTATGTTCTCCAAACTACACGTATATTACCATATTATCCTCCCTCATCGATACCCACCACTGGTCTTCGGACAGCAACTTTTTTCCTGCTCTTAGTTGATGCATCAAACTTGAGACGCTTGAGCTTTATTGATGCATTACGACCGAAAAAATGATTGCAGCCTCAGACTAAGATCGTCTAAACTTTGTCAAGGCCTATAAAATATCCGGCTAGAAGAAGCTACCACAACAAAATACATACAAAGTCCAAAAGGTCCAATTCAGGTCCTGGCCAAATCACCACGATACACCTAATAGTGGGCATTCCAGTAGGAAGTATTGTAGTACCTCTTGCCACCGACCCAATCGTCCTCGCAATAATCCTCCCAGGCCAATACGTCGATGATCTCTTCAAAGAGCGCGCATATAAACTGCTCGGCAGTCTCTTCGAGGCTGTAAACTTGGAAAATGGCATTTATCAGAACAGAGTCGAATGAGCCTGACCAGATACTTACCCTGGCAGGAGTGGCAGTCCTTATGGGCCGAGCAGAGGTCCTTGCAATCTGAATGATGATTCAATGTCAACATTTTATCACTTCGAAGGAAGCACGCGTACCAATCTCATAGTTTTTCCTGCCGGAGTAGCCACAGGAGATGGATCATGCTTTCCAGGCTTCCAACCCTTCCAGGAATCCGTGTAGTTAAAGACGGTGTCCCAAATACGACCAGGATCAGGCCAGTAGTGGGGACATTAGAAACCACACTTGGGCTAGATTACTCTGTCAGCAATCACTGGGGCACGGAGGAGAACGAATAAACATACGTTGCTCAGACAGGGATAGTCAACAGGACCGTCGTATGGACAGTGCTTGTCCGGTCCTGGCCAGGTCCAGGTGGGCTTCCAGGGAGCATACGTGCCGTAGTCCCTAGCCTGAATGCTGTCGTCGACCTTGCGAGCACTGATAGTACCAGCGAAGGCTGGCGCAATGGCAACAGCAAGGTGAACGGAATAGCTAATGAGAAACGCATGTCATTGCTGAGCGAGTCGATGTTTTTTTAAGCGAGTAAATCGATAGAGGGAAGTGGGGATTATTTCTAGAGAAGGGATAGCGTTGTCTACGCGCTTTTATACCATTCACTACTACCACGGCGAGCACTGGTAATGGGCAGAGCACTGAAATGAACTCATATACAAAGCAGCACCAGGAAAGATAGACTAAGTCCGCAGAATGGAATTGATTTCAAGACGCCAATGTAAGAGAAACTCGTTTGAGGGGGTCATAACTAAGTCTGGTGGAAGGCGCGACGCACGACTAGTGTCACTCTCAGAGCGAAGAAAAATATATTTCACAGCCCATGGTATGTGCCAAGTTCGAAGAACCATACATATAGGATGATCACGATGATTCGACGGCCGTCATGGAAATTGCGGTTCAAAAGAGTTACGGGTATATGCAGATCATTGCGATCCTTGATGATCGCGCATATGGCTGAGACATAAAGGGGACTTTGCCCATATTGGCGCGTGCAACAACTTGAAATGAAGCAAGGGGAGGATCCGGGAATGCTTTACGAATACAGAATAGCGGTTCGAAGAGAAAGATGAAGGCAAACGAGTGCCACAAATTCGCAACTTACTCTTAACTGAGTTGTAACTTATAGTAAGTTTTAGAACTTTTTTTACATCTAAGTACTCGTTGTGATTACAGGCGATGTAAATTCGAAGAAGAGGTGAACAGCAATGCATATCAGGACATGATCATGGCAAGTCGTAAGGATACAGTATAACAAATGAAATGGATAGATCAAATCTCGATAACACCCAAAAGACAACGAATACAGTATCGGTAGGCTTGGCAGCCTTAAATGAAGCAAAGAAAAAAAGTCCAAGATTTCGATAAGAAAAAGGACAGCGGTTCGGGGAAAAAAGAGTGAAATCGAACTCGTCCAATGACTCATGGTGACTTGCGCGCTGTATGCGTGTCTAACGCACATCGAATGAATGGTGTTAGTTATGTAGGTTTCCAATTTTGATCTAGGCCCCCAGCCCAGGGGAGTGGGCTTATGGGACCTGAATCGTCCGTTGCACTCCGTCGCGTCCCCATGGACGACGAAGCCGAGAAATGTGCCCTATGAGGGGATGCCACTGACGAAGTCGGGCTGACGAGTCCAAAGGCAGATAGCGCTGGAGATATAGGACCCTGTGCGCGGTGTCTATGGCGTCCATCTGAAGAGATGCTACCTGTATGAGCTAGCGAAGAGCCGCTGGCGGTCCCCTGACTCTTTGATGAGCCAGTTCCGACAGAGAGATCCCGCCGCGAAGCAGGGGCCGAACCCGCAGAACTCCTCGATCCTGGGCTTAGATGAGAGCGCATCGAGCTTAATGATTCTTGCTCGGAGTATTGGCCAGGCTGGTGAACAGACTGGGGCTACGGGAAAAGGTGAGCAAAAGAATTCATTTTGAAAACATTGAGACCTTACCAATCCGAATGTTGTCCTTCGTCCCACTTCGTCCACGCTGCTGGGTACGACACCAGCTAGAGACCTCCATCCATCCCCGGCAGAGGGAGGCTCCTCCTCAAGGATATCGATGGTGACATCCGCGGCTCCGTCTGTTCCACCAGCGAAGGAGCCTGTCGAAGAGGTAGTGCCTGTAATATCTCCCCATATCCGTGGAGACGTCGGTAAAGGCAATCCTGGAGCATATGAAAGTAGCTTAGTGCCGAAACTACTGTTGCTTGGAGTATCCTTCATCGAAGACGCCGACGTAAACGGCGAGATACCTCGTGGGGCAGGCATATCAAGGATATCGATGGGACCCCCGAATACTGGTGTCACCGGCGACGTAGGGACGCTCGGAGCCGTCGACGTCTCTGCGATATACGAGTCTCCAAGTGCAGAGGCATGGTGCCTCATCCGTTCGACAGAGCCAGGGCTCCAGATACCCAGTTCCGCCTGGTTTGGTGCAGCAAGGGCGCGGGGAGGAGGGGTAAGTACGGGAACACCAGCCAGGACAGGCGTGCTAGGCATGGAAGATTGTGCATCATGATACACCGTCGCACCAGACGCTGCACTCCTAGCACTAACACTCGACATTGGCCGGTCACTCATCGTACTCATTGCGGGTGCGAGAGGACGTTGGTCGGACATTTCAGGCGAAACATTACCAAGCAGAGCTTGACCCGACTCGAGATCCTCAGAGGAAACACGTGAATGCCTTCGAGACGAAGAGTCCAAGCTTTTGAACAGATTGCTGATCCGCCCTAAGCCAACCAAACTTCCAAGTCCGAGGAGACCGCCACTGTGTCTGGCGGCATCACTTGTACTAGGATGCTCAGGTGAATGAAGAGGTGAATTGGACGATAACGGAGATGTTCGAGGGCCAAGGTCTTCAACCCGTACACGCCGGGCCGTTGCCAACATAGCAGGTTCATCTCCATCAATGGGATATGATGATCGATGTGTTTGGCGAGAATTACGCGAGGAGTCTCTACTAGAATGAGATTCTGGATCAACCAATGGAGGAGGAGGCATGGGAGGACCAAAATCGGTATCTCCACCGTCGGAGGCCTGCAAGACTGATTCTTCTACCAAAGTATGAAGAGGCTCGGGGGTGGGAGGATTATATCCCGGTCGATACTCATCATCCGGATTAAAGTGGATAGTGGGATGATCTAAAAGAGAACCATAGCCAGAACCTGTCGAAGAGGTGTTCTTTCCACTACTATTTTTGGAGGATGCGCTTCCATTGATAGGGACGTTTCTGACCTCTGCCGGCGCGGCTTTTCTCCTAAAAGGTCCTGGTTTGGCACCACCCTTCCGTTTCGGTGGAACAGCTGGAGCACCACGACTTCGCTGAAGGAAAGGATCAACCTCTTCCCCGCTACCCCGTGGTGAACCTTCCCCAGCCTGGCGGCCCTCAGTATCAATCATGACATAACTGGTGTCTTTTTCTTGAAAATCAGCTTCAAGACGTTGCTGACGGCGACGATAATCCCTGCTCCGAAGATAACATATCCCAATGGTGAGAAGAACCACAAGCGTGAGAACAGAGCCCACAACGAGGCCGGCAATTTGGGCTTTGCCGAGGCGTCCGCTTTGAGAACTCGGGGGTAGGGTTGAGGTAGAAGAGTGGGATGACGTGGACGATGCAGTGAGGGGCACAGATGAAGTGGACGATGCGGAGATTGATGATGTCAACGAATTGGACGACGAAGAGGTGGATGAAGAAGGTATCGCAGATGAAGTTGAAGATACAGAAGATGAAGATGAAGATATTGTTGATGAGGTTGAAGGTATCGCAGATGAGGTGGTTGTAGGTATCGCAGTAGTTATTGAGGTTTCAGTAATGGATGTTGCAGTGGAAGCAGGAGAGGTTAGACCACCGTAAGTCCAGTCTGAACCCAACGGAATCTAGGGACATTCATGTAACTATTAAACTTGGATATCGAGAGAGTGTGACGCACGCTGGGCCCATAGTATGTCAACGGCAAGTACATAACCGAGGTGACGGTGGCAAGGGGAATGCCTCTGTCGTCAGTGACAGTCGACACGACTTGGGTCAACCACGGGGGGAATGTTTGCGTGGTGTCAGCCATCCAGAACTGAATCCGATCTTCCTCTTTTTTTTTGGCTGCTTTTGAGATATAAGTGTCGTTAGTGAGCGTGAGTGCTTGAGTGAGACTAGACCAGGCAATCAGCACGGCAATTCACCAAGAAGCGTAGGAAACGAGAAGAGACGTACGAATTAGAATTCGTCGGAATAAAGTGTCAAAGATGAGAAATCCACAAATGCGCCGGGAGCGACGCAAGAGATGGGGGTAGGGAGGAAAGAGGGAGCGCAGGGTTCCGGGGACTTGCGACGCGCTCCAGGCAAGTCAACCAGGGTCACGTGGTCATTACTTTGCAAATTGACACGATCCTTCCGGAGAGCGTCCGATTTAGTCCCGCGGGTTGCCATGTTCCTCGAGGCACAACTGTGTCAAGGGTGACAGTACCACTGTATTACCCTTCTATTATGTTTGCGCTGGATTATACTATGCTTTGTGGTTGCAGCATTTCTATGGTCAGGAATGCTGGATTCGAGGTCCCTGATTCCCAGTCAGATACATTCATGCTTTACTTTTCAATTATGCGGCAATGTCCTCAATGATTGTGAGAACAGGTAATTTATAGTTGTTGAAATATTCAATTGACGAAGCATCAAATTTTAATTTGGCAGTTTGTAGTCTGTCAGTCTGAGTTTACACATGTACGCCACAGAACTCTTTCGCATGACAATTGCCCGAAGAGCTTCCCTTCATCGTGCGTCTCGGCCGTACGTCTTAGTACGTCCTGCATGCTGTCCGTCGACTTGCTATGAAATGCATTGCTTCCAATGCTAAAATTTAGGCAACGATGTGAACTAACCAATGAAGGTGCGGTTGGAGGTGCGGACGCGTCGATAAGACCCTTTCTGCACCAAGACTGTGTTGTCAAACAGAGTAGGATCATCGACACCCTCGTCGAAGCTAAATTATCGAGTGGAGGATCGGGAACGAGAGGGAAGGAGGATGTGTCTTAACAGATAGTTTATGTACTTGTTGCGGTTAATCAAATTTTCAAATGCAGATCCCAAAGAAAAATCAAGGTAAAACCGCAACTATGAACATCTTAGCTATCGTTTTGAATATTCTAGAGCAGAACGACCGCATTCCTCGTAGGGTGCGAGTTAAACTAAAATATACGCATCAGCTACCAACGACTATCCGGCACAAAGAGTCGCAGCCCGATGGGGATTGGACGAGGATGATCACCCAGAATCAAGAAGAAAGTAAGCGAAAGTTCGAGAAGGTTGATATGAATACCCTGAATGTCAAAATGAGTCAGTTCGAAGTCAATCGAAGTATCCCGTAGCCGCAAAGATATCCCATATAATATAAAGTCCTACGCCGTATCTGGATGAGGAAAGAATACCTTCACACCCACCTACCAACCAAACCAACATTTCAAACACAAACATCAAATGTCTCCACCACCGTCGTAAGAGCGCTTTTACTTCACGCACATGTCCTATCTGATTCCAGACAGTATGACCAAAGGAAAGACGGAGACTACGACTATCGACGGAACGAAAACAGGTTCCACATACGGCAGATGGCAAAGCATCGCGACACGATACACATCTGAATCGAAGAAGGAAGATTTTGAAAGGGATGACACCAGTCAGGAATGGCCTAGGCGTAGAAGAAATCGCCGAACCGGGTGGATTACCTGCTGTAGGTGCGGTAAACATGGACACCGGGGAAGAGACTGCAAGAATAGATTCAAAAGGGAGCGAAGGGGCAAGATGCGTAGGTCCACCTAAAGAACCATAACGCCGCTGCCCCCATCGCAGGAAATGACAACCAGCGTGAGTGGACCTCCGGGATTCGATGACTTGAGGAGATTGATCTGGTAGTCAGCGTTTTCGGGACGAAGAAATGAAGGAAAGCAGCCACCAGCGTCACGATACAGGACCGAAGTAATGGGTGAAGCAGAGAACAATGGGCGACCCAGAGAATAGCGTAGGTTTGCGGTCGAGACTCGAGAAGGCAGAAGGAACAGACTATCACAGAACTCCTTGTACCAAGTTCCTATGCTGAATGTAAGCGTGTCATCAATATCATAAGCGAAACTAGATCATTTTCTGACTCAAACAGTACAGTATGACGTCGAGAGGAGCCGCAGTCGCAGCCGCATCATCGAGGCTGAGATATATAAGTAAGACCCGTACCATTCACATCTTTAGAACTATCCACCATGTCAAACCATTCCGATACAGTCAAAGCCAAAGCCTCCGGTCACGGCAAGTCAGAGCTTGCCGGGGAGAATGAGGCCAGATTTTCTATCCAGCCCCATCCTGCTGTGAGTATTGATCGTAGCACTGAAACAAAATTTCCTACTCACTGTACGTCCTTAGAAAACCAACGATCCCTCTGATCTTAACCAGCCAGCAGGAGGAGGACTGAGATCCGACCCAGTGGTGGGAGCGCACCACGCCAGAGATCCCCACATTCCGAAACAGGATGTTTTGAACAGCTTGGAGCAACCCCTGGTATACCGCTTATCAATCATATAGAGAATACGCTGACTGATTCATCCAGAGTCGTGAAGAACTCAGGAAGAGGCAGGCCGAGTTGAACAAATAAGCAAACGGGGGGCGGGGACTTCAATCGGATGGACAGTATCTGTAGTGTCGTTGTGTCGAATTCGAAGTTTGTATAGGATATGGGTTTCAGAATGACGAAAACTGCAATTGCCGCTACTGGATTGATTCCGTCGCCAAGTGCAGTAATGTCTTCGAACTTTCGGCTACAGCTTGAAACTGTTGCGCCCATATGGACCTCCTGGAGAAACGTATCTCGTTAGACGCGTTGCAGTCTTTGCTTTGCCAACACGCACTGGTCTCATCCGCAATTATCCAGACAGGACTGCATATTCCGTATTCAATTGTTGTATCCCCTCTAGCTCTCAAGTCGAGACAGTCAAATGTTGGAAGTGTTGTGTGTAGTTATCGCTCAGCGTAGGATATTAAATCCATAATTTACGATACAACATTGGAGAGCAATACGACAGCGTTCGAGCTTCGAGAACGAGACCAGGAGCCCCAAAAGTGAAAAGTGAAAATAATCCGCCCTTCAAGCACCCGTCAATGGTCACCCTCAGCTGCAATCAATTCTTTTGTTGCGTTGCGGCGTCAAGTCGATCATTTTGAGCCTGTTTCGACCAAGACTTTTGTTCAAATGTAGCCGCATCACCAAGTGCTTTTAACGCCTTCGCCTTCAGCACACTCTGGCTGTAATCGCGAAGACGAAGAATAAAAGTCGCAAAATGATACACTTGGATAGGGAGACGATATATTGAACGTTCGAATATTTCTCTCCATAAGGTAAACAACCTGAATGCCTTGTTAGCAATGAACCAGATAGAATATAGCAGTGCATACATCCTTAGCTCGAGAATACCAGCCCATGAACACAGCGCCTTCGCAACCATTCGTAGCGAGACCAAACACAGGGTGATCGGTGACACCCAGGCTAGCAAGGTGCCGGCAAGATGCTTCAGTATACATTCTTGTCTGGACAAGAGGTTTCATAAACCCTCTATCGGAGTGCTTCTTATACTCCCCAACTAAAACGGCAAGTAACAAAAGGCCCACCAAAGACCTGACTTCCTTGACAGTATCAGAAGGGAGAGGTTCGGCTTTCCGCGTTTCCGAGCGGTTGACGCTGAATGGATCTTGGAGATCACTGGATCGGAATTTTTCGGCATCAACTTCCTCTGGCATGACAGGGCCTTGTTGAACTACGGAAGTAATCAGATTCGTCATGACTTTTTCTTGCTCCTCTGAGGAATCTCGAGCTTCCGGAATATAATGGAGGGACCTGCTAGTGACGAAACTTGTTGGGCGACCTGATACTGACGATCTGCGACTTCCGCTTTTGCTCCCAGTTGCTTGGTCTGCATCATCACCAGGCTTTGGCTTGCCCATTCGAATAAGAGGCGCGGGAAGAATGTGGGGAACGTCGAGAGGAAGAGGGAGAATTAGGTCACATGTTGCCGTTTTTGGCTCCATGTCTGCGCGAGTCTGGATCACGTCCTTTACATTATGCACCTCGAACAGATTGACAACAGCCTTGGTCTGCTTGATGCATATGTTGTAGGCTTCATTGGCCTGCAAAAACACATCAGATAGGTCTGTGAACCACTCGTTGGCTGACGCAGCGGTGTGTCGACTGCAAGCCAGCGATTCTCTAACGCATGCCTTGAATGTTTGTACAAAATTAGGATCATCAAAGGAAGCCACAGCGACATTTCGCGACAAGAAGATAGTACGCTCTAAGCTATAACGACATGAGAGTCCGTATAAATAATGAAAGGATAACTAAAACTCACAGTGGACGAGAAGGGTTGATATCGCTCTGCGAAAGATACATGAGGTACATGAGAAAATCCCAGTCGTGTCTTGCTTCCGCTTCGTTGGTCTCTTGTTGGGCCACCATCTTCGAGAAGCCTCCAACAGAGGCCCAACACAGGGACGAAAAGGAGTCCGCGATGGTGGCGGTGTGTGCCGAGGAAAGAGTCGTATCTCGTGGGCATTCTTCCATCTGCTTGAAGAAATGATCTCGAATTCCATTCATCCTTTTATCGACGAGCGGCATATCTTCCTGGCGGAAGATCAAATCAATGTAGAGAATTCAAGTTGTCCACCTACGATACCCTCCCGGGTGGGGCTTGGTATCCAGTGAGCTGATCGTAAACGGCTTTCATGTTGTTGATTTCATCCGCTGCCACTGTATCGTTCGAATGACTGGGCCCCAAATCTATTGCGGCGATACTGATGACTTTACGATCGTGCGAATAACTGCCCCACGACAGTTTATTTGTCGGAGCTATACCTTCGACCGCTTTTCGTCCCAGCCTAAATGAAGAAGATCAGCAGAACTGATGATATAGATAATGAAAGGCGTCTAACGCGGAACAAGACGTTGATCGTCGTTTGCTATCACAGGCATCAACCAAAATGAGGGCTTCGGAAAGACCAACAGAAGGTTGCTATCGATGAAACGAACCTGCTTTCACGTGGCGGGGGAATATCACTCAGCCAAGAGTGAATTCGTCTTTCCCATTGTTCTTCGGTACCGTGCTGTCCATCAGTACTGTCAGGTCTCCACGAAAAAGGCTTGAACGTCGAACTAGGGCATTGCTCAACAATCCTCTTCACGTGAGTCCGGAGACCCAGAATGAACTGCGAAAGTTGGAGCGCAGAAGCTGGGTCTGTAAGGTGGTAGATCCCTAAGGACGAGTCAGAGAACTCTTGATCGGAATACGCGACATGAACTACGGGCTATTTGAATTTCATCAGGGCCACCATGACTCGAAGGAAGCAAAGAAGCAAACTCGCCAGAGCATGAGGCTCGGCAGGTACCTCGATCCAGCCGAATATCACTCGGCCGACACACCCAGTTTTCGAGAGAACAATGCCAACCACTGGCTCGTCTATTCCCCAAGTGTACCGTTGATAAAGGGAACTATTGATGAGGGGCAGGATGTTTTCTTTATCGGTAACACAAAGGAAGGGAAGGGCGGCAGCATCGTGGCATCGCCAATATGCCAGAAGATGAGCACCCAGGGGAATATGGCATGAGGAAACTGATGTAGGATCTGTTGAAATTTCGCTATGGTAGGAACTGCTATCGCTATCGAAAGTGGATGACTCTTCGTCGTCATCATCGTCATACGAGCCTTCCGAAAATGCATCCATATCTTTGGGAGGTTTTTGTCGTGGAAGATCCTGCAGGTCGGCTTTGGGCAGCTCGAGTTCTTCAGCCAGATGAGAAATCAGAAGAGATGCATGACCGTCTGGTTTGGCCTCTTGCGTGGGAGACAACCGTGCACACACAAATGGAGCAGATTCTCTATAAATCCTTCATTAACGACGCAATTTTTCCCGATACGACGCATACTTGCATTATATACGATTTGTCGTAGCATACGTGGGCGAGCGAGCGAATTAACAGCGACCAGAAAGGCGTAGTCGACCGGAGGGCATCTTCCATAATTACACGAAGTATAGATATGCTTGATAATATGAGGTCCAACATGTCCAGTACCTCCGATGAAGAATCATTGCTCCCAAACCTGCTTGGTGAACGAACCAATAATTCCGAGAGTTCACCGAGCAAGTGGGAAGTTCTGCACGAAAAGGGTGGATATGATTTGCTCAAAACTTGGACAGGAATTGGGGTGTCCAACAGGGTGCAGACAGAGCTTATTTCTGTCGGCCATTCGGATGAACGGTTGATTTGGTGCTGTTGCATGAAAGGATCAACATTCGAGAACATAGAGATAACATACACAGCTGAATATCCCTTAAATTAGAATTACAAGAACCGAGGGAGTTGGGATATCTATAAGGTCGTCTGTGGCCCGTTCAGTGGCAGTAGATGAAGGTAGGGATTAGGGATCAACAACTTCATTCAGCCCGAGCTCCGAAATGCTAATGTCATGTGACCTCAAAGCATTCACTGGCAGAATTCAAAATTCTCGCTATTGAAAACACTTGGTTAATCTAGTACTATGTGTTGTATATACATTCAGACGAATAATTCCAGTTCAGTATCCTGAGACTCATCACCACACAGTTCGATCTTACCATGATCTCCAGTAGAGAATACAATAAGGAATCAAAAGCATTATGTATCTCAATATCAGAACGTATCGGGAGTAATGCTACTGTTAGCTAGTAATCCTGTCATGTATAGATGGCTGCTGGACTGCCTCAAGAAAATCCGCCCGTCCCCAAGGAGTCCGGAAGCCCCGCCTCGCCACAACCTCTCTCCCTCGCAGCGTCTGCATCAGAATCAACCTCCAAAACAATCTCACCTCCCCCAACTACATCGTACCAATCAATGACGCAAATGCTTGAACTCTGTACCCCATTGATAGTTACACTTTTCACGTACATCTTGCTCCCATCAGGCGGCGCCGCACTGAGGGACGTGCTGTCAAAATTGTTCACCACAAACTTTGTACTCGTTCCAAAGGCATCATTGCACAATATGAACGAGGAGAGGAGAGGAGATCCGATAAGCATCTGTGTCGAAGACAAGACTGGGTAAAGACCAAGAATATGGAATACCAGTAAGGATGCCATTGCACCAGAGTCATCGTTGCCTGGGATTCTGCAGGGAATCCAATGAAATATCACATGTAGATAGAACGGACGACGAACCCTGAGATTTCGGTATTGAAGTTTTCATAGATGACTTGACGTACCCGAAGAACACTCAGATCAGGACGGTCGGCGTAGTGATATATCCAAGGCATGGCGAATGAGGGCTCGTTCCCTGCAAAAAAGTACCCGGTGGAGAAATAGTGGTCGCTAGTGAATGCACATCAGTTACGACAATAAATAGTGGCGCTCGCATGGCTCACACTCTATCAACGAACGTATCATTCCCTCCCATCAGATCCACAAGAGTCGCTACAGAGTGAGGAGCAAAGAAGCTGTACTCCCAAGACGATGCTGAAGACTAGTATCAGTTATACCACCTAGCCATGAGTGTATCGTACTGACATTCGTAGAATCCAACATCATTGTCTGTGCCTCGAGCACAAGAATGCGATACGGGATCTACGGGAGAACATGCATCCGGTGGACTGAAGGCGAATGTTCCGTTCTAGATGCTGAGAGTAAGCAATACCTTGACTCAACCAGACTGATCCCTACAGGATATCGTCTTTGCATGAAGCCGGTAAATCCATCATATGTAAGGTTAGCGTCCCACATATTCACAAAATTCATAGAGCGGTTCGTGTAGGTAGCTATGTCAGCCGAAGACTTTCTTAGAGCAAGGCCGGCCTGACGGACAGCGAAGTCTCCAAGGGCATACTGCTTTGATTTGAGTGATTGGGAGACTAAACAGGAAGAGATTACCTCTAAAGCCCTAGATGCCTCCCGAGTAGGCAGACCTGTGGACCCTGATGGATCCGTCCAGTCAGTAGGGATGTAACCAAATTGTTTCCAAGCCGTGTTCTGTCGCCCGACTATGGACACAGTGTTAAGAACTACACAAGCATACCTAAATCCTGGGAGAACAGACCTAGATACCAGTTTGGCGGCTGTTCGGAACGAAGATATGAATATCATGATAAGGAACAAGGGAAGAGGAAATCGCCACATACCGTGTTCTCTGCAGTGTCCACCAAAGCTTGGTATAGGTCATCTGTGGACACGCCTAGATCTCCAGCGCGAGATCTGTATTTGACTGCAAAATCTCCTAGGATTGGCATGCCGTCGCTTCCACCTTGAACGTACCCGCTGGTCATGGACCTGTGAGCGACGCGCCAAAATGGAATTGTGAATCGCTCACGCCTTCGTGTTAGCACGACATTCGGGTATATATCCTATTCTCGCATCAGTCTAGACGGCGCATGGAGGCTACTTGATTACCCGTGTTACGCCAGCCGTCTACATATGCGCTGACGATATCAGCCCATGCACGAGGATTAATAATTGAGTGCAACGGGTGTGCAGTCCGGAAAGTGTCCCATGAACTGGACTAATTTATAAGCGCATCTTCAAAGGAGGAAATACACACACCAGAACAGAGCATCGTAGAAAGGATAGGGAGAATCCCAATATGGATTCTCGTCGGTGAGATTCGCAGGAATGAGAGATGTCCTGTAAAGCTAAAAGTTCGGAAGTCAGTCGATCTGTCAACAACTCATCTTCTTTAAGGCTTGCCGACGAATACAAGAGTTCTACGACATTAGGATCTTCGACTTCAGGATCAATCTGGACATGCGATAACACGTCTTCCCATTTCGAAACTGATGCTGCTTGAATGGCATCCCAATTCCAAGTGGGAACTTCCTCATCCGCGTTTGCGCATGCCTGGCCAGTGCTGATCATGGATATGCCGAAACGTGCAGTGACAGTGGATGAACTAAAAGATAATAAGGCACCTGCCTGATTTGTATAGACAGAAGATTGGAATGGAAAGCTGACGGTGCTTGAGTTAGGCGTGATCACGATATCGTTGGCATCACTGGATGAAGCAGATTCGTATATCCCGAATGCAATCAAGCTCTGATTTGCAAACTCGGAGGAGAAGTCGTAACACGCATAAGCTGTATAATTGTCAGGTCCATAACTCTGGAACACCAGTATGTCAGATTGAATATTATATTACATGTAAGTGGAGACTGACCTGAAGGAAGGTTCCGTACAAAGTGACTCTTCCGTCGGCTATGGAAAGACCGCCACCTTCAAACGACCGCTGCAAATCATTTGTCAGATCGACTACGACGTGGTTGACGTTGTTGCCCTCTGGGTAAGTAAATCTGATCAACCCGGCTCTTCGCGTGGACGTCGTCTCCAACTGAATGCCGTTCACAAACGTCGTGGTGAAGTAACCAGGGGAGGCAGCTAAGACATTGATAAGTATCACTGTGATTTTCACCCTTAAACTCAACCTTACCATCAGCTCCCGCAGCACGTAAAGCAGCCCGAGCCCCAATCCTGACCGGACATTCGGAAAACGAGCAGTTGGTCAAGGGAAAGAGAGGAAATATGCCGTAGCCTCCTGCAGTATTCCCACCGGTGCCTTCATCATGCATCAGTGATATGCCCGTGATTGATGAATTATCTGCGATATATCCCGCTTGCCGGGGGGTGGTACTGACGTCGATTCCAACCTTAGCCATCGCATGGGGGACTGCCGAGCCTAAAATAAACATTTGAGGAAAGCTGAAACTAGGAAATAATGGGAGATGCATACCTGGAAAGGCATTACCCCCACTCCCGCCGTTTGCAGCAGTTGATGTTCCAATGAAAAGATTCACGAAAGAGGTTAAGTTCGCGCCATATACTTGTGAAGCTACAACGACCGACAAGAAAAGGATACCACGGAAGAGGTCAATCATTATGATTTGGTCGGCCTGTGTTTCATGCAGCAGCTACTTATAAGTGGGCTGGTGGCACGTTCGAGATGGTCACCGTATCAAGAACAACAAGCACATGGTACCATCTGTTCGTTGCCCCAAAGATAAGGTAAGTTCAAAAAGGTACATAGCATTGTTTTATTGATTCTCTATACGATAGGTAGACGAGGAGTGTGCAAAACGGCCAAGACCAGATCCAGATGTGAAATACGCGAGCAGCCCACGACCCAAAAAACTTGGAGGGGTGAGAGAATGCCTCGCAGAAGTCAGAAACTATCAGAAGACAGCAAACCGGGCCGTGAACAAGTTCGAATTCGATCCACATGAAAGATAAAAATAGCAGCGCGACGAGGAGCGATCCAAGAATAGCCGTGACGCGCCCTGCAGCGTCATAGAGATGTCATAGCCGGGCACAAGCGTATATAAGCAATGGTGCGTCCAATCTTCCTTTGTTTCGGCAATGTCAACCACGGAACAAGTAACACCTACCGCCGCTACGGTACATCCTTCTGCAATCAGCTCGAATGCACGCCCCGACACAACGCAGAAAAGCGATTCTAACCCATCCCAGAATGTTGGAAGTGAAAAACATGACGAATATCCTGAGCAGAAACATGCGGGGAAAGTTGGCTATGGTCCGCAGTATCATTCGGGACCAGTGAGTACGCTAGTACTCGTATCTAGAATTCTTCGTTGATTAGTTGAAACAGACTTTCACCGACAAAGTAACTGGATTGAAGGAAGTCGTCAAAGGAAAGATTACCGGCAATCAAGGCCTCGTGCGCCAAGGTCAGGAGCGACAGACCGGAGAATTGATGCGCAAAAAGAAACAGGCAGATGTGAGTTATTTCCGTCTTTACGGTTTGACTGACACTTTAACGAACGTTTCAGATGGATGAAGACCCCTTTGCAAAGCAAGAAACAGATCATAAAGTCGCGCAAGACGAACAGCCTTCAGAGGACAGTCGTGGCACAAAGAAAAGTTGAGTTAGAACCTTTGTAGACTTCAGCGTTGTCCTTCTCGAATAGATCGTGCCGCTTTCAATTTTCAGAATCTTCTAATCGCCGTACAGTTGAAATGAGAGCAAGTTATTCGGCAGTAAAGGTTGCGGAAAGGAGTCAGGCGACTTGCCAGCAAACATGGGCGTGATCGACATTTCAATGGGCCGGGCCGCCTTTAACTTTGACTACCACGTCCAGGCATTGCACAATGCATTTTAAAAGTTTTCCCCATCGCTTGTAGCAAAATATGTAAGCTCTTTATCTTCGAACTGCTTCGATTCCTACCTACCTTTTCGGCCAGGTGCAACCGACCGCCAATCATGATTGCATGTTTGCCTAGAGGAAAATAACTTCGGAAACAAGTGAAGACTGCGATCAGGACTAGAGTGTTGCCAATGTGATTTCGAATTTGCAGACGATCCATGAACGAGTCAACCGAGGACCGCGGCGGTCCGTGAATATTCTACTGCAGCCCATTTTTAGCTGAGAGCAACACGGGGACCGCAAGTATTCTCCGAAAGATTTTATTTCGGAGTAAGTCGTTGGGTACACATCAATTCGAACATTCTTGGCCTTACCAAGATTATGGCGTTCATCGTCATGGAGAGTGGATTTCGGACTGATCCCCTTAAGGTCAGCAGGATCCTTGGCTATAAATTGTCGCTAATTCTTCGAGGATTCGCAGCCCATTTTCTCACCATGTTATCTCTTTCGATCCTTACCGCCTTCGTCTGTCTGACACCCTTCGTTATTGCTGCTCCTTCCGAGCTTCAAAAGCGTGTCGACACCACGACCTACTGTGGTACGTAGGGAACAATATCGTAGATGGTTTGATGTTCACAATCTTCCAGGTCAATATGACAGCGTCGATACCGGCACATATACTCTTTACCTCGACCAGTGGGGGAAGGACAACGCCGATTCTGGTTCAGACTGCGCTTCGGTCACGTCTACCAGTGGTACCAATATCGCATGGACCACGACGTGGACATGGAGCGGGGGCTCTGGTGTGAAGAGTTTCACTAACATCAACGTCAACGACGGTCTCGACGTTAAGCTCAGTGCTATTAGCAGTATCAAGGTAGGTCGTCTCCACTTCATCCAAAAATGACATATGCAGACTCGAATGTAATTTCTAGAGTTCGTGGACCTGGACCCAAACTACCAGCGGGACCGTTGTGGCCGACATTGCGTATGATATGTTCACCTCGTCCACTTCTGGGGGCTCGAATGAGTATGAGATCATGGTCTGGCTCGATAATATCAATGCCGGGGCTATCTCTTACACCTATGGCTCTGACGGTTCGGCTACACCCATTGTTAGCAGTGTTACTATTGCAGGATACACATGGTTGGTTATTTCTTCGGTGAATTTGAAGTATTTCCCTGATTTGTATGATAGGGACTTGTATTATGGCTCTAATGGTTCCAACTATGTCTACTCCTTCTTGACTGCGGATGGGAGCGCCATCAAGAGCTTCAGCGCTGACCTGATGGACTTCTTCGATGTGAGCATTCTCTTTTCGCGTTATGAACTAGTTTTGTACTCACGCCATCATAGTACCTCACCTCGAACGAGGGATTGAGCACTTCACAATACTTGACCACGGTTCAGGGTGGAACTGAGGCCACCTCAGGTTCTGCCACTCTCACTTCGTGAGTATCGTGCTTAATCCGAACGATTTTCGACTAATTGCCCTTTCCAGCTCCGTTTTCAGCATTGTGATCGCTTAAATGACTAGCATATTAGTCTAATCATAGTATAACTGGCTGTTGTGCTCGCATAGCCTTTAACATTTGGAATCGCTAGGAAGTTAGCCCTCGGAAAATCCTGTCCGGGCCCCATTGCTAAGCCAACTAAGTCTGAAACGCTGAATACATAAAGCAGTGGATTGCATAACGACCCTGATATCATCAACTAAGGAGGCCGCCACCCTGGTCAGCGGCCAGGATCCAATCCTGTTTGTCATGACGCTTGTCTACTAGCTGCATATGAGCCATGTTGTCCTGATTCGGTGTCAGCAACTGTCCCACAATCAACAAACGACGAGAATGAGTCAAAGATAACCAACGCCTTCAATAGTATGTAGAGAGCATTCAAATCCGCAGTGGGGTCCATAGATGATCGGTTTTGTAGGACTCAGAAGTTGGAGGTCGGAACGAACTGGGAAGCTGGGCCCAGCGTATACATAAGTACGCTCGTCGGATCTGTACTTCAAAATAATTTTCTTGGTCCGCAAGGAGTCTCATTGTTGAAACGTTGAACGTTGAAGTCCAAAAGTATGCGCACTCGGGTACTCTCGAGTGGCGCCACCAGGCGGTCGTTTTTTTACGAACATCATCAAACGATGCCAGATTCGGCCATCACAGAACTTCGAGTTCCGCTCATCGCTTTCGCCTTCCGATCAAACTACTGCCGCCACCAACGTGATCTCTCGATGCAAATCCCGCAAAGTTAACTGCATTTGTTCCATGAGCGGTCCGTGGTGACTACTATGGAGGCCTCGACCACGTACCGCCGCGTTCTACACATGTGCTACTGCTTCCAAGAGCAATACGGGGACTCGAGATGTTCCGATGACAATATGTCGGAATAATTGTCGCGTAGACGTTCAATCAAGCTGTTTTGGCCGGAATGTATCTATCCCGTTTTCTCCGTGGACGGCAATTTCTGGATTTCTAGCCTTGAAGCTCGGCTTGCTGATAGTGGAGGTATTTTATTGAGGATTGTACAACTGTCGACCATGATCTCTCTGTCGACTATCTCTACTGTGCTCTGCTTTATCGGCCTCATTTTCGCTGCTCCGTATGAGCTGCAAAAGCGACTTGATACCTCGATACATTGTGGTGAGTAATGATCGTTGTCGCCAGACAGGATTTGTGTTTACAACCCTATAGGCCAATACGACAGTGTTAATGCCGGCATGTACACTCTATACCTCAACCAGTGGGGCGAGAATGCCGCTACGTCCGGCCAGTCATGCGCTGCAGTTACCTCCACGAGCGGTGACAACGTTTCATGGACTACGAGCTGGACTTGGAGCGGTAGTGGTGGCGATGGCGTGAAGAGTTACACGAACATTGATGCTAATAACGGTCTCAACGTCAAACTCGGTTCCATCAGCAGTATAAAGGCCAGAATGCCATCCAAGTGACAAGTCGATAAGATGCTGATGTGTAGACGGTTTACTAGAGTTCGTGGATCTGGAGTCAAACTATTAGTGGAACCATCATAGCCAACGTTGCTTACGATCTATTCACTTCCTCCTCGGCTGGCGGCTCAAATGAATACGAGATCATGATTTGGCTTGACAATATTAACGCCAAACCTATCTCATACAATTATGATGTCAGCGGTGCCGCTATAGCCATCGTCAAAGATTTGTTTATTGCTGGGTATAAATGGTTTGTGGTCTGTTATGACATCGCGATCCGTGTTCTGACGTCCTAGTTTGTAGGGATTTGTATTATGGCAGCAACGGTTCTAACTTTGTCTACTCCTTCTTGACTTCGGACCAGAGTGCCGTTAAGGGCTTCAATGGCGACCTGATGGACTTCTTTAATGTCTGTTTCTTTTTTTTTCGGAGTTGGCTTTGTGCTCACACGCCTTCATAGTACCTTACTTCCAAGCAGGGACTGAGCGCTTCTCAATACCTCATCACGGCTCAGGGTGGCACCGAGGCGACGCAAGGGTCCGCTACCCTCAAATCGTGAGACTTTCACTCTCCTGCCGACCTTAAAACTCACATTCTTGTCATCTAGTTCTACTTTCAGTCTTGTGATCAGTTGAATAATTCCTAGTGACATTGAATACGTTTCTTCTACCCAAGCGTTTTGGCAATTTCATGCCAAGAAATTGAATTCATCATTCAACATCATAATGATAGGCGCGCGGCCTACGCAGATAGCGTGGCGGGCCGGAGTTGTGCTAGCAAGGTCGTTGACTCTTACCATCTGGTGTCATGTATCGCTGAGTCCTTGCTCTTTGATGATGTTCTTCCGACGTATTCTCCCAAAATTTATTCAGGGTTTTCAGTCTCATGGGATCGATACCGCTGCACATGCCCTATCCTCGAGGTATCCCAAGTATCTTGCGGGCCGCTGCAAGCGATCAACGGACCTCGTCAATAGTCCGAAGATTGGTACCGACTAGCTTCTACAGATTTGGTTCTTCTTGAACATGTATATATTCCTCAGGCTCTTTACTTCTGGGCGAACCGCCAACTATGCATTTTTCCTCAGGCTCGCTTCCCTCTGTGGTCGCTCTTACGGTTTTCCTGGCGCGAGCATCGGTTTATGCTCACCCACATTCTTTCGCTATTTGGGCCGCCGATTCTGCCATAGCGCGAGGACAAGGAAATGGACTTGATTCTAATGGAGAACCTACTGATTCATACGAACACGGAGAGCTGCAGTGGGGACTGCGTCTGTTATATGAAACGACTGGGAACGAATCGTATTTCAATTACATTGTCCAAGGGGCTAGTCAAATCGTCGATAGTAAAGGTGATATCGAAGGTGGCTATTCGTGAGTGATTGATTTTTCAATGATGTGCACATACTCACGTAGAATTTTAGCATTGTCGCTTACTCTCAGGATCCTATAAGGTCGGTGACATTCAAAACCTGTCACTGTAAGCTGACTGCCGTACTATTTCAGAACGGGACCGACATTTGCATATCTGTTGCGCTAACTACAGTTGCATGCATCATTCCTACAGCTAATATTTGCCCACGTTCGTATAGGTACGAACGAACAGGCCAGTCAAAATGGAAAATTGCTATGGATACCTATCATCAGCAGCTCATGGGGCAACCTCGAACCGCCGAAGGCCAGTTCTGGCACAAGTTGATATACTACAATCAAGGTACACTCACTTGTGAATTGTGAAAGGAAAGATATCAATGAGATTACAGGCTGGCTTGATGGAATTTACATGGGTGAAGTATTCTACACTGTATATACGAACACATTCCAACCGACCAACGCCACAGCTTACGGTACGACCAATAATTGTCGAGTCCAATGTCTCTAGAGCTAACGATTCGTTGGTAGCTGACATTGCAAAACAGTTCGATCTGATGTTCCAAAACACCATACAAAAGAAAGGAGTTGCGAACTACACTGGTCTTATGTACCATGGATATGACTACTCCCACACCGCCTCGTGGGCCTCCGAGGATCGAGGGCATTCACCCGAAGTCTGGATTCGGGCGTTAGGGTGGTACATGATGGCACTCGTTGATATCCTCGAAATTTATCCCGAAGACAATTCCATTTTTCTGGATCACTTGAATACACTCGTCCCCCGAGTACGCGATGCGGCTGACCCGGACTCTGGTGTGTGGTGGTTGGTCATGACCCAGCCAGGCAGGGCCGGGAATTACTTTGAAAGCAGCGGATCAGCCATGTTTGTCTATGCAATGCTGAAGGCGGTGAGACTTGGATATGTGGTAGATAATAATGGAAGTATCGTGAAGGCCGCTACCAAGGCGTACCAGTATATGATTGACAACTGGGTCGTTGATAACAGGGATGGAACGATGGATTGGTTGAATACAGTCTTGGTGGGCCTTCGCTCTGTGAATATGCGTATACCCAAACCTGATACTTACATGCCGTACTGTAGGTTGGAAGCTTGGACGGAAATGGAACATTTGAAGTAAGGTCATATCCTCTTCTCGATTTGAGTCGCTGACCATCCCTGTTTCCAGTATTATACCAGCATCGAGGTTGATACCAATGATCTCAAAGGTCTGGCTGCATTCTTGTTAGCTAGTCTCGAGTACGAAACATTATAGAGGTGCCAGTCTGTAGCTACCACTCACTGCAGCAATAAAGGAAGCTTCCACATTCTTACGTTCAAGAATCCGACGCTATGGCAGTCCAACCTGTCCTAGCGACAGATTAAGTACTCGAGAACATGATCCAGACTCTAGTTACATGAAATGTACATCATTCCCAGCGTCCTCTATCAATCACCTCCACACTCCTCGAAACAAGCCCCGGGCCAAAAAATAGTCATATAAATGAGGAACAGAAATTAAAGATAAAGAAAGAAAATACGAGTGATGATGCAACAAAGAGTGGGGCAAGGGAAATATAGGTACTTAGGTAGGGTATCCTGGTATTTGAACGCGAGCTGCAAACCGAAAACTGAAACAACATAAAAACAGACAAAATCGGTGAATATTAGGATCGTGAAGAAGTCATTAGATTCATCGCAGGGGTATGGATGCCATTGCCATCGCTATAGCCGGTGTCCAGGGACTGCCCAGAACAGCAACGTCAACGCGGTAACAAATGCGGCAACGAGTATGGAAACCCATATTGCACGCCCTAGCAGCAGCTTCTTGACGTACGCTTCCCGTATTGTCAGCGTGCGAAAGGGTGTCGTTTCGGATTGCCCGAAGAAAACGAGGATGGGATCCAGCTCATACTGATGGGAAATGAGGAAAAGAACTGCGAATGTGAATGGTATGAATAGCTAGGAAAAGCATGTCAATGAACTTAACAGGCCAGAATAGGCTATAGACTTACGAAGAAGCGTTTCGACTTGGGCTTCACGTCCAAGAATATCAGCGAAAACGCCACGGCGAGACCGATCCATAGAATTATGAGCCCAAGGATTAATCGTACCAACGATGAAACCGGCGTTAGGTTCCCAAACGCCTTTGACCGCAGGAATCGAGGAAAGGCATCCTGCTCCATCGCACGAAAACAGTACTCTTTCTGGGAATGGAACATGTCGGGTATTTGTGCCATGAGATTGTGCTCTGTCTGAGACTGAGGCCCGTGGGTTGAACTCAAGGGGAAAGAGTGGATTCGGAGTGAAGGTGGCAGATAGATTTCATGATTCTCCGTGGCATTCACTGTATTCGCTGCAGGCGACAGGTAACGAAAGTATATGCGCTCTGCAGAGGCGATGAGGTCGAGGCGAGTGATGGCAGCAGAACGGGGGATGACGGTAGGCGCACGCGAGGCGCGTTTCATATTGAACAAGGTAGGTGTTCGGCCAGAAAGAGAGAATGGAGTCGTTGAGCGGGCAAAGTCATTAGGGGAGGTAGAATTTATGCGAGTTCGGTCGGAGAGCATGGGCGTGGGGCGAGGTGATGCTGAACGAGCACCGGACTTTTCATCGAGGTTGGCTAATTCCTGCTTGTCCTGATCTGTTATCATGTCGCCAGTGCTCGTCGTACTGCGCTTCGTCCCTACGCCATCTGGGTTCATCCCGACAACGGTACCGTAAATGGACCCACGTCTCCGTGCATAATCCCAGTACTGAGGCCAGTCTTCCTTGATCGTTCGACCTGACTTGCGAACATCCTTGAAGTATGCTCGGCACAGGTTTTCATGCTGCTGCACGTCGAGCCAAAAGTCCAGGATATCTTCTGAGCCCTCACGCTGGAGAAAGAGACTGCACCAAATTAGTTACGGCAGCGGTGAAAAAAACAAGACTACACACTAGAACATGAACAGATCGACTGGAGGCCATGTTCTCCTGGACAGGACCTCGGTGAACGACGGCAGCCTATTCTTGCGACTAGCGGCCCAGTCATCCTGCTGTCGCTGCTCATCCATCTGCGAAGATATTCCAGAGCGAAAGGGCGTGTGCAAATAATGTGGACAGTTCAACGAACGTCAGTCACGTCAGTAACGTTGGGAACGACTGCTGACGTAACCCTACCACATCCGTACCACCATGTCCTTCAGCAAGGCGTTTACCCCCGCCTTGCGGGAAATACGAATCTTATGTTGCCAGACGGGACCTGCGTCTGCGGGAACGAGGTATATTGTATCTTTTTTCTTCAAAGCTGCGGCTTTCACCTTCTTCACAGGCAGTTTATCACCTCCAAATACCCTTTAATAAAGCAACACAATCCAGATCTTCCCGTGTTGATTCGAGAGGCTAACGGCACTCCTGCTAGGGTGTTCGCGAGGTTTGGTGTGTCTATGTCGTGTATATTTACAGCAAATGCTGATGACCAAGTAGAACGGGGCCGGGAAGTGCATGTCGACCTTGATAATCTTTCGGCGACAGATGTAGAATCCAAAGTTGCTCAGCTCTTGAGCTCATAACAAAATTGATGCTGCTTTTCGCGCACAAATGTCTTCGCTTGTTGTAAAATGTGAACTCAAGTCCAGTTCTGCCTTAGTCAATACCGCCGTCATTGAGGGCGCAACGAGACACATATGTCAATATGATCTTTCGGTACTTTGGCGACAAATTGCGGCACCTTCAAGTGGACATAGCTGGACGCTCTTTATTCCTCCGTTATGCTCTCGCGCGGTTACTCACGTCACTTTAAATAAGTCCAGGTCTGTCTTCAAGCTTGCCACGCTGTATGTAGCAGTCTTGTGATACCATTGATTCTGCTCATCACGAGTCAGCATGCTAAGAACCGCAAACATGTCAAAATCGAGATGGTACATTCTGCCACCCTCCGCTACCATATGGACGAAAGAACGAAAGAATTGCCGGGGCTTTCAAAGCTGATGAATGATTGAAACATTAATTACAGAGGTGCCGTTCATACAAAGTCCTACACCCGCAATTCGGCCTCGTACCTGGACTTTTGTATGGAGTCTGAGTAATTAACATGTTCCCTCGAGCCGACTAGCCTGGAGTGCCTGCAGGAAACGTTGATGGTGTTCTTGCCGAGCCTATCATAACTAAATAGGTGGCGAATTCTCATGTGTTCACCCTGATAATGGACAGGTCGAAGGTCCTAGCCTTGCAGGAGCCTCCCTTGTATATCATCAAGGTCTTCTTGGAGAAGCTACTCCGCATTTTGGTGCCCAACTACTGCGAAGAATTGATCTTGTAATTCACCCTTATATCCTTCTCTTCTGGAAATCAATGGGGCAATCAGAGAATGGCCTTCAGCCTGACGACATTCTACCAATTCTAATGCTATGTCACACCGCTGCTCGGCGCCTATGTAGCAGACTCCTACTGGGGCCGGTATATGATAATCTGTGTCGCTGCAGCAGTCGCTCTCTTTGGTCATGTAACCCTCATCATTTCAGTCGCACCTGGTGTCATCGAAAATAGCAATGGTGCTATGGCAGCCTTCATTATCGGCATGATTATTATGGGTTTAAGTGGGATTGTTTCCTTGTGTGAATATCCATGTTAGTTACTGCAGGACAGGCCTGTTTAAGGCGAACATATCCCCACCGATATGGCGTACTAACGACGTTCTATAAATTTCAATCCGCTGTCGTTGATCATACCCATCCCTATCTTTGATTTTGTCGTAAGTAGAATACATTGAAATGTTCGTGTTCCTGCTGTTGACAAGACATAGATATATCCTCAATCCGCTGATCGGAATTTCACTGCTCTCACAGGCCATGAAGGATAACTTCAAGTAAGAGAGATGACTCGGTCAAGGCACCGGCTCCCGGGTCGGGGCACGCCAACGCCCAAGTGCAATTTCTATTTCTGTTCACAGTAAGGACAAGCTTCGAAGCCTCGATGATGAGACTGAGATTAAGATCCAGATTGTAAACACGGCCACAGTGCGCGTGTGCCAGGATAACGCGTATACGCATCAGCTTCGGGATATATGATATGTTCCACGGAAGTTGCTCGGCGCGAGGTTTCAGCGCATAATTAAAAACATTGTCGATGAGAGGAAACTTCACCATTGAACAATGCTCAAACTCAGTGCTATTCTCCTTGCTCTTGGATCCTCGGCCCTCGCTGGATACGTCCAAGAAGCCTCTGGAGACGCGTCTTTCACCCACTATTCGGGCTGCTCGTCGCCTGGTGCGTAGTGGTCCTTGTTGTTGATGGTGCTCTTCGTTGACTACTTTGGTGCACAGCTTGTGGAATGACTGCGACTGGCTACTCTGCTGCGATGAACCAGCTCGCATTCGGATCCTCGTCGGGCTTGGGCGCTGGGGACGCGTGCGGTAGATGTTTCGCGATTACAGGTTCGTTTCTACAGTTATTTCCGCAATGTGGTTGTTGGTCTGATTAAGGACGGCTTGTCTAGGGACAGAAGACCCATACAGCACATCATACAGCGGACCTTTCTACTCGATTATCGTCAAGGTGAGCATTTGGAAGAACAAAATTTCTTTGGCCTCTAACACGAAAACCATGACAGGTAACCGATCTTTGCCCTGTCTCCGGAAACGAGGAGTGGTGTGGACAGACGCAGTCGGATTTGACAAACGAGTGGGGCATGCCATTCCAGTGAGTTTTTCTCGTCAAAGATCATCAAGCTTCGCTCAACCATTCGCCCTCGCAGCTTTGACATTTGCGAAGATACTGGAGGATCGGCCGCGTTCTTCCCCTCGGGCCATGGTGCATTGACTGGAACATTCGAAGAGGTCGACTGCTCGGAATGGACCGGTTCTGACGGCAGTTCATTATGGATCGGAGCTTGCTTGGATGGTGAGTGTGCAACTTTCTGGCCCACGGTCGACGGTTGCGGCAACCAGGGTACTGCTCCGTGAGGAGGGTGTGGAACAGCTGCTGCTTGAAAGTTATGAATTATTTACCTTCATGTCCCGGTGATATGCTTTAAATAATCCATTTTTCTGAAAACACCGAATATGCTCCTTGCAGTCATTTACAACGCTGCACCACCCTTAGATTACTGTTGATCGCGGATCGACTCTTTTGACTGTGTAAGATCATTTTCTGTGTGATCAAGAAGGTTCACGAGTAATTGATAACGACAGCTGATCTCCAAGGCCATGCCTAAACTTAGAGCTTCAGCAAGAAAACGGGAGGTGTCGAACGTACTGAGGGTATGAACGGCGCGAGGGCCAATAAGGCCGATTTGAGGGACAAGACTTCTGAAGGTATGGTCGAGCGCAACTCGACAGTATTATAGGCATCGGCATATGATATGATACAATAAAAGCCGTCCACGCCGCCTGAAGAAGTGTGCCTGTTGGGATTTTGCTGGAAAGTTCTAGAAAGGGCAATCCGGCATCATGCCGAGAGTTGATGAGTAAGCTCGAGAGAAAGGGAAAGTTGTAGTAAATTCTAGATACAAGCCTGGAGAGTATAAATACGAGCTCTGTAGGAGCTGCAGAATAAGAAGTTCATACCTTCTGGCCTTACCAGCCTGGAGTCTACCCTGCGCATCACCGAGGATTTCCAACAGTGCCAACCTCTCCTGGCCTGTTTTTGCTTCCATTGCATACGGTGTGTACCATCGATCATGTTACTGGCTATGCGGTGTAGAACAGCTCAATACACATTGAGATGACCAAGGCAGAGGGGAGTAATCTTGAGAGTGAAGTACTCAGATGTCGATATGTTTGCGAGATGAACAGTGGTAATAGAGTTTGGAGAATTTGACTGGTGCAAATTTCTCAGTAAAATGACATGACATTTCATTCATACTCCTCTTTGTCACTCATCTTCCCTCTGTCTGCTTTTATCTTGAGTGTCAGCTCAATTCTATATATGCCAATGGCATGGCAATCTGGTGTTACTCTAAAAAGCGGCTGGGGAATGCTGCTCTTGGGTGTCAGTGTCCTATCAGAGGTTTATTTGTTGGTAATTGCTGCGCATATCGGGTCTTATCAATAGTGCAATCACAAGGTGTTTTTCATTGTGTATGGGAATATCATACACATTTTACTCTTGTATCTCATTATGTATGTTATTCAGCCTGTTCAGTATCTTCACAGCAAACTTACTGGTGTTAAGATGTGCATATATGGTTTTGTTGTTTGGGCATGGATTCAATTCTTAGAATTGCAATAATGTGGTGTATTGTTTCAATAATGTCATGAGTGTGTTGTATCTTCTCAAAGACATGGCTGATAAGATTCCAGCTGATAGTTCTGGATGCATGAGTGTGATAACAATGGGTCACTTCTGCACTGATGGATTTTTGTCAGAATAAATGATGTAGTAGAGGTCCCAGTGGACTTGGAGCACCTCGGGTGGTTCTTCATGGGCATGGGTTCACCATCTTTCGGTACAGGCTTTGTTGTCATGCATTGATTATCGCTGGAGTCTTCTTGGTGGGTTTCTGTCAGACGCCATACACAATTAGGTTTCAGTCCCTAGTGATCCAAGCGGGATGACGTGCATATCCACCGTCGCGGAGACTGACAATCACACCATCGCAATCGAGGAATCCCGTGACAGTGAAGGTTTGTGGGTCTATCATTACATTCTGAAAGTTGAAGTCAGGAGGTGATAGGACAAATGGACGCCCGTCCAAAGAATCACGCGTCACGTACGCGAATATAGCAACTACATCATCATGCAGAAGAGTTAATATCACGTGCCACAGTGGCTCTCTCCTGCGCCTGATTATCCAGCTTCCTCTGCTCCACTCGATGAATTCGCGACTTGGATCACCCACTCTACCTGAAGAGGTGTACCAACTACTTTTAGCCCTAGGTCTCCCTCCTACAATAACTCTCGAGCAATTTACGCGATTATATCGTGGTCCAGTGGCGGATATTTTGGTCTTTCTCAGTAAAAGCGTGCTGGGGAAGAGAGATGTAATGAAAGCTCGTGGTGACATTCATGGGTTAACGGTTTACTTCGCTTATGAGCCATGTGACTGATGTCGACCATATAGAATAAAGACAACTGGAAAGGCGAACTTGAACCCTCATAGAATCAAGGCTTTTGGCTCTGAAGATAGATCCCGCTTTAGACTTACTGGAGCCAATAAAAGCTACGATTTGTGCCAGAAGGAGCTAGATGAACTGTTGGCGGCGGTGGAAGAAACTCGTGAGCATTCCTCAATATTCAGTTGGTATTTGCTTCGACGGTGTTGCAGAGCAGAAGATCAAGATCATGAGAAGTCAACTTCACAACAACCGAAATGCCGCGTTCTTTCTCACTGTCCTGGAGAAGAAGGAATCAATGAGGAGAAAGAGGATCGCAGAGATAACGGCTCTTTTGAGAAGATTGAAGTCAGTTCCCTTGATCAACATTGTGATAACCCTCATACTGACTTTTATGTAGAGAAGTACTTGAACAACGTCAGTTCTCTCAGGTCTGTTCATGTTTTTTTATCCGCCAGTTTTCTGTCGTTCTAATGTTTTCCTAGCTGTCCGTCCCTCCTGTGCCACCGGAAGTACACGTAAATCAAACACCAACACGCCGAATGACCCATTCCAGAGATGCAATTACGGTGTGTATCTCTACTAGGCTGATCTGTAGCCATATCAAGTTATTTTTTCTAGAACATTGAAGCATATTACGTTGCCCTTTCTCGCGTTGCGCTGTCGGTGGGATTCAGGAAGAATGAAGATTACCTACCGCGACTGAAGATCGTAATGCAAAGGCATCTCTCTTCTCGAGATGCACAGATAGATGCTACCATGTATGTTTCATTTCTGTGTCCATCGCAAACAATGCCGACCTGTTTTCATTAGTGCCAATGTCGTGCAATGGGCACGGAAGTGTTCACATGAGAAAGCCAAATATCGCACTATATTGCAGAATATTGACGTGGTCAGTGACGTGGATTTGGACCGAATGGAGTCCTACGTTGTAAGCAACAAGTCCTTAGTCTGATGAAGCGACTGCCGAAGTTCGAACATTTAGCAAAACTGTGAAGGTATGCTGCAGGGATTATGCCAGCATTCGTCTTCTTTGCTCTTCGCTGTCAATCCTCACATAAAATACGTATGTCCTGTTTTCTGAGGCTGGATAGCTGACTTATCCTTCCGTATAGATGGACGCTTTCCAAAATTCCGCAATACATGTCTTAAGGGAGTCCCTAGGCGATAAAGCTTACCCGAAAGGATATCTAGACGATCAACGACGTTCGTTGGTAGAACAAGTTCCGAGTGATTCTGTCACAGATAGAGACAAGTCACTTGCGCAAAACGCAAAGCAGATTTTAAAAGCGAGTCAGGCGGTGGTGAGATCCCACTTTCTTGTTTTTTGGCTTCTGCATCTACATCTATTTCAGAATGTACCGAAACTTCTTCAAGATTTGGAGAGTCTAATACTGTCAAGTATGATATAATAGAAGTCCGCCGTCCAGACCACTGATCGTTTATCATAGTTGACAAACGGAAGCGTATATCGGCACTCATCCGAAGTCTTCCTGAGTCGACAGAGAGTCATGAGGAACAACTTTGTAGGTCACTCATGTTGATCAACTGGCGGCTGCCTTACGTTATCCTCCAGCTCAACATAGAACGGACAGTCAGAAGATCGAAGATGGCGCAGCTAAATTTCTGCAGAGAAAATTGGACAAAGCAAGCATGGGCGCCGGGCTAGTCAAGGACATCGAAGCCCTTCTAGACGAAGCGAAATTCATTATTGGTCAGAGCACGTAATGGTAAATAATATTATCACTATCCACCACCCACGTATACATACTAGTCTTAACAGAATCCTTTCCCTCTCAACACACAGGGTCCATACGGCCCGCTATATTCCGATATGTTAGGTTCTTTCATCACGAGAAGGTTCGTTTACGAAGATTCGTACTCATATGATATGGCGCCTGACGACAAGAAGTATTTTAGTGCGTATATAAAGAGCAGATTGTTGATCATCGCTGTCTGTGTACACCATGAGGGTTTTTTCACCGTGGGCTCTGTCTGCCATTGGAGTAGGTAATTGCGCAAGAGCTTTGGCTTTTGAGCTGCCAGCTCAAGCAGTGGTCAGTACGCCAGATGTTTACCTTTCGCCTCACCGCATTGACCGCGTCTCCATGTAGTACGTGGACCTGCTCTCTTACACTGCGCTAGGTGCCAATAGTTCATTTCGCGAATCATCGTTCAACAATACAACCCTCTTCAACCCCACCTTAACAGCACCACCATTCTTCCAAGTCTTTCACGAGGGATTCTTGGATATTTTGGGGTCATCTCCGAGTATTCGCGAGGTTGCTTCGAATGCCTCGTTTGCTTTTGCCCACGAAGCACCTGTATATTTTCCGGAGATGGACGAAATGTTTTTTGCCAGTAATGACGGTGGAAGTCTGGGAATGAGCGATCTTGATCATAACAATGTATACGGAAAGATCAGCCTTGCGGCTGCAGAGGCTGAGCTTGAGGCAAATCCCGACGGCGCCGTCAACGTCCCAGTAACGGAGGTGGGCCTTCGTTTTGACGATGGCAGAGCAGATGATTGATGAGAGTCAACAGCTTGCTCTATCGGAGGAGATTCAGATGACTAATGGAGGAACAGGATTGTATAATGACTCGCTTCTTCTTATCACGTCGGGGCGTGGCGCACGGCCACCATCTATTGCGCTTGTTAACCCACGGGAGCCACACAACGTCACTGTCCTACTTGATAACTTCTTCGGCAGACAATTCAACTCGCTGAATGATATTAAGGTCCATCCTTCTAGTGGGAAGATTTTTCTCACTGATGTCACGTAGGTTTTTCTGTCTGTTGAAAACTTGCACCTCTGACACCTTTTAGATACGGATACTTGTTCGGGTTCCGCCCTGCGCCCATGATGCCAAACCAAGTCTATCGTTTTGACCCGGATACAGGGAGTGTCAGAGTAGTTGCCGATGGGTTTGTTAGATGTAACGGAATAGCTTTTACGGGCGATGGACGGACTGCTTACGTGTAAGAACTATCTCTTTTGTGCGGTGTGATTCGTCTTGCTGACTTGTGGTCCTGCAGTACTGATACCGGATCTAGCGGCGGCAATCTTTTGGGTTTTAACCAAACTCTTCCCTCTACGATGTACGCATCTGTTTGTCGTTCCAAAATTAACGCTGAAAGTATCATTGTGCAGCTATGCCTATGATGTAGATGACAATACCCAGACATTCAAGAACAGACGTGTATTTGCCTATGTCGATGCTGGCGTTCCGGATGGCATTCAAGTCGATGCAATGGGCAACGTATATACCGGCTGTGGAGACGGGGTGCAAGTGAGTATTTCATCTCATCTTAATCGAAGCGACATTTGGCAAACGACGGCACCCATAGGTATTCAATGAAGAAGGTACCATCTTGGGCAAGTTCTTTTTAGGTAGTACTTCTGCGAACATGGCGTTTGCGGGAGATGGGAGACTCGTCATATTGGCAGAAACCAAGATCTTCTTGGCCCATATCGCGGCTCAGGAAATATCTCTCGGTGGCCCGTCATGATTACTGTGTAGTTCATAAATTACAACGAAACGGGTGAACCTGATGGGAACAGGCGGTTGGCAGGATGCTTGGGGTCTGATGCTTTTTGGATTGGCAGACCTTTATCCTTGCAAATTATATATCAGCAAATCGAGGGGTATGACAGATAGTGCTACTACTAGCACGGCAGCCACGAGTCGTTGCCGTGTACAATGGACAAAATGAAGCGACTTAAAATGTCCCTACTACCAGATGTCGGGGTGCTCAGAGACATGCTCCATTCAGTTGAATCAGGATACTATCGGAATTTGAACTGGGAAGTTCCAATCGTATAAGAGCCATAGGATGGGGCGAATCTGAGTACCGGCAACTCGTACTTGAAAGCCACACCTACGAACTGTGATTATTGATCGTTCGTTTGCACCTTTGTCCAATATCGTGGTTCGTAACCTCGATTTGCGAGCATGGGTAAGGTAACCACCACTGGTGAATGCTCTCACATATCTATATCATTCCGCTGGCCCGCCTTCTGTAGTCCATACAAGGATGGCGGGACATCGCATGTTTAACGTCGACTTGCCTTATAAAGGGACACGCAGTAAAATGCGCCGCTCACCATAACGTCACCCTGAAACTAGGCTCAAGTTGTCGTGTTTGCAAACAAGCAGATACCATGAGGGAGAAGAGGGCTAAGGCGGCTAAGGCGGAAGCAAGGAGGTAGTATGAGTATCTGTTAGCTGAAGTAATCGAATTCTGGCGTGACCTCCTAGTATTGAGATAACAAAACCGCAAATATAACAGTGATTCATCATTTATGAATCGAAACCACGTAATTTGCTATAATGTGGAATATTACGAGGTCTTGTTTCATGGCGGCACAAGAACAGACTACTATCTGAAGGAACAAGAAATTAGCTTAATGAATGATATGTCTCATTATGCACTTGCTTTAACTTTCGCCGTCACCTCTATATGAATCTTTCATCCAGTCACCCTGTTCGATTCCGAGCAGTAGGTCCCTCATGATAACCCATTTCTTCTTGAATACGTACTTGATGAGTTTGTACATGATTTCAGCTGATAGCTCTGGCTGATTGAGTGCGATATGAACCGCCTCAAAGATATGAGAATGGCGAGTGATATCTGCATCTTCGGGATCTATGGTGGCGTAAGCGGAGAGTAGAGATCTCGGTGAGCTTGGAGCGTCGCTGGAGATTCTTCACGTGAAGAAAGATTGTGAACGACTCGGGCTGCCTCAGTATCCTTTACAGCAGGATCCTCCTCCTCCCCGTCGTCGCTGCTGGTTTCGCCCGTATTTGATGCCTTACACCAGTCATGCATGATCGGGTCCCAATCCCGCATAATCCAAGAAGGATACCATGCATATCCTCCTTCTCGAGGACCTACAGAAACATCACCCCTGTCCATAAACCCGGTAACATCAAAGGTATGTAGGTCAACCATGATGTTCTGAGAGTCAAAATCAGGTGGCGATAACACGAAGGGAGGCCCGTCAAAGTGTTTGTCAGGAAGGAAAACATTTTCGATGGCGTATCTTGACTTCTCCTCCCGCCCGCGGATACGATAGTCCGGAGTGCTATCACGCTTCCCACTCCAATCCTTGATTCGTTACGTGTAGGAACACGCAGGACAGCAGGGTGTGGACGCGATAGCATTGTTCACTGCGCCGGCCTCCTTGTATTTCTGCCATCGTTCGATTGTATTTGACTTTGCGAAAATTTTGGCCCTACTGACTATTGAATATTGAGGTGCTATCAGTCTTGGAGTCGACAGGACTGTGTCATCAGTTCTCAGCACAAGGCGATATTGTACCCAGTCTTGTCCTGCGAGATAGAAATGCTCGGAGAAAGCACTGGTCTGTGTCGACAGCACCTGACTGGACTTTAATTTCCCCAATTATATATCGTCCTTTGGAAGGGTATAGCGGATAATACTAGTACAGCAGCGACGTTAGTGTCGTGTATATTAGATAAAAATAAAATGAAGCAACCCAGATCAACCCTAGGTGGACAACTTTCTATCGTAGCGCTTCAGTAGCAATCTGTCAACCCAACCGCCCTTGGGGAAGGCCTTATCCCACTGGTTGTGCAAGTGTAGTCCAAACACATTCCCTAGGACCTTGTCCAATGGACCTCCCTCCTCCATTCCAAGTCCCATCGTCCACTTGCCTTTGGCGTCGTCCGCCACGAACGGATCAGGTAGCCGATTATCCAACCTACATGACCTCCCATCGCTGAAACAGAACGGAAGGACCTTGAAGGGAGGTATGGAGCCCACGACTAATCGACGCCATAACTTGAAGTAAAGCGTGGACCCCCAGTCAGTAGAATCAGCACGAGGCGTGGTTCCAGTGGCCATGATATGGAACGCTTCACAGACGTAGGGTGAGTGCTGACGGAAGCGCATGAGGGCACCATTGAATGGCTGGTATACTTTGTCTGTTGGGCATATATAAGAAGAGATAGGATCAAAAAAAGATGTTACGCGCCATAACAGTCCCACTGAGTGACGAACTCGTGTTCAAGTAGGGGATCGAGGTCTCGCGTAAGTAACGAGTCCATATCGATCCATACACCGCCGTAATTCCAAAGCAGGAGCAGGCGAATGAGGTCGCCATCAACCCACGCTTTCTCGTCTTTACGACGCAACAAGTCGCTGCCATCTAACTCTGTTCCTACCGCCAAAGCAGGGATATCGACGAATTTGAGAGCAAAGGCGTCGGGGTAACGCTTCACATACCCGGCCAAGATGTCGTTGGCAGAGAGGTCACCGTTCGACCATAAGATAAGGCGCGAGGTGTGGATGTTTTGGGTGGCGAAGAAGGATTTGAGCATGTATTCCTGCCGAGGCCCAAAGGCAGCAAGGTCCACACGCCAATAGGTGTGGTACTGGATTCGCTCGTCGCCGGGTATAGGGACGTCAGGTGTGCGTGTACTGCCGTCACTGCGTATGGTCCCAGCGAGGTCATAACAATCCAAACCCATCCTCAGCTGCAGTCCGGCCTGCACCTCTGTCTTCTTTGGCCCATATACCGCCTCGGATACGTTGTACTTTGGGCTGACCCTGGATGGATCGAAACATCCAGAGAGTGGTTCGGTGGGCAATATTTCTTGGTGGACCCAGTCCCTGGAATAGAAGGCGAGCTCTATGTGAGTTTCATAGTGGTAGAATCCGTAGAGAAGGGTGAATAAGGAGGTGGAGAAGATAAACAGGGCGACGAAGCGCAGTCGGCGGATAGACAATTTTGCAGACATGATGGGTCGTGGTCTGTGCTCGAAGAAATAATCAGATTGGTGGAAGGTTGATGGCGATGCTCGACGCCTTGATGAGGATTCAACATGGTAATAGTACGGCAGTTGTTCTTCACTGCCGCCGTTCATGACAAGGGAGAGCTTGCCGGCTCGATCAAATCTGCCGCAGCTTGGCTTTGACGATGAAAGCCATCAGAGGTAATTTTACTTTTTACTTGTGTATACAGTTAGTTGCCAGCTCGTACTTATCTCATTTTAGGCGTGCTTCTGACTTGGTTGGTCGACTAGACACTGGCCTTTTCAGTTTCTTGACCATCTTTTCTACCAGTGATGCAGCGGTCAAGCAAATTCTGCTGGCTATGAATGAAAGACAGACGTTCATCATAGAAGACCTCGATGACAACCATCTCCTCATAAAACAGGAAATGGAGTACTATGTCAGGAAGGAGTTGGAAGCGGAGGCAAGTCGACGCTATTTACTCAATTCATTCAAGCTTACGGTTTTGTGCAGCTGGAGAAGAATACGTATAGTCTGGAGGCTTGAGTTGTGACGCCACAGGTTCTTACCAAGACCAAACATTGCCGATTTTCGATGCAGGGAGTTTTATTTTACGTCAGTTCCGCTGTGATTCGAGGGTGGTTCTGAAATAAAATACAAGTTGGAGCTGGAGCCTTCGTTCTTTCATTTCATTGAGCTGTAAGACATTTCCGTTCCCGCTGAAGACGGACCGGAAGCTTTGCAACACAGTACTTCTGCCCGAGGAGTTGGAAAAGGGAGGCCATGGAAGTATGGAACCGGCGTAAGTTTTCATTTCGGTCCGGCTTCCGTACCTAGAAGCTCTTTCCGCTGCTACTACTACTAGTCACTAGTACCGCAAAGATTCTCTTCTTGCGTAGACTCTCGCTTCATACTCGCTGTCGGCCTGATCCATTTATTTTGGGCTCGAGCATGCCTCTTCCATCAGAAATCAAACCGTCGATAACGTGCGTCTATCCCCAATTCTGTTTGGTTGGCTCCTGTCTCAACATACACCCGGATACCCATCGTATTTTTGAAATGACCGCTTCGAATCCCCATTGACTTAAAATTCCGTTGGCATTTGCCGAATCGCGTCTCTCTTAGTACACCCACGGTGAAGCCTGTACGCCCGTTGTCTACGGTTGCAAAGATGGGTTGGTATTCTATTCCCTCCGGCCCCCATATACTGATCATGCGAGGACAGAACCTGTCTTAAAGTCACCGATACCTGCCGGAACACTAACTGCCATTGAGAGGTCTAAGCAACTTGCTGCTTGGACTGCTGTTGACCAGCACATCAAGCCGGAACACCGGGTATGTGAGCATAGGCGCTTCGTCGTGTTGTGACTCACCATTGTGTCCTAGGTAATTGGGATTGGATCAGGTTCGCTATCAGATACAGGTTGCTAAACCACATACGATTCATCATCCAGGATCTACCGTTCCATATGTTGTCGAGCGGATTGTCTTGCAAGGATACGAAGCAAACAAGGATCGTGTTTTCATTCCTACCGGTAGGTGTATATTTGTTTCAAGAATCTTCTACTAATTTCAGGTGGACCCAGGCTTCCAATCCAAGGAATTGATCATATCCTCTGGTTTGGGCTTGGGAGATGTTGATCAATACCCGACTATCGACGTAACGATAGATGGGGCTGACGAGTGAGCGACAGCAGCTATTTCTATTGAGCGCATAAGGACTCATTGTGATACAAGGGTCGATCTTGAGCTCAACTGCATCAAGGGTGGAGGTGCTTGTCATCTACGAGAAAAGGTCTTGGCCGAGGCTGCGCTCACGTTCGTTTCGTTTCATATCTGTCTCCTCGCGCTCATTGAACCCGTTACAGCTTCATCCTTGTTGCCGACTACCGCAAGAATGTAGATTATCTTTGCACGAATGTAAGTCCTTCCGGACCCGGCACAATTTCGTAGAGGGCTTCGTAGGCGCGAAATTGCGCGAGGTGCTTTCCGAGTCATCCTTCTGGCCGAGCCAAAAGTATGATAGACGGCGCGTACTTGTGGATATGCCTTTCGTTAGGACAATGCTGGTGCTTGAGCGATGGATATTCTTTTCTTCACAGCTTTAAACCCCGAGCTCATCGAATCTTGCTAACTGAGTTGTGCGTCTAGTTCAAGCCTGGTGTTCCTATTGAGGTGGTACCTTTCGCGTACGCCAAGGTCTTGCGCAATCTGCACGAAAGTCTGCGGTCACCAAACGCGACACTGAGAATGGCTGTCGCGAAAGGTATGCTCCCTCGTGTGATTGACAGTTCTGTGATTTGACCAAGACGTATAGCGGGGCCTGTAGTGACGGATAACGGTAACTTTGTCATAGATGCACCATTTTCAAGAGAGGATATGACGGATCCGTACGCGGTTGCGTACAGTTTTCTCCGTCATATGTACAATTGTCTCATCGTGTGATAGATAATGGCTCGCATCAAGATGCTTACCGGGGTTGTTGAAGTAGGGTTATTCTGCCATATGGCAAAGGCGGCATACTTCGGTAATCAGGTATGTTTCAGGTCCGCTTTACTTGAAATCTTTTCTGATATTCATCGTGATCAGGATGGAAGCGTCACGGCGAAATGGGTCGGGGGTAAGGTTGAGCAGATTCCTGCTTGCCAGTGAGTTATTAGGCACCATACAGATTGTTTGCAGAGCAGAGAAGTACTAGAGCTAAATGTATATCTATCTAAACACCATGAGAACTCAAATTAACAGTACATTTGATCAATGCCGGCGTCTTCATGGGTGACCTTCCAAGTTGGAGCAACCGAGGGAAAAGAGCCCCCTATTCACCTTCCCACGTGCCTGATCTTGTCTGAACATCGAAAATTTCGGAATCGTGACTCATAGGACAGCTAACCTTCCTTTCCTTTACTCAAAACTGGACGGCAATTAGACGCTGTCTACAGCTACCCTTCTTTCTTCTTCATTATAATGTCGAATTCTGGGGCCGACGTCTTCAAAGTCTCTATCCTCGGGAAGGAATCCATCTATTGTGGTTTCCATCTCGTCCCATACATTGTCCACACCGTCATCAGCACTCTGCCGTCGTCGAATTATGTTCTTATCACCGACACCAACGTTGCCAAGTGGCATCTGGATGTCTTCGAGGAGGAGTTTGACGCCCGAGCTTCCGCGGCAACACCCAACGGGTCCAAACCCAATGGCGCGGCGCTTAACGGCGACGGGACGGCGAAACCTCAGAACTTTCGATTCTTTACCTATGTGATCGCCCCTGGGGAGACGTCAAAGAGCAGGGAAGGCAAGGCCGACATAGAGGATTTTTTATTGGCCAATAGATGCACCAGGGATACTGTTATTTTAGCTTTAGGCGGTGGAGTGATTGGAGATCTTGCTGGATTCGTGGCTGCCACTTTGTGCGTATAGTAATCCTGTTTCTGTTTGTTATGGTCTAACCAACATGGGCTCCAGTATGCGTGGAGTTCGCTATGTTCAGATCCCTACGACGTTGCTAGCTATGGTTGATTCCAGTGTTGGCGGCAAGACCGCAATTGATACTCCCCTTGGCAAAAACTTGATTGGAGCCTTTTGGCAACCTGAATATATCTTCATTGATGCTGCGTTTTTGGAGACACTTCCCCCTAGAGAGTTCTCCAATGGTATGGCTGAAGTCGTCAAGGTTCGCGTCCAGTGTACTACTGCCATGACATTTGAAGCATTGACTTGTCCATCAGACTGCGGCTATTTGGGATGCCGATGAATTCGCGTCGCTTGAATCTCGGTCGACCGAAATTTTCGCGGCCCTTCAGTCTTCTTCAGCAGCAACCCATGCCGGTCGTACCATGGCTACTCGTTCAGATTCTCAGAAGCTTCTACTCTCCGTTATAGTTGGTTCTATATCTGTCAAGGCACACATCGTGACTATCGATCCTACGGAAACTGGCCTCAGGAATTTAGTCAATTTTGGGCATACTATCGGACATGCCATTGAGGCAGTACTTACTCCAACTATTCTTCATGGAGAGTGTGTTAGCGTCGGCATGGTATTGGAGGCCGAACTTTCGCGGCAGATGGGGATCCTAAGCCAAGTGGGCGTCGGGAGGCTAACGAGGTGTTTAAAGGCCTACAATCTGCCAGTATCGCTCAGTGACCCACGTATTGGAAACCTTCCCGAAGCGAAAGGGCTGACAGTTGAAAGGCTGTTGGATATCATGCGTGTCGACAAGAAGAATAAGGGCGACGAGAAGAAGGTTGTCATTTTGTCTCATATCGGGAGGACGTGGGAGGACAAGGCAACCGGTGTGAGGGATGAGGTCATCAGGAAAGTATTAGCTGAGAAGGTTATGGTTGTCCCAGGCAGGCCCCGCTATGATACTATTAAAATGTCGACTCCGGGTTCGAAGAGCATATCGAACAGGGCGCTCGTTCTGGCTGCGCTTGGGAGTGGAACCTGTAGACTGAAAAACTTGCTCCATTCAGACGATACGCAAGTCATGATGGCAGCCCTAATGGACTTGCAGGTTTGTTCTCAGTTCGTTTGACTTGATACTCATGCTTACTCGTGTGTCAGGGAGCTAAATTCTCGTGGGAAGGCGGAGGGGAGACTCTTGTCGTTGGAGGCGGTTCTGGGACACTGTCTCTGCCTCCGAAAGGCAAGGAGATCTACTTGGGCAATGCTGGAACCGCGGCTCGCTTCCTCACCACCGTTTGCACTTTGGTCAGCAAACCATCTTCTACGGATGATGCATCTGCAACTGTCATTACGGGCAATGCCCGCATGAAGCAGCGTCCCATCGGTCCGTTGGTGTCCGCTCTCAAGACTAACGGTAGCGAGATTGAGTGTCTCGAAACACCTGGCTGCCTACCTTTGTCCATCCCCCCCATTGGATTGAAAGGAGGCGATATTTATTTGGCCGCAAGCGTGTCCAGTCAATACGTGTCCTCAATCCTCTTATGCGCCCCTTATGCCGAGGAGAAGGTCATTCTGCACCTTACTGGTGGGCAAGTAATTTCACAGCCGTACATTGACATGACAGTTGCCATGATGAGGTCTTTTGGAATTGACGTCACTAGACGGAGGGATGAGGCAACGGGTTGTCTGTTGGACATCTACGATATACCAAAGGGAGTCTATAGAAATCCTCCGGAGTACAGCATTGAATCTGATGCCAGCTCTGCGACGTATCCTCTAGCCATTGCAGCTATAACGGGGACGACTTGTACGATCGAGAATATTGGATCCAAGTCGCTGCAAGGTGACGCGCAGTTTGCCGTGAATGTCTTGGAGAAGATGGGATGCGAGGTTGTGCAGACTGATTTGGAGACTACGGTGAAGGGGCCTGCCGTTGGAGGGCTGAAGGCTCTTGGAGAGATTGATATGGAAATGATGACTGATGCCTTCTTAACGGCCTCGGTATTGGCTGCCTGCGCTCCGGGTAATACCAAAATCAGAGGAATTGCGAATCAGCGGGTCAAGGAGTGCAATCGTATAAAGGCCATGATGGATGAACTTGGCAAGTCTTTCTTGACATTTTATATGAATTGAGGCTGATTTCTCATTTTACAGCGAAGTTCGGTGTTCCGACGAGCGAACTCGACGATGGGTTGGAGATTATCGGAAAGCCTGTATCAGAGCTTAGGACGGGCGCTAGCGTACACTGTTATGATGATCACCGCATCGCGATGGCTTTCAGTGTCCTTGGTTGTGTCATTAAAGGAACCGTGATTGAGGAAAAACGTTGTGTCGAGAAGACCTGGCCGAACTGGTGGGATGATCTAGAGAACAAGGTACGTATTTATCATGGCTACTGGTCTTTACCTGTAACAAGTCCTATATAGATCGGCTTATCCGTCAAAGGTGTTGAAACATCTACCCCTGCAGCCGCGATCGCCTCAGCCAGTGGAACCACCGATCACACATCGTCCGCTTCCATTATCCTGATCGGGATGCGCGGTTCGGGAAAAAGTTTCGTTGGTGATCTAGCGGCGTCGGTCCTATCCTGGAAGTGCATCGATGCCGACCATTATTTTGAAGAGAAGCACAATATGGGCGTCCGCAAGTTCGTGCACGATCATGGCTGGCCGGCATTCCGTCTAGAGGAGGGTGTGATACTCAAGGAGTTGTTGGCTCAGAATTCTGAGCGACATGTCATCAGTCTTGGTGGCGGCGTCGTTGAGTCTCCGCAGTGTCGGGAGATGTTGAAGGACTATGCAAAGTCGAAGGGTCCGGTGGTGCATATCATGAGGCAGATCGAAGAGGTTGTCAAATACCTTGGAGTTGAAGGGGCTCGTCCTGCATATGGAGAGCCGATTATGGAGGTTTTCAATCGCCGGGAGCCTTGGTTCAAGGAGTGCTGCAGCCATCACTTTGTGAACAACGTTGGGTCGTTACTGGGAGATGATGTCTCGCCTATGGCAAGGAAGCGAACTAGCGATGAGGTCGCTCGATTCTTTGGACATATCACTGGTATCAAGCCTAACTTTTGTGCGAACTTGGCTCCAGGGAAGCGATCCTACTTCCTCTGCCTTACATACCCCGATCTTACACCTGCGCTGTCACGCATTGAGGACTTGACGGTGGGCGTCGACGCTTTGGAATTGAGAGCTGATTTACTTCGGTCTCCATTGGACTTTGGATCGATTGGACAGTATATCCCTTCGGAGACTTATGTCGCTGAGCAAATCGCGGCGCTTCGTCGATCGACAACTCTGCCTATCTTGTTCACAGTCAGAACGCTGTCGCAGGGAGGTGCATTCCCGGATACGGCCGAGGACGAAATATTTGAGCTGTTGCATTTGGCGTTACGCGTTGGCATCGAGTATGTGGACGTTGAAATCTCCCTGGCGCAGAAGAGGATCCAAGAATTGATTGCAAAGAAGGGTGCATCGAAGATTATTGCCTCTTGGCATGATATGAGCGGGACAATGAAGTGGAATGGTCCAGAGGTCAAGGAGAAGTACGATTTGGCAAAGAAGTTGGGTGGTGATATCATCAAGATTGTTGGGCAGGCAGAAACACTGCAGGACAATTTTGATCTTTTCAACTTTGCTCAGCGGATGAACAGCGTACCTAATGCTAAGCCTTTCTTGGCTATCAATATGGGCGCTAACGGGCAAATTTCTCGCATTCTGAACACTACTTTTACGCCGGTGACGCATCCTCTTCTTCCCAGTAAGGCCGCTCCGGGACAGCTTTCGTTCGTGCAAATACAAAAGGCACTTCATCTGATGGGTCAGATGCGCGCTCGTCGTTTCTTCCTCTTCGGTTGTCCAATTTCGCACTCCATGTCCCCCACGCTTCACAACACCGCATTTGAACTACTCGGATTACCACATGTGTACGGGCTGCTGGAAACGCCAGTGGTTGGCGAAGAGATAAAGGCTACGCTTGCCGCACCGGACTTTGGTGGCGCTTCTGTGACAATTCCGCACAAACTTGATATCATACCCCTTCTTGACAAGCTTTCGCCTGCAGCCGAGTTGATCGGTGCTGTAAACACGGTTGTTCCTATTCGTGAAGGTCCGGATACGGTCCTGTACGGCGATAATACGGATTGGATAGGGATTCGAAGCTGCATCAGTTCACACATTGCAATTGGTGGCATACACTCTGCGCTGGTGATTGGCGCGGGAGGTACAGCGCGAGCAGCTGTTTTCGCGCTCTCGTGCCTCGGAGCAAAACGGATCTATCTCTTTAACCGTACTCACAGCAAGGCCACAGCGTTGGCGCGAGTGTTCCCTGGTGTCGACATCCATGTACTGGATAAACTCGGGCACTGGCCAGAAGGAAACGTACCGCCCAACGTGATTGTGTCCACTGTTCCGGCTACTGAGACTACGACTGCACACGAACCCAGTCATCTCAACTTGCCCGACAGATTATTTGACTTTAGAGATGGGCCGGCGGTAGTCATTGACATGGCTTACAAGCCTATCGAAACCCCTCTTTTACTACTCGCCAAAGCGACCGTCAAGAACTGGGCCGCCGTTCCTGGCGTGGAGGCATTATTGGAGCAAGGATTCGGTCAGTTTGAAATGTGGACGGGACGACGCTGCCCTAAAACTACTGTCTCTGCAAAGGTATGGGAGGCATACCTCCGACCGTAAGAAAAAGTAGTAGACGAATCGTGAAATTTAATTTTCGGTATGGGTCCAAATGTAAAAGCGGAAGCGGGACAGGAACTAAACGGAATCATATGATGCCGGAAACGGACGGACACCGTGTTTGACAGGGCATCCCGAAAAGGCATATCACTGACTCGGAAGAGCCACCGCGGCTACACATATATGACGACAAAACCAGACAAAACAATGCATTATTTTACTTTTACTTTCTCTCTGTTTCTCTTCCATCGTCGCATCCCCCTTCTGAAGTGCTCTCACTTCGTCGCGGTTCCTATTCAACGTCAACGATGCAGGTCGCTCGCACTCAATGTCAGTAGGCCGGCCCAGAGCGCGACAGTCATTTGATCTTTCCTTTTTCCCCCAGTTGCCAGGTCATTGGGTCTTTCCCGTTCTAGAGCTCTCAGACTCTCTCCCGAACCGATTCGTTTCCCTCGCCGGGCTTTGTCGACAACTCAGTCTAGAAGCAACGAACAGGTGCACTTGCTTTTTTTTGCTTTTTCCAAGTCATCTGCTCATCGCCTGCAGGAGCCGTCGACGTCAACACCTCCGCTGACCGCCAAATCCACGAAATGGCGCACTTTTCTGCAGGGCCTCGGTAGGGCAACTATTGTGGCTTTGGTTGTCGGTTCTGGATCGTTCTACTACATAACCCAAAAGGACAAGAATCCTGGCGCTCAACTTCCTTTTGACCCTGAGAAAAAGACCATTGTCGTATTGGGAAGTGGATGGGGTGCTACCAGTCTGTTGAAAACGGTAGACACGGCCGATTACAACGTGGTGAGTATCGCCATTATCGCCATTGACATTGTGCTTGTCTTACAGGCACACAGGTTGTTATCAGTCCCAAAAACTTTTTCCTCTTCACCCCTCTTCTACCCAGCGTTGCTGTTGGAACCCTCACCTCGCGAGCCATTCTCCAGCCAACGCGCTATGTCACACGGCACAAGGCACGCGAAGTGACCGTCATCGAAGCGGAAGCCCGTGAAGTCGATGTAAGTTGTCATCCCCCTGACCCCATATATTTCCCCTTACCCGATCGTGTCGTAGCCACACAAGAAAACCGTCACCTTCACTGGTACGTACTGCGTTCATCTCTCCATCTGGGACTCAAATAGACATCTCAATATTCTCAGATGACCAGGGCAAATCGTCTAAAACAATTCCCTATGATTATCTCATCTATGCCGTCGGGGCGGAGGTCCAGACGTTCGGCACTCCCGGAGTTCAGGAGAAGGCTTGCTTCATGAAAGAGATCCAAGATGCCGAGAAGGTCAGTTTCACCCATAGTTCTTTCGGCTTCCGTCGTTCATGAGTTTATATCCAGATGCAAAAGAAGGTTATGGAATGTACGTTGGCTTTTTTGTCTAGCTGTGACTGCACCATCTAAGATTTTCATCAGGTATCGAGACTGCAGCGTTCCCCGGTCAACCTGCAGAAGAAGTAGAACGGCTGCTCCATATGGTACCGCTCTTTTTCTGAAAGCCCAATACATTTCTCTGACTGATTGACCGTCTTTCTCAATTGAAGGTTGTTGTCGGTGGTGGTCCCACTGGTATAGAACTCAGGTTCGTATGGCATAGCTCTTAATTGACATCTGGACTTAATATCTATTTGATAGCGGTGAAATTCACGATTTCCTCGAAGTGAGCCACATCTGCCGCGGATTCTACGCTCGTGCTCATGATAATCATAGGATGACTTGAAATCATGGTACCCTGAACTTGCCGGCAAAGTTCGCATCACTCTCGTCGAGGCTCTCCCATCTGTCTTGCCTATGTTCAGCAAACAACTCATCGATTACACGGAATCGACATTCAAGGAGAGTAAGATTAACATCATGACGAAGACGATGGTTAAAGAGGTACTGTGCAACACCGCCTCTTATACAGTTGTATTCTAATCACAGCTCTGTAGGTTAAGGATAAGTCCGTCGTTCTCCAGATGCCTGACAAGAGCATTGCCGAGATTCCCTGCGGGATTGTTGTTTGGGCCGCTGTACGTGATGTCCCCCCAATTTCGTTTTATTTCTCCTCCTCATCGTTTCTGGTAGGGTAACAAGGGTAGGAAGATAACACAAGATTTAATGGCCAAGCTTCCCGCGACGCAGACCAACCGTCGGGGTATTTCCGTAGATGGTTGGTCTCCATATTCCCTAAGCGTCACAGGTATCTTATCAATTCACAGAACATTTACGAATGAGCGGAACCGACGGAAGCATTTTCGCTATCGGAGACTGCACTTCTACGTCCTACGCGCCAACTGCCCAGGTCGCGTCTCAACAAGGTGCTTACCTTGCGCGAATTTTGGCACAGATAGCCAAGAAAGACGCCTTGGAAGCCAAGCTGAAGAACTTGCAGGCAAAGGTTAACCAGGTCGAGGATGAGGTTGAAGCAAAAGGATTTGTGGGCGAGATAGAGACTGTCAAGAAGCAAATTGACATGGTCAAATTGAGGCCCTTCCATTATTCTCACCAGGGCAGTCTGGCGTAAGTGAACAACCAGTTCATCTCCTGTTGTGAGCTGACCGCGGTATAGGTACATCGGATCCGATAAAGCAATCGCCGATCTGCCATTCTTGAACGGAAACGTTTGTGGTGCTCTGCGTTTTGGTTCCGTTTACTGATCAACCTGTTGTACAGATCGCCAGCGGTGGTGTCGCGACGTTTTTGTTCTGGCGTAGCGCGTATCTAAGCACGCTGTTCTCCCTCCGCAACCGCACCCTTGTCGCCAACGACTGGATATTAACGAAGTTGTTTGGCCGGTATGGTTCTCTCCATTCTGAATTCCGTCTGAAATTGACTGGATCTATTCGTAGTGACGTCAGCCGGGATTGATAACGAATTTATAGATGAATGATTTTTATTTTTTTTCATTGGTCGTTAGAGGAAGCTTAACATGACCTTAGTTCTACGAGTGGATTATCGTAGCATTCTTAGAGCACTTTATACCTTTCCTTAATTTTTTGACGGCATTTCAGGATATTATTCTTCCCAGTTCCTGTGGTTTTTTTCTTGATTTGTTTTTTTTGTATATCGTATTAGAGATGGCTTCGTCCTAGATCTGTCCTTTATTTAACTACCGAGCTTTTAGACTTTTCCCAATGCCTGACGGCGTTTGGGATGTAGCACATCTCGCGTGAAAGGTCTAGCTTTCTGGAGGTGCGCCCCAGTTTCTTTAAATGTTGAGCTCTTGATGCCCTTTATGCATAATCGTACTTGGTCCTTCTCAGGCCATGATGGATGCTCCCACCTCATCTCCGCATGGGGCCCGTTCTAGGCAAAGTTGTTCTCTACGCTTAATATGCGGATTAATCCAAGGGTGAGCCATACAAGCGGATGTAGTAGTATTACGAACCCGAAGGTTCGCGATCACCCGAGCGCTTCTTCTATAAATAAGCACGCGGGAGGCAGATCCGTTTTTCTTTCTCTTTCCCCCCCATGACCGGCGTTGTACCGCAAACGACTGCTGGAACGTCCTCAAGCAAGGGCATTTTTCATAAACACAATCTCCGTGCCACACTGTTTTGTACTGTATTTGTCTTTGGAGCGATTCTCTATGGGTAAGTCGTATAAAATTATCTTTCAATCGGTACTAGGCAGTTGACTGGATTTTCGACTAGATATGATGGGTTCGTATTCTCGGCTTCAAACCAGATTGCTATGAATTATTTAACATTGCCATAGGACATACTTCACTGGAATTCTAGCGATGAATAAATTCAAGCTTGATTTTGGGGCCCGTCAACCGGATGGGTCATATACGATATCGTCTGCTTATCAGTCGCTCTTTGCCTCTATAGTGCAAGTCGGTGAGGTCATAGGATCTCTGTCGGCTGGGTTTATTGGCGATCGTAAGGGGCGGAAAGGTGCCATGGTCGCTTGTGTTATCCTGGTCACTTTCGGTGCCGTTCTACAGCTCATTCTGACTGGATCCATCGCTCTCCTTGTCTTGGGGCGTGCCATTTTGGGTATCGGTGTCGGTATCGTGTCAAATTGCACGACCCTCTACCTCGCGGAGGTCCCTCCTGCCGCGATTCGGGGTTTGATGGTATCGTCGTGGCAGTTGTTTCTGGCAATCGGACAGGTCATCGGAGCTGGTGTCGCACAAGGTGAGTTGGGAAAATTGTGAGGTGCTCATGCTGATTGGGCCCTGACAGGAACGAAGGATTATACGACGTCGTTCTCGTACAGGTTCCCTATTGCTTTGAATATCTTGATTTGCTTGATCATTTGCGGCGGTCTATTCTTTGTTCCCGAGTCTCCGAGATGGCTACTCTCTAAAGATCGCAAGGAGGATGCGTACAGGGTGTTGTTACGGGTGCACAAGGGCAACGATGAAATTGACGTCCGAGCTGAGATGAAAGTCATTCTAGACGCTAAGCACGCCGAGGCAGAGACGAGCGGTTCGGTAAGTCGTTGGAGAGATATATTTTCTGGCGTAGAAAAGAGGAAGTTTTTTGGCGCGTTTGGTATACTCGTGTGTCAGCAGATTGGCGGTGTTCAGTTTGTAAGTTTCTTCAGATCCCCCCTCATCATTCGTTCACCTGGGCAACCTCACCGACTTCAGCCGTGCTAGATCTGTGAGTTACTTTTTCAATTGTAGGCTCGAACCAGTCTCTTTGAAACTCGATGACAGTCGATCGAAGGTAACATTGCTATCAAGTTACGGGAGGGACTGGTTCGAGTCTGTCGATCGTAGCGTCTCCAGGTGTTCATGCTTAATCTGGCTTAGTTTCCTATGGGACTGTTTTCTTCGAATCTATCGGAATCACGAACGCGTTCTTGGTCACAGTACATATGCCTTATGTTCTTGGCATTGGGGTGACCACTGACATATCTGTATCTATTCAGATGATAACCGATATTGTTGAAGTCGTTGGCGTACTCTGCTCCTTCATGGTCGTTAACCGTATAGGGAGAAGACCTCTCCTTTTGTCTACCACTGTTCTCATGGCGGTAGTCCTGCTTATCTGTGGTGGTCTCGGTACGATCCCTGCTGATTCCCGGTCCAAGGCCGTGAATTCGGCCATTGCCTCTATGATCATCATCTACGTCTTGTATGTCGCGACCGGTCTACTTGTTCATATTCCCCCCCTCACTTATTTTCTAGCATCTTCAATTTGGCATGGGGACCCCTTGCATGGGTAGTTGCGACTGAGCTAGCTGCAGGAAAGAACCGTACGAAGATCATGGGTATCTCCACAGCGGCCTTTTGGGTTTCTGCCTGGGCAGTTACATTCACACTTCCGTATTTGTATAATTCAGAGCCTGGTTCAGCAGGTTTGGGACCGATGGTTGGATTTATCTGTAAGCTCTCCTATAATCTCATTTCGTCCTGTCATAATTTTTGATTGTTCTTTCCAGATGGTGGTGGTACTATCATTGCCTTTATCTTTGTATATTTATACATCCCGGAGACTCTCGGTATGTCCTTGTTACGCTTGTTTGCCTGAGATATTTATACATCGTTATTAATAGGCCGGTCGCTGGAGGAGATCAACATGATGATGGAACTCCGTGTTCCTACGAGAGCTTGGTCTCAGTACCAGGCCGGTGTTTTAGACGAACATGGACGTCCGGTCCCCTTGGAGCAGTATATTGCCGAGGCGAAGGTAGGACGGACTGAATTTGTAGGGCACACTGACGCCGGTGGTCAACCATCTAGGGCGTGAAAGGAAAGAAAATTGACGTAAACAATAATGGGAAGGTATATAACTATTGTTTACCTCTTTTAAGTCAGATAAGTGACATTATCTCGATATGAAACCTATGGTACCAGTACCATGGTAAAAGCCAACTTTGTTGGTCCAATCAAGCGGTTTTCTGGAGATGATACACGAATATAGGCAGTTCAAGGGTCCAACGTAGTGGTGATAGTTACTTTGGCCCAACTAGAGGGAAACCACAACATTGGTGCGACGCATCGGTTCCGCATCGAGAAAGATCACCGTTGTTCGAACAACCACCATCAATCACTCGCCTGAAGTCCATGATGCTGGATACTATATACATATGGTTCGGTGATGGCCAGGCACTTTGTGACAGCACCTGAGCATGAGTGAAGAGAGATTAAGCGGGCAGTATTCCACCATGGGATCTGCAAAATTTCTAGTAAGGTTTTGGGGGTTATGGATGGTCAAAGTTGGTGTATGACTATTGACAACCGCACTCATTATTGTAAGTGGTAGCAGAATTTCTTTGCATTAGTATTTGGTGGCGTCCGCAGTCTGTAAATGTCAGGGTAAGAAATCTTAGTTGACACCATGGTACAGCAAAATTAATCCTACTCTCAGTTTCCTAAGTTGTATAACTGCCGTTATGACCCGAGAGGACTCTTGGAAAATTGTGCTGGGCCTGGGGCCTGAAAACAGCAACCATGCCTCAGATCGTCCAATCAAGTGTTGAAGACGTTTCATTTTGCCCCAGGTGTGAGAGTTCAGTTACTCTTTTTAAGAGTGGTGACTGGCAGCCGTCAATGACGATGGTCAGGATCAGGATGGGAGGCGACCACCGTCATTGGTGGAAGTTGAAGAAACCGCTCTATGGATTCGGGAACGGTGGTCCACCGTCTGGAGGTGTAACTTTCAGTAGTTGGCGACATCCATTGGAACGAAGGGAGCGGACGAATAGAAGAACGAGAATAAACCTATTCTCGTAATAGATTGGGGCTGCGGAGAAAAGATGTCCAAAGGCTGCGCTCTACCATTACGCAGCAGATCAATCCGCCACGCTATGGGGAACAATGAAATGCGCAGCGTAGCGACTTCCGGCCTCGTATAATAGCGTATAGCCTGGTGTCAGTGATGTTCGTGGGATACATATGCCTATATTCGGGAAACATGTTGAAAGACCTGCTGAAATGCGTTGCCTAGTGGAATTACGGAGTCCTTCATTCCAGGAACTGATCAAACGATAGTAGTCAAGTACCGGGTCAGCTACTGCAACTTCTTGGAGAATAGTCGCGATGAAGGGGGCGCTAGAATCAAGGAAAGAATCGGAAACGATAAAAGAACAGCTGTTGCAGTTCATCCACCGTCCATTTTCTACTTATAAGATCGATCGGGATTTCCCACGTGGGCGGGGTTCCAATTTTATTCGATTTATAAAATATTCTTGGCAATCATTTCTTGACTTTGTATATATAGAGGCCACCTGCGGCTTTCACGTTGCCCCCTCACTCTCTAGCTTTTTCGTCTCTCTTTTTGGCATCGTTGGAAGCCAGCTGGTCACTGCTTCACCTACCCTCGACGGTCACGGTCTGCAAGCGTTCATCAATCCAGGCCTCTGCCTCGTTTTCACTAAAAGCTACTATAAATTCTTATCATTCTCCCCTGGTCGTTTATCAAAATCGACCAGTCTAACAGTCTTTACATTTACTCAGTGGCATTCAATGTCTTCATCTGCTTCTGCAAACGCGACAGCGGCAACCAGCGCCACTGCCAGTAGTGGTGCTGCTCAAGCTCCTGCTGCCGCAGGTGCCCAGGTCGACGAAGAGAATCTCACATACCACATCGAGATCTTTGTACTCGCCCTCATCGCTCTTTTGTTTGTTTGTCGCGTCCCCCGCATCCTTGCTCGATTTTCTCGCTTGTCAGAGTGGACCCAAGGCCACTTCCTTCGCAATATCTCCTTTGTGACCCGTTCCCCTCGCATCGTTCATCTTACTCATGATGAGGCCTCAAGGGAGACTGCGGGGTCGTCCACAGAATCGCATACCCTTTACACGCATGCCTCCAGCGCCAAGCGTATTGATGAAAAGGGAAGGCCAGCTGTCATGAACTACCCTCCGCACGTCGGCTCATGCCCTGCCATCTTCCGCGGCCTTGCCTCCGAGCTGAGCACGCGCATCTTACCTGGCTACTCCGTATCCCAAGTCATTTGTGGTCTAGTCTACCTCTCCGTGTTCATTTACCCCACTCTATACCAGTCAAACCCCTTCTCGGATCCCGTGCGAACAGGTTGGGTGGGCATTGCGCAGCTACCGTTTATCTTTGCTTTTGCGTCCAAGAACAATGTCCTGGGGCCATTTTTAGGGATGGGTTACGAGAAAGTGCGTTTTTTCATGCGTGCCGTAATCTATGTCACTCATTTTTCGCTTTCAGCTCAATTTCATGCACAGAATTGCGGGTAGGATCATGGTCATTGCGATCAATGTCCACGGCATTGGTTACAGTGAGTGACTGTCATATCTTTTTTTAGTCGTTGTATTGACATCTGCCCAGTTTACAAATGGGTCATCGCAGAGAATTTCCAAGAAGCTATCGCGGAGCCTGACAACTATTGGGGGCTCATTGGGCTCATCTGCTGCGATATTCTGTACTTCTTCTCGACTGACTTTTGGCGGAAGAAGGCGTACAATGTCTTCTTCGGGACACATGTTGGCGGGTTCGCCTTACTGCTCATTGCTGTTCGTCCTTTTCATTTCATGCTACCCCATGGAGTATTGATGACTCTGTTAGTCCTGGATGCACAAAGACGCCGATAAGCCCTACGTCTGGGCCGCCATAGGGCTATACTCGTTTGACTTCCTACTCCGTTGTATCAAAACGCGCATCCAGACTGCCATAGTACGTCCGATCCCTGAGCTTGGCCTTACGCGACTCGAGATCCCCGGTATCAACGCCGGCTGGCGTGCAGGTCAACATGTCAGGCTGCGCGTAATGTCCGCGGGTATGGGTCTCTTGGGATGGGCAGAAGTGCATCCCTTCACGATCGCGAGTGCAAGCAACGGTCCCGAGGGAATGATCTTGATGGTCAAGAAAGTTGGCGGATGGACGAACAGCCTCTATGATATCGCAAAAGTGGGCGGATATGTCGAGTCCGGTCGCGGAAGGAACTTGAAGGTGATGGTCGAAGGGCCTTATGGTGCGCTGTGGATGCTTGCTGCTGCTTCTCTTGTCGTTCACGTTTTCATTTCCAGGTGGTCCGGGACACACTATTCCAGCGAGCTTTTCGGCCTCCGTGTTCGTCGTTGGTGGTAGCGGTATCACTTATGCCCTCGCGGGAATGCAGGAACTTATTCAAAAAGATCTCGATGGCGAGAGTCGCGTCAAAGTTATCGAGCTGATTTGGGTCGTTCAGGATCCGGGTCCGTTTTTCATCATTCAAATTACTACTTCACAACTCATTACTTTGCACAGCGTCGCTTGTTCCGCTAGTCCCTGCATTCACTTCTATGATACAACAGAGTGTTTTCACCCCTGTCAGGATATCGGTCTTCTACACACGCGCAGTCATCGGCAAGTTCCCCTTCCGCAAGGACTTCTTTTTCCCTGGCTTGTCTTTGAGTCCTGGCAGGCCAAAGCTTGCTACCATGTTTGAGGGGGCGATTTCAAAGACTGTTCAGCTTGGTGCCGGCGTGAAAGACGAGCAGGGACATTCAGGGATGCTTGTGTCTGTTTGTGGCCCGACTGCGCTGGCAGACGATGTGGCCAAGGAAGTTGGAAAGATCGACCCTCTGAGGAGAGATCAAGTTGGTGGTGTAGAAATCCATGAGGAGTGAGTCTTTCGTTGAGATGAAGACTAATATCATGCTGATGCGCACTTTCTAGCGTCTTCGGTTGGTAGACGTCAGATATTCATTCATTTTTATTCGTCGAGGGAGAGCACTGTTATTTCTTCTCTTCACGTAGGATTATCTTGACGATGACCACAATGTTGTGCGAGACACGCATTGCGATGTGATGTTGATGAATCGTTCTTTACTTATATGTACTTATAGTGCTATCTCCGAAGTCATGGATTTTGTTAGTTGCAAGTTGTATCGGTATTATGACTCAAGTAGACCTGGTAGTCAAGGAATAGATTTCTTTCTGATGTTCCAAAGTCTGCGGAAGCTGGGTTAATCAGTATCGAAAAGGCAGTAGAGATACGCATAACCGTTGTAATGAGGTATGATCGGTGGCGGTCGTTATGGAACCTTCCCCATTTGACGACTATGGTGCTGCGGTCTAAGGAGCTCAACATGCAACAGGTATATAGAAATCTTACAACGCCCCGTGGTAGTAAGTAAAACCAGATGCACAATCTGTGCGGTATCTCGGAGTGTATAAAGTACGAAAAAAGTCTAATGAGCATACCGTGAGCGTCGGAGGACAAGAATAAAGCAAAAAAAAAGAAAAAAGCTCGCCTAGAGTTCCTTCACTTGCCGCCCTCCACCAAACACCCCATTAGTTCCCCTGCTGAGGATCTGCCAAAACAGCCTTTCGTCCCCTTCTTGTCCATACAGGTAGTACACCGCCCGGCGTTGCATGTCCACAAGGTGCTGGGGCATGTATCGAATGAATGCAGTAAGGAAGAACGCAGAACTGATGAATAGAAGGGACACTGAGCATGTAAGGGAATAAGAAGAGGTGGACCAGCATTAAGCAGTAGTATGACTGACGAAGGAGAACCTTCTCCCAAGGCTCCAGCATGGACAACACAAAAGTTGATTCAAACCACATTCGCCAGCGCCAAAAATACTGAGACGCAGGAGATTCTGGACGGCGAGCAAAGGAGAGGTCTGGCTTGGGTGGTGGTAGAATGGTTTCCGACATTGTTGCAGTACGGGATGTTCGATGTACTCGAACGACCCAAGTTGATGTACTAAATTCTCACGGTTGTCAGGCCGCAGCTCGAGACTCCGCTTCGCCCCTTCAATTCCCCACAATTCATGTCTATTCCCCATATTACTATACATTGTGATCTTCTACAGAGAACAGACAGTGATATTATAATAAGGTACAAGCAAAGAAAACACGATATCAAAGCAAAATCAGAGGCAGCTAATTCACTACTGCCCCTTGGCCTTCGCAGCCATCTGTAAAGAACGAGGTTAACAACGCCCCAGGTCAGTCAGATAGGAAGACCTACCAAGTTCAATGCAGAGCCTGCCTTAAACCACTCGATTTGACCCTTATTGAATGAATGAGCCAGAGGTATCTCCTACAGGACCTCATTAATCAGGAGATGGACGTTCGTCGCCAAAAAGACTCACCTCTGAGGATCCATCCTCATGCTTCAATCGCAAGGTCAAGTTCTTGCCAGGCGCGAAGCTCTCCAATCCCAAGATATCCACCCTGTCAGAGGGCCTAACTTTTTCGTAATCTTCGGCGTTAGCAAAGGTTAACGCCAACATTCCTTGCTTTTTCAAGTTCGTCTCGTGAATTCGGGCAAATGATCTCACGATGATCGCGAGGCCACCAAGGAATCGAGGCTCAAGAGCGGCGTGCTCACGAGAGGAGCCTTCACCGTAATTGTGATCACCAATGACAACCCATTTGATGCCCTTCGCGCGGTAGTACGCAGCAGTCTGAGGAACGCCGTCCCATTCACCAGTAATCTGATTCTTGACCTTGTTGGGCTGACCGTTCTCAGCGTTGATGGCACCGATCAAGCAGTTTTCTGAGCTGACTGTTAAAATAGAGAAAAAATGGTCAGAGAGTTAATACGAACGCGAGATGTTTTCGAGATGTCCTCGGTACTTTAGCCAGGGTCCGCCAGCGCTTATGTGGTCAGTTGCTACAAGAATCACGTTAGAAGACGTAACGTGATTTGGTAATTCAATACTTACTGCACTTCCCCTTAACTTTGATCAGGATAGGGAGGTTTTCAGGCGTCTTGCCGTCCCATTTCTGGAATGGCTGCAACAACTGCAGTCGGTCACTAGTAGGGCTGACGGCGACGGCGACGCTGAACCTGTCGGTCGGAGGAGGCTGGAAAGTATTTTGGCCGGGATCGTAACCTTTTGGTGGCAGTTCGTTTCCGTTGGGCTGGGAGAACTTGAAGGGTTTGCCATCGGAACCGGTGAGTGAATCTGTAAGAGGGTTGAAGCCCAAGGATCCAGCGAAGACCATAGCAGTGACAATGTCAGGAGATGCGACGAAAGCATGGGTTGCCGGGTTCGCATCGTTACGTCCCGTGAAGTTTCGGTTATATGAGGTGATGACTAAAAAACATAAGTGTTAAATAGGCTCAGTTGTATGCCTTGGACATACTAGAGTTGGCTTCTCCCATCTTAACATCTTTTCTGTCCCACTGACCAATGCAAGGTCCGCAAGCATTAGCCAAAACAATACCACCGACTTCCTCGAAAGCGGCGATCTGACCATCCCGCTCAATAGTAGCCCTAACCTGCTCAGATCCTGGAGTAATAGTGAACTTGCTCTTAGTCTCGAGTCCGTGGTTGGCAGCTTCCTTGGCAATGGATGCAGACCGAGACATGTCCTCGTATGAAGAATTGGTGCATGAGCCAATAAGGCCAACCTTGAGTTCCTCTGGCCAGTTGTTCTTCTTGACCTCAGATGCGAATTGCGAGATAGGAGTGGCAAGATCTGGCGTGAAGGGACCATTGATGTGGGGCTCAAGTTCAGAGAGATTCTGATGATACGTCATAAGTGCGAGAACCAGTTGATTCAAAGCATTACTCACGATGTCGATGACCTGATCGTACTCCGCGTCCTTGTCTGCTTGCAAATTGTAGGCGAACTGGCGAGCATAGTTGGCAATGTTCTCTCGCTTGGTAGCCTTCAGATAGTCGACCATACGGTGGTTGAAGGGGAACATGGAGGTAGTTGCACCGATTTCTGCACCCATGTTGCAGATAGTGGCCATACCCGTGCAAGACAGAGATTCGACACCAGGACCTTTGTACTCAACGATAGCCCCAGTTCCACCCTTGACCGTAAGAATACCCGCAACCTTGAGAATAACATCTGGATAGGTGATTCGTCAAAAAAGGTGACGCCAAGTAAATAGGTACTAACCCTTAGGTGTTGTCCAGCCGCCAATTTTACCCGTAAGGTTGACACCAATGACCTTGGGACACTTCAACTCCCAAGGAATGTCAGCCATAACATCAACAGCGTCTGCACCACCGACACCGCAAGCAATCATACCAAGACCTCCAGCGTTAGGAGTGTGCGAATCGGTACCAATCATAAGACCTCCAGGGAAGGCGTAGTTCTCCAAAATGATTTGGTGGATGATACCAGAGCCCGGTTTCCAGAAACCGAGACCATACTGAACGCGAATGTGAGAAAGTGATATACACACAAAACTAAACAACACACCTTCGCCGTTGCCGTTGCCAAAAAGTCATAAACCTCCTTGTTGATTTCTTTGGCGCGCGCCAAATCCTTCACGCCCCCAACCTGGGCCTCGATCAAGTGGTCACAGTGCACGGTGGTGGGGACGGCGGCGGTGTCCATCCCTGCACTCATAAATTGAAGCAGGGCCATCTACAAGTCTTCCATGACGTCCTGCCCCTCAATGGTGGAAGCGAATACGTACCTGCGGGGTAGCACGGAAAGATAAGCCATGACGTCAGTGCTCAGGTCGGGATGGATGGGAACCTCTGCATACCTGAGCAGTCGCATCCTGGCATGCGACGCGCTGAAAAATGGCGTTTAGCAGGCATACTGACCAAAAGATATGCTCAACTTACATCCGGTCGAAGCTTCAAATAGCTCGTCCCTCGCTCGATATCCTGACCATGCGGGTCGTCGAGATGACCGTACAAGATCTTTTCCGACAGCGTCAGAGGACGCCCCAGCCTATATGAAAAGTCAGGAAGCGCGTATACTACAACTAGAAGGGAATTATACCTCTCACGAACCACAACAAGATTGTCCTCAATGCGTTGATAGTTGATGAATGCCCCTTTCTCAAGTAAGGACATTGGGACTTGGGTGTCGCCAATCCTAGGAGCAGCAGTGGCCATACCTGCAGCGAGACGCTGAAGGGACCGCATTGCTTTCGCCGTTCTGTTCGAAAGGTTGAACATCGTCGAACACGATGAGCAAGGTCAGAGGAGATCGGATAAAACATCCGTTGCCGGTTCCTGCCAGATTTATACCGCCAGAAGCCACGTGAAATTGCTTTTCCCGCCAATCAGAGTGCGTGTGTTATGGATTGTATAGTTATTTATTTAGTTTTCTGCGGGGTGGAATATGATCTCCAGCGAGCCGTCGGGTGCCCTTTATTGCGTCGCACAAGATGGAATGTCATTGACCCGCTCTTTTGCCGCGAAAAACGTTTAGAAAGTGGCCTGGTGACCGACAGGTAGCCAATGAGAGGGCGTGCCGGTCGGCCGACCACTGCACGAACTTTAAGCCCGTCTCCGACGACGCTGATGCAGCCCCTCCCCTGCAATAGTATATATATCTCAGCTTTGATGATACAGAAAAAATGCATCTCTATCGACCAGTCTGCTCAACAAAAGAACGAAAGACAAATCAGCATTTCGATATAGTTCGACATCTAATCAAGCTTGCCCAGAAATTGTGGAGAAATGATAAGCATCAAGGTTGAAGCGGCACAGTGTGGGGTACAATCATTTGTCGCGCCTGAATTTCCAAAAGGCTGGTACACAAAAGATATTCGTGGTAGGAAAACCAAGATTGTAGCCTTTGATAACGAAATCAAGGACCACCAAGACGAACACCTTTGGCCGCAATCTTGGCAAGGAAGACTTTAGTCTCAGCAAGAATGATAAGTCTACCATTGCCCGCGAAGACCATATTGGCTGAGGTCATTCCTAAAAAGAATTTTCCGATTAGAGTACCTTCGTTGTTCCATACCTGTGCTGGCGTTATCAGCTTTCATTAGGGCTTCAAAGCCATACTTACTTGCACCCCATCGCCACAACCGGAGTATACGTTGCCGTCGGTATCAACCTGGATGCCATCAGGAACACCTGAGTCCACATAGGCAAAGACGCGTCGGTTCATAAAGGCATGGGTTTTCGGATTGACATCAAAGGCGTAACTGCGCGAACATGATTAGACGTCCTGAATGGTGCAAGGTGCAAGGTGCAAGTGAGAATCCCTACATGGTAGCTGGCTCCGTTTGATTATTTCCGAAATATCCGCCTGCGGCTCCCGTGTCCGCACTGCATAGATTTTGGGAACCGAAGTGACAGAAGCTGAATTCTACTCACATGTACGCCCTTCTCCCGTCTCCTGAAAATGCCAATCCATTACACTTGTCGAATCCATCTGCCACGACACGAACACTTCCAGTATTAGGATCAAATCGATACACCTGGTTCGGCATTTGAGGAGTAGACCGAAAGTGGAGGAGGAATCCATATCTGCAAAGCATAAGATGCTTTCCTAAGAACACGAGAGAAGGTTTAACGGACGTCACATCGGTAAAGAATATCTTCCCGCTCGGATGCACTTTGATATCATTCAGAGAATTGAATTGACGACCAAAATAGTTGTCGAGGAGAACGGTGACGTTATGGGGTGGATGGGGATTGACGAGAGCTATTGAAGGAGGAAGCGGACCTCGACCTGATGTTATCAGAAGAAGGGAAGACTTATAAGGTCCAGTCCCTCCATTCGTCATTTGGATTGTATTTGGAAGATCAAGCTATCGAGGAAGATTCACGTTAGGATATGAGTTAAAAAGTAGATCTTACCGGAGTGATGGATACTAAAGACCCATTCGCAGCCTCAGCTGCAGAGAGACTTAATTTCGAGATTTGACTGTTGTGCTCCAAATTGCTCATGCCCAGCGGGCCGCCGTTATTGCTGGCAAAGAACACATCATCCGAAGAAGGATCATAGATGGGGGCCTCGTGTGCAAAGGCGAAAGTATCATTGGAAGCGACCTCGTGAATGGACGGAGATGAACCTAAAATTGCCAGGAACGAACGGTCGAATACTTGGAAAAATGGAGGGGTAGTATTCGTAGGATTAAAATGGGAGTCAAAGGCGTTTTCGCGGAAGGAGGCGTTGGCGCCCAATGTAGCTACCGAACGCGGGTCGACAAGCTGTTTGGAACACACACTGGCGTCAATTACCTCGGTTACGGTAAATTATACGCACGACAGATTGAGGGGGTAGACGGAGTTCTTGCGTACCGCCGGGGAATATTTTAGCCCAGGCGAAGGCCACCAGGGCCACCAGGGCAACGACGAGATAGGGCATGAAAGGCATAGAAGTGGAGTCTTTACTGGTGGGCTTCGACGACTCTCCCATGGCCTTTTTCGAGGTCAAGCACATGTACGGTCTTGATCAACTGGCCCCTCCTTGTGATCGGGGTTTATCCGGATTTGTTCCCGAGATACCGTGCGTCCGCATCCGCGTCCGCGTCCGACGCAAGTATTCGGGGGCAATTAGACGCTGGGTAATCGTCGCAGGGAATTGTTTCTAATAAACGGGGTCCATATGTATGCCGCATGCCGTCGGGCGGGATGACTATATATAGTATCCCGCCAACTTTGCGGACTCTCGGCCGAGCGAACAGAAAAGGAAACACTGGTCCTCGGAATTTCGGATATAGCATCTTGACAGTCTCCAGCCAAAATGTCAGTTGCATCCACCGACCCTTTTGATGCTCAACGGAAACTACCTTCACACCGACGAGATCGTTACATTCGCTGTGCCCTATCTTCAACAGACTGATCATCATCGTCATCCCTGAACGATAGACGAACCAGGGTACCTGGCAGTACAAAATTCCAGCATCGCCGCCGACTCGGGACTCCCACTGTAAGTATGAGCATATGCCGACCTGGCAAAGCGTGGTCGGCATCGCTGCATTGACTGCTTCTGGTCCCATCAGACGGACCAAAGATCGCCAGTACTCCGGCGAGGTGGTGACGCCCATTAAACACCAAGTCGCCTTTGGAGAAAAAAAAAAGTTGGCGGTGAAATACGAAAAATATGAAACACAGCCGATTTCAAGGGTTTCGAACTCGGGAGGATATTCCGGCGGCGACTTGCTGTTCTCGATTTAAGCAACGTTCCTCTCGAAACTTTCAAGCTTCGCTGCTTCCATCCTTTTCGTGTTATATTTGGTGTGCCTCGCGTGGGATTCGCACCGGAGTCATTCAGCGTTATTTCACCCATAATTCCACCGCAGTGACCTTGCACGGCCTCTAATCGTCGTTCGCTCCATGTTTCAACTCTTGTCTTCACTTACAAGTAACTTCCCTCCCATTCTGGGAGTTCGATGGTTCAATGTGTTCATTCTCACTGCCACGCCAGCCGTGGGATTATTGGGTCTTTTCTTATGTCCTCTTGATCGTCGAACTATAGCCTTTTCTGTGTTGTATTATGTTTTCTCAATGCTTGGTGAGTCTATCTTCTCTGTCGCACAAGGTTGTTGACCTCATCCTGATTAGGTATCACCGCTGGTGTGTGAACTCTTCTTCTGACGGCTATCGTGGCTCATCCTTCCCGCCAGGCTATCACCGACTGTGGTCCCACAGGTCGTATAATGCATCCATGCCTCTGCAACTCTTTCTACTCGCTGGCGGGACAAGCGCAGTTCAAGGATCTTGTTATTGGTGGTCCCGATCTCATCGGTCACACCATCGCTATACGGACACAAAGCTCGATCCATACGACTCCAATCGTGGGCTGTTATGGACCCACCTGGGTTGGATGTTGTTCGTAACAGACCTTCATTCTGGGAAGGCAGATGTCTCCGACCTTCGAAATGATCCGCTGTTGCAATTTCAGCATCGCCATTACCTTTATCTGCTTCTTATCTTTGGTTTCGTCATCCCTACAGTCATATCCGGGTTTATGTGGGGGGATTGGATAGGTGGATTCTGTATCGCTGCATGTCTTCGTCTGGTCGTAGCTCATCATGTAAGTTTAGTTGCGTGCATTTTGCTTTAGACTGACTTTGCTTAGGGTACCTTTTGCATCAATTCCATTGCCCACTACTTGGGTTCTACGCCTTTTGATGACAAATTGAGTCCTCGTGATCATTTTCTGTCTGCGATTCTTACGATGGGTGAGGGATATCATAATTTCCACCACCAGTTTCCGATGGATTATCGCAACGCCATCCGTTGGTATCAGTACGATCCAACCAAGTGGTTTATAGCCACTTGTAAATCCTTTGGATTGGCTTCCCACCTTCGAATCTTTTCGAAAAATGAGATTGAGAAAGGAGCTTTGACGATGAAGCTTAAAAACTTGAAAAAGGTACAAGAATCCCTGTACTGGCCGACGCCTATCAAAGAGCTGCCGGTGATGTCCTGGGAATCATGTACGTATACACACGGTCCCGTTTTTTGCACGCTTCTGACATCAGATAAGTCCAGGAAGAAGCGAAAACGCGGCCGCTTATCCTGGTGGCAGGCTTTATCCACGATGTTGCGGCTTTTCTCCACGAGCATCCCGGGGGGTCTTCTATCCTGACTGCAAGCTCAGGCAAAGACATGACATCTTCTTTCTTTGGGGGTATCTACAGCCACTCCAATGCTGCGCATAACGTATGTCATGTCTCGGAACCTCTTCTATCGCTACTGACCTGGGTCAAAGTTGCTATCCATGATGCGAGTGGGCGTCCTTCATGGGGGCGCTGAAATGCCTGTAGAGCATTCACTTCCTCCTGCCCAAGCCCTTTATGTAGCCACACGTCTTGACGCCATATGATTCTTCTGCAACGCCTACATTGCGGAGCCGCCCAAGATGACGCAACTCTGTTGGTTGATGCAGGGAGCATTTATAAAAACAACTTTGTTTTGTAATACTGTGTATGGATCCATTTCTTCTGTTAATCCACTCCGATCTGCAGCGGACTTGACTGTTTCTCCGATCAGAGCTGCTTGTGAGGTACGTCTTGAGCACTGTGGTTCCTGATTCAAATTCATGGCCCGGATTTCTCCTTGCAGATTTCATCATGCAGTGGTCGTATCACGGGCCATTGTGATGTATCAGTTGCATCCAGGGTTGGGGATCTCGTTAAATGATGATCGATACCACTTGGGCATGCTCCATTTGTCCATTTGGTACATCACACTTCGGACTTGGAGTATGTGCCAGCCGGGAAGATGTCTGTTTCGTGGATTGACTTATTTTTGAGTGCGCAGAAGTTCATCGCCATATATGGAAAGGATCTTTGTTATGAGATGCGCCCGCGGAAGGGTCGTAAGTTTTGTCCTTTCAGGGCAACAGATGTTCTAGGAAAGTTGGTCAGCTCCTCCCCAAAGTCCGCGGATGTCCATAGTAAGGCCCGGCTATCCGCATAGGACGACGGTGCTGTTCTGTTCTCCCAAGGAACGCCTTTAAGTTCCAGAGTTTACCCATCAGTGCATTAGCCTATTGGTTACGGTACCGTCGAGAATTACTCCCTTGCCCGAATTATTACTCACTTCACCCGGGAGACCGACGGCAGGTCTTCTAACCTGATATCGGCGCATACCATCGAGCTCACTATATAAAGCGCGTGTGCCCATCCCATCTGTGCCCTCCCAGTTTCGACATGGTCGTCCTCCAGTCCACGACCCCATTAACTGCTATTCCAACCAATCTGACGGTCCCACAGTTTCTATTGGATGAATATCACCATGTTACCCGCCCTACACGACTTCCACGAACTCCGTGTTTGATCGACGATGACACGGGGCAAGTGGTCTTCATAGATGAAGTAAGATATTCCGCGTTCCGCGATGTCTGGAGATGTTATACTGATATCATCATTGTCAGCTTCGAACTCGTTCTCGAGACATCGCCTCTGTCATGTACCATCGGTTCAAAATACGTCAGTACAATTTCTAATCCCTCGAGGCCCACAGCGCTCATGAATGTTTAGAACACGATGACATAGGTCAGTTACTTTGCACGACTTACAATTTCCATCACATTTACGTGCTACAAGTGTCCATAATGAGCTACAATCATATTGGTATGATCCTCTGCTGTTTTTGTGTTTATTGTTAATACCACTGGTCAGATTTTGGCCCATGTGTTTGGGCGGCACACCGTGTGGGCGGCGTGGTATCGTAAGTCCAGGCATCGTACCTTCCCCGATGACTACTAAATTTCCGGATGTCCATGCGCTTCAGAACGCTAAGCCCTACGCTTGTATTGGGGGAACTAGGTAACTAGACTAGGCCACAGATTGCTCTTTTTGTTTTTCACCTTTCCTTTCTAGTGCATCACCTTAGCATCGCTAGACCCTCTTTGTTGATCGTTCATGCGGACTGTTTGCCTGTGGCTGTATCGGCGGCATCGTCGATTAACCTTGCTCTGGACCGTCTAATCATCATTGAGGCGCCAGTTTGGAAAGAACCTGTCCCTTATCACTCATTGCACGAGTTAATAGAGCAAGGTTCACTTCTTCCGCCTCCGGTCGAAAGAATTCTGTGCGAAGGGGAAGGAAAACGAGCGATTGCGTTTCTAGCACCTTCATCTGGTACTACCGGTATTCAGAAGGTATGTGCCGCTCGGCTACCTATTCCAAATGAATAGTTCGCTGATGTCACCCACAGGCCGTCTCTATTACGCACTTTAATGTTGTTAGTATGATTATACAAGAGGCTACCTTTAATAAGTTAAATGAAGCATACGTGCCGTGGAATGAGCAGCGGTTCAGACCAGGCGACGTCTGTGGCGGTTGTAAGTATTAGCTCTCTGTTTTTCATTACGCTCACTGAGGTAATACTTTCATTAGTTTTGCCGCTCTATCGTGCGTGCTCTGTCAGTATCATCATATTGCCGACGACTGATCCTTAGCCCGACAGACATTTATGGACTTGTCTTCAATGTGAGCCAATGCTACTACACCTTTTTCAACCGCCATTCCTGATTACGAAATTTCAGCTACATTATATGCTATATGCTGCGGTGAGCGCCTTTCTCATTCCGCCCTCATTCGTGTTATAAAAATGTCTAGATGACACTCGTCCTCTCAAGAAAGTTTCACTTCGAGAGCTTTCTAGCTAGCATAGAACGACACCAAATCACACATTTACCGTGAGCATGCCCAACTTCTGTCCGATTTAGTCGCACTCCAACCGCAGATATCATCTTTCTTCCTAGATTAGTTCCTCCTCAGGCAGTCTTACTTTGCAAAGTGCGTGGGTTAACTACCTACTCGTTATCGCCGAATGTTGAAATATTGCAGCATCCAGCCGTCCAGAATTACGATTTGTCATGTGTTCGATACTGCGTCGTCGCCGCGGCACCGCTGAGCGCATCGCTCACTGAAGAGCTTCTCACGATAATGCCTAACATCCATTTAGGTCAAGCGTATGGTACGTCCTTATCGAAGAATATACCCCTTGGGCAGTCGCGGATTTAAACCCCCAGGTATGACCGAGACTTGTGGAGCTGTTAGCATGGTAGGTAGCATCTAGCACGAATGGAATCTCGACAATTCATGCAGTCCATATACAGTTCCCGGTAACTCAAAAGGTCGGAACGCTAGGAAGTGGAGGTCAGCTTCTTCCAGGAACAACAGCTAAGGTGGTCAAAGAAGACGGAACGATTGCCCAAGATGGTGAAGTCGGGGAACTATTGATTAAAGGTGGACAAGTAGCCCTCGGCTATTATGGAAACCCCACTGTGTAAGTAAATTAACTAACTACTGAGGTTGGCTAATTAGGTTTTCGCGTTTCAGAACCTCAGAGACCTTTGTCGACGGGTGAGGATCATCTCAAGTAGTTGTGTCCTGTCACTGACGCGTAACAAGATGGCTTCGTACAGGGGACCAGGTCATGTTCAAAAGCGGGGACCTCTTCGTCATGGACCGCGTGAAAGAGCTGATCAAGGTCTGTCATTTTGTCACTTAAACTTCTTCCCCTCGTCGTTCATTCCTCTGAATTCGAACGGAATAGGTCAAGGGATTCCAAGTCCCACCCGCAGAGCTGGAAGGCCACCTGTTAACACATACATGTATCGCTGATGCAGCAGTCATCGGTGTGGCAGACGACTTCGCTGGAGAGCTTCCTCTTGGGTTCATTGTCTTGAAACCAGAAGTTAACTGCGCTGTTAAAGAGGACCCGGCTTTTGCGGAAGAGGTTAGGTTCGACATCTTCGAGGTATGGACAGTTTCATTAACCTGCTATGTGTCTCATTACCGCTATTTCAGCATGTTGCAAAGTCCAAATCCAGTTACAAGTGGTTGACCGGAGGGGTTATTTTCATTGATGCGATTCCACGCAACGCCTCCGGTAAGATCCTTCGACGTCTTTTACGACAGCAAACAAAGAAATCTTCTTTCCCTGTCTCTGCTTCTTCCCGATATCACACTAAAATGTAAAAGTGTATCCTTTTTTCGTTGTAACTATTTATTGTTCTGCTGGAGGATGGAAGTGCAACTGTATTGTAATCTCTCGAACTCACCGGTACATTATACTCTGTCGCTTATTTCAACTAACGGAATGTAACAAATTTATGTCCATCTTATTACAACAACAAATGAGATATGTAGTCCCAATGTCTATTCGCTAAAGAGTACAATAAAAACAGTATGCATTATACAGTCGGAACAAGTTGCTGGTCAAGGTAGAAACACGACAGTAGCGAAAGAAGATCAAATACAGGAAACATTCTATACACTAGCAAAAATTTAGGCCACGTTTCGATCTTGGAACGAAGAAACTGTTCACAGAAAGTCCAAACACAATACACTGCCAATACAAAATGGAAGGAACGGTTAGCGATACAACGATCAGTGGTAACAACACCACCTAATTGATTGACAAGCTCCAAGAGGTCCTGAACGTTTTGTGAAGAGGAATCCTCCTCTGTTCCTAGGCCTATAAGCGCAAGTATGTCGTCGAGAGCGGACGCAATACCTGGAAGGCCATTGATCCAAACCAAGATTGAGAGTGCTCAACACTTGATTGACGGTGCCAAGTGTGTACTGAAGTGCGTCATTGGTCGACAGATCAAAGGAGCTCTGCCCAAGGAGGGAATAGAGATTGATGACACCATCCAGGAGATCGTTTACGAGGGCAAGTAGATTGGACACAGTAATTGGACTCGATTCATCGGCAAGACTGAGTTCTGAAGGATGGTTCCCGACATTCGAGGATCCTCCCGTTCTTCCACCACCTAGACTTAGGAGATCTCTCAAGTCAACTTTGATGTCAACGTCAACTCTGGTCCCATCACCATCAGACGAAAGCGTAGAGCTGGATGGCACGCTTGGAGGAGAGGAAGGTGTTGTGGTGGATGATTCCAACAAGGACTGCGCTTCGACGCTGCTCGCAACCTTCGCTTTGACCTTCGAACAACCATGTCCTTCAGAGTCGACCTCGGCCTGATCGGTCTTGCAGCCACACGATTCCAAGCTGAAGGACGTATCCTGCAACAGCTCAGCAAGAAGTTCACAAGCGTTCACAAGCCTATTGGTGTTTGTATGGTATCCGCGGTTAATTTGTTCAGAGCGAGATAGGTGTAAAGTTTGACGACGAGTTTCTCTGTCAGAGACCAGCCTATTCACATAATCCTGCAAATCATCATCAACGTCCAACGTGGCGTCAATAAGCTGCACAGTGGTGTCCAAAATTGTTGCTAAAGTAGCTGAAGTCTGACTTGATCGGGCTGAACGGAGATGACAGCCCCATTAACACTGACAAGGCTGCTAATGACGGCATCAACCACATCGAGATGGGTACAGTGAAGCAGGCGTGGAGTTGACAGATGAACTGTTGGTTTTTCGAAAGGGTGCATTGGGTCCACAGGTGATAGGATACCCGCCAAGCCCTAATAGCTTCAACAGACTGTTGGTCAATTGCTCAAATCCTGTCAACCCCTTAATATCGGCATTGATAGACATGATCGCGTCCAAACCAAGGGACTTCAGGAGTTCGCACGTATTGACATGAGTGGTGAGGACAGGAGACAGCGTGCGGACGTTTCCAGACGACATTGAACAGCGTCTCGAGAGGACTTGCCGGGCGAAGACGGTGCCTTGGGCGAGAGGGACATCGCATTTACGAAGGATGCTGGCAATCAACGACTTGGTGGTGTCGAAAAGAGAGAAGTTGATGCAACATCCACATACGTTGAGTTGGGGCGACATCCTTCCTGAAACGATGTTCAAGGCAAGGGCAGTTCTTTGAATATCGGCCAACTCCTGGACTGTATTTTCTGTCAAACCGCCTGGAGTCAAAATCCTTCCCAGCAAAGCGAGGAGCTGGTCCAGCAAATCAGACACATCAGTGATCTGACCAAGGTCACTACCAAGGTCGATCGTAATCTTCGTAGTAATCTTAGCAGCGAAATCAAGGAGTTGAGGGACGACATCAGAGAGGATCACAGGAATAGAGGTTGCAAGAGGTGGGGATTGAGAGCCCAAGCGCAGGATGAGAAGTACGAAGAGGTTTACATTTACTAGGATTTCATCATTGGAGTTTGGTGTAGCGCCTGGAGGATGGATGAGTTGTGCGAGACCGAAAGATGCCGGCAGATTATTGAGAAGATCGTCAACGCCTTTTCTCAAGTCGAGCGCGGTGGCAGAGTCCACACCCAGAGGGCGTAAATCGACGATAGAAGCAGACTAGCGTTGTGCTCCAACAGCGACACAGCAGGTTTGGTCTTTGCCAGGCTGGTATCCCGATCGGTACTTATGGGTAACACACCATCCTGCCTGGCAGGAGCCTGTCACTAGGCTTGGAAGTATACTGCAATCGATACCATAGGAGGATTGGGCTGAACCAATGGATGAGGAACGGTACATCCGCCACCTAGCAAAGATTTAGACGTGACTGCATACTTGGCCTCGAGAAACAAGCTCACAGCTTTCGAAAGCGACGGAGGTATCCAAACATTTGTAATCATATTCACCCTTTGGATTAGGAACACCACAAACGGATTGCCCAGTTCGGGCATTTGGCTTGAACTTCCGTCAGGGCGGTAATCTACGCTTGACGTCGTTTGCGCGAACGAGGAGCGGCAGAACCACAACACTAAGGCAGAGGCCAAACTGAGCTTGGCGGCTGCATATAATAGAACTTACGCGGGAAAATACTCCACGTTGGCCATTGCATTCGGTCTTCGGCGGCGGACACACTGACCACCTTCCTGGAGATAGGGACTGTCGCATTCCCAATGACAAGGGTTGCGGTTGTTGCATACGCAATAAGAGTGAGCTGGAAGGCCGTCGCTGACCCTTAGTATTGATCTAGTGCAAGATCATGAACAAACATGGGGAAGAAACAGATAGACACGCGCACCAAAGCTCTCTGCTCAGTGTTAAGGATAGACTTAGCATTGGGTCCGAGAAGACTAGTCACGTTCGCAGAGACATTGGTGTCCAAAAAGATGTCCAGATCCTGGCGGGAGAGGTCAGCGGAAGTGTAGAAAGAGACAGTCAGTAATTACCTGAAGACACAAGCATAGACCTAGGCCAGCAAAAATGTCAAGGGGAAGCAGCGACAGACCAAGAAGAGTGCCGGTATCGAGGGAGAGACAGAGGTCGATGAGGTGGCATGGCTGGTGGTGGTACTGGCGTTGGGCGAGAGTTCAGGCGGTCTTGTGCGACTTTATAAGTCTGGGTGACGGCGGTAGAGAAGAGGGCGAGAAAAGAGAGAACGAGTGTGGAAGTGAACCGAATTGCAAGTCCACGCGTCAAACCGACGAGGTGATGATGGTAAGGACAGAAAGAGACCTTTTCTGGTGACACCTTTCTTTCCAATCTCTTTATACCGTCACACGGTGGAGTTTCATTGTCATGTCGGGCGATCGATTTCCGCATATGGAGATTTCAACCAGCTTCTGTCTTCCACTGTGACTACAAATTTTCGATAATCAAACAGTAATTCCGCGGCATCCAAGTAACATTCCAATCAGGTAAAGCGAATACAATATAAGCAGGAAGATCTGTAAAGAACATACACATTAGCAGAAAACCTGAATCTTAAGACGGTTTATACGAACTTTATCACGGATTAGGCGGATGTCTGAATAGGAATCTCTGTTTCTTCGTCTCCCTCACCGCCATTCAAATGGCTTTCAACTTCGTCTTCGTCGCTTGACTCGGCATCCATATCCACGTCCATGGGACCCATACCATCACCACCAGGACCACTTTGAAATCGTGGATCCCAGTCCAATTCCTCTGGTTCCTCTACCTCTACTTCGACGCGCTGCTTCCAGTCAAACTTGTCGCGTAGCATCGTGACAGCCCGTACAGCTCTGTCTACCCGGGCATCGTGAGCGGCTCTGATTTCATTGCACTCCTCTAATACATCCTCGTATTCTGGCTTCTTAGGGATGGCTCCGAATCGAGACTGTTGGGTCGAGGGCACTGTTAGACCGCCAAGCACACCTAAGGAACCCCGGCTCTTCATGTGCTCGGACAGTCGCCGAACGGTGTCGGTCTCCATTTTCAGGACATCGAGCGTTTGCTGATTTCGAAGAAGGGGTATGACATCGTTATCAAGCTGGGTGTCGGGCATGCCGGCACGAGGATGGAGCGCTATTTTCTCGTAAGGGTTGGAGCTGTCGGTGGGGGCAGAACCATTGAACTTTACAGAACCATATATCGGGGACACAAGAGAGCTAGAGAGGCTGTGGGTTTGCGAGAGCAGGATATTGTATTTGGAAAGAATGTCTGGCCACGGAGGCATGGTGTTCTGATAGCCAGACTCAATGGTCCTTTGAAGTGCCTGTATTGATTCGACGATCTGACTCGCCTTGAATTTAAGAGACTCAAGGTGGGCGGTAGGAAGACTCGATGAGTCTAGGTTCATTTGAAGATTTGCCATACTGATTGCGAGGTAGACCCGGAAATGAACGCGGGCTGAGGCTGTTGATATATAGTAGCAAATAATGTAACAACTATATCTGTGACAGGTATCACGAGTCACGTTCAACCGCGTCTTTTTCTGAACATTCGACAGACACAACCTGAACATTATGCTTTCTGCTCTGCGAGCCCGCCTGGGTGCAAGGCTTCCTGCCTTATCTCAGCTGGCCGTTTTTACGCGCCAGTCTACCATTTATTCTGTCGCTCGACCTATTGTCTCTACCCAGTCGCGTACCTTCTTAACTTCGCAGCGCTTCGAGTTTGCTGCCAAGGCGACACCAACAAAAAGGACTCCTGCGAAGAAGGCTACGAAGGCATCTTCTGCGACCAAGACCAAGGCGAAGGCCGGGGCCGCTAAAAAGAAACCCGCCAAAAAGCCTGCCCCCAAGAAGAAAGTTGCGGCCAAAAAGAAGAAGGCCGCCAAACCCAAGCCCAAGCCCAAGCCCAGGAAGAAGAAGATTGTCAAGCCTAAGCCTGTAAAGTGTTAGTGCTTTCTTTCTTGCTCTATCGTGTACTTTTTTTTTTTTTTTATACTGATAATGTCTGATAGTCAAGATCACTGCCGAGATGAAACCGCCCAAGCGGAGTCTCACCCCTTACATGACCTTCCACACTGACCGCGTGCATGCTTCTTCGGGCAAGTTTTCCAACCTCGCTGAGGCTCAGGATGCTGTCAAGTCCTCTGCTGCTGTCTGGAAAACGTTGTCCGATGCTCAGAAACAGGTTCATATTTCATGCTTATCTATGGCTTCTAGACACTGATATCAACACAATAGACCTATGTCGACAAGGCTGCTGCAGCGAGAGAGGTGTACGAGAAGGCTATGGAGCAGTGGTACTTGACTACATCCCTTCATGTTCGCAAGGAATTGAACAAGAAACGAGTCGCAAAGGGCAAGTCTAAGATTGGCAAGCCTAATTGGATGGAGAAAGAGCCCTCTTCTGCGTATATGAGGTCTGCGTCCTTTATCTCACACATCTTTTCTGGGAGCCCTTATCATGTTGTGACAGATTTGCTATGGCGTTCAAAGAGGGCAAGGATATCCCTTACGTAGAGGCATTGAAGCAAGCCAAGGTCGCTTGGGCCAATATTCCTGGGGCAAGGAAAGAGGTGAATTATCTGTCTTTGCTCCTCTGGATAGACGTTGACTGGTTAATGACAGGAACTCAAGTCCGTGGCCCAGAAGGAGATTGCTGCCTTCAGGGCCAAGAAGCATGCGACCGTCTAATTGGATAAGTTCCAATTGTATGAATAGTTTATGTATGCCTCTCTGTTTGTCCGTTGAGTCATCTAATACCACAATCTCTGCTTACGCCGCTGTAAATGAGATAACTTGCTGTACGAGATACTAGCTGTATGGTCTTTTAAGTTTTGTGTTTGCCTTCTGTGCACCTGTGCTGCTGTCGAACGTCCCATCAAAGCGCATCCTCTTGCAAAAACCACAGCCAGGCCAGGACTGATCTTGATCGTCCCATCAACCACACATCAACTGCACTTGATTCGCCAGTATATTCATCTTATACCACATTTTTTTAACTATCACTTTTCGGTATGTACTTGATCTAGCGCATTAAAGACGCAGATCGTTGATGGGAAGCTTAAGCCTAAAAGTAGCGCCAACATCAGTTGCAGCATGACGTTTTCTCTTTCACTTGAGGACGCGCAGAAACTCATTTCCGCTCATGGATTCGATGCCTCACATTCAACTGTAGTGGAAATTACAGAGGTGGTCAATGATGCGTTTAGGTACGGCTTTCGTTGTTCCTGTGTTTGTCTCGCTGAAGTATGTCTTCAAAGTTATACAAGAGACAGAAAGACATATGTCGTAGATCTTTCTGCCTCCAAAGAATTGGCACCGACGCACTCTTGCTTCATCTCTGTCTCTCTGCCTTCGAGCCCGCCAGACACGCCAGATCCATATCACCCAAATTCCCTTCAAGTTATCGGCAAACTGATCTCCTTAATTCACAGACACACAGCTATCCCCATTGCAGATCCCTCACTGGACACGTCGAGAGAGCTCTGGTATCTTATCACGCCAATCCATCCTCTCCCATCATCCGCGATTATCACACTGTCGCATGCACGAAACAAGGGGCTACTCACTGCTCAACAACTTGTACTACTTGATCTAACACTTGGCAAGTTCCTGGGTCAGCTGCATAGTGGGGTTATGAACGAGTGGTTCGGGTTGCCGCTCCTGGGAGAACCACCAGACCCTTCATATAGCTGGCAAGAGACATTTACGTCCGTGCTTGAGGCACTTCTCGCCGAGGCCGAGTCCAAGTCTTACGAGCTTCCCTTTGAGGATATCCGACGCTACTTATCCCGCGCCATTGCCTTTTTCCTGTTTGATGATGTCCAAGTGCCATCCTTAGTGTGGTTCACGGGTTCGGATGATGATATATACATCAGCTTGGATGGGACGGGCGCCAGCATTGCTGCAATTCTTCCCAATGTTGCGCATGCGATCTGGGGAGATCCGCTTTTGGAGTCTTTTTTTATGTCCGGGATGAACGAAGCGCTCTTGGAGGGTTACAAAGATGGAGGTGGAGAGACGCTGGTCGTTTTCAGCCGGCAGAAGACGAAACGGTTATGGTATACGTTATTCTTGGCTTTGGTAGTACTGACGGAGCGAAATGGCACTGCAGGTCCAAGGGAACAATGGGCTAAGGAGACCATCATGCAGTGCGCGGATAGCCTCAAGGATGCCCCTTGTCATTGAATCTATACAGTATGTACATAGGCGGTATCACCTCAAGTCATGTCGGTACCGGTCATCATGGTCCCTGATCATCGCTATCAGTACCGCATTCAGTCGAATATTCCCGAGTCAAAATAGATCAAGATTGTCTGTCGGATCTCCGTGACACAACAAGTCCTAGCCTAGTGCTGAGCGCCCACCTATGCACGAGGCAAAAAATGACTCAACCCTTTACGAATCTGTGGACAATTTCTGACTGAGTGACCCGGATCCGATCTGTTTGGGCTGTCCACGAGGTAAATAGGCGCCAGGGCTAAGTATATAAATTGCACACTGGATTGTCCTTATATTCAAAAGCCCATCATGGCCACTTATCTGCAGCAAATTTTGAGTGGATTGGCTCCCCTAATCAACTCGACCGTCGCAGAAGTTACCAACACCACTTCGGCCCTTCCTCAGGCCACGATTTCCCCCTTATCTATTCCCAACGATCTGTCATCCCTGATTTCGCTCCTCTTCTCGTTTTCTGCACTACGCGACTGGTTGAAGCTAATTGTGCTTGGTGGCTTCTTTGAAACTTGTCGTCGAGTCATCTTTGCCCAGTACGCAAAGTTTGTCGATGCCTTTTACATGAAAGCAACCTTCGAAGAAGATGACCCTAGTTACGGTATGTTGTATTTGTTAATGTGCGCACTTAAAGTGCTTATCGATTTCCTCAGAATGGATGATGGTTTGGCTCTCAAGACAACCGTCCTGGGGTGAGTCTGTTTCCTTGGGAGCGTATTTAATGCGGCGTATCTGATAATCGATGCAGCTAAAGCGCGTGATATTCAAGTTAGCACTAATACATATGGCGCCAACTCCAACACCGTCATGCTCGAGGGAGAGGAAGATTCCAGCGAATACAAGACCTCCCGAAAATTAGCCTACCTACCTTCTGTCTCAATGACATATTCTTTGTGGTATAAAAGGCGATACATGACCATCACTCGGACACTACAAGATACGACGGGATCATATTATGCAACGAAGCACAATGTTCTGCAAATTAGGTCTGGTTTGACAACTCTAACATGTAAACTTCCTTCCATTGACAACATCTCCTTGCACTAGTCTTCTGACTCGCAGTCACAGTCTGCTCATTGGCTTGCTTCAAGAAGCTCGCAGTGATTTCATGGCTGCTCAGGAACACAAGATTTGTGTATGGGTTTCAGATGTGTGAGCATTCTCTTCTCGATATGGGGTGCTACTTGGGATCGAGCGCTCTTGTTTATAGGAACAACGGTTGGAAGCATGTTGGCTGTCGCGCTAAGCGCAGTATGAATTCCATCATCTTGGAGTCCGGTGTGAAGGATCTCCTACTGGAAGACGCTCGGGATTTTTTGGGCAGCAAGGACTGGTACGCAGAACGTGGCATTCCATTCCGTCGGGGTTATCTCTTGGTATGATGCTATGTTACCTTCGTTTCTCTGCTCTCGCCAACATTTTACAATCCTATAGTATGGTGTTCCTGGTTCGGGGAAAACTTCATTGATTCACAGCATAGCTGGAGAGTTGGGACTTGATATATATATCATCTCCCTCTCTCGTGTTGGACTTGATGATTCTTCCTTGGACGCGCTTATCAACGAATTGCCTGAAAGATGTGTGGCTCTCATGGAAGATATCGATGCTGCCTTTACACGGACTCTCAACCGAGATGATGACGACGCTTCGGATTCTGAGTCAAGTGCTTCATCCGGTGCCAACAAAACTCCTAAAACTGGTAGCCCTCCGCCGCCGCCTGGCAGCAGGTAAGCATCAAACCAGAATTTGTTCTCCGCGAGGGTTTGACGTGCCGGTATCAAGGGTCAGTCTAAGCGGACTACTCAATGCCCTCGATGGCATTGGCGCCCAGGAAGGACGGATTCTTTTTGCAACCACAAACAAGCACACTTCCCTTGACCCTGCCCTTTGTCGGCCTGGACGCATGGACCTCCATATCGAGTTCAGACTATCGAGCAAATATCAAGCGCGAGAGATGTTCAAGCGCTTCTACATCCCTTCGAGCCAATGCAGTGAGGCTGACGATGACGATGAAGCAGCCGACTCTGGATATGGATCTGCTGCTCTATCAGAAGCGACAGACTCGACACCGCCTTCTCCGGCTGATTCCAAATCATCGGAATCTCCTGTTTCTGAATCCTCATCTGCTCCACCAGCATTTTTCGGTAGCCGCCATGTTGGGCGGGCCCCCAAGCTCTCGAAGGGAAGAGTTGATGAGCTTGCTACGCTATTTTCTGACATTATTCCGGACCAACAATTCTCCATGGCGGCACTGCAGGGCTACCTGATGATGCACAAAACCAGGCCCTTTGCTGCTGTTGCAGGCGCACAAGACTGGGTTGAGAAAGAGTTGAAGGATCGTAGCAGACGAGAAAAACAGAAGCGGGAAAAAGAGGAAAAAGAGAAGGAGAAGAAGGCCAAGGAGAAAAAGGAAGCCAGGGAGAAGGACGAAGTTAAGGATACCCCCAAAGCACAACATAATCCAAGCGAAAGCGACAAAGCGATCCAGGTAACTCAGATGCAAGTTTCATCCTGACGGATGGCGTTACCAGGGCCTTCCAGTCAATTTCTATACATGTTGCTCGGAGTTGGTTCGAGGTTAACCCAGACTTTGACACGCGTCTTCCGCTCGAAAAATTCTAGTATCCCAACTTGCGGGCTTGAAACCGACGGTAGAAGGAAGTCCGCTTGAAATAGCAAACGCTATCTGTACTTAGGCGCCGCCCATAATTGGCAATAAGCAGTGTTGTTTGTTGATACATGTTAAAATAGAGGGGCATCAGCCTCGATCGAAAAATTTGTGTCCACACCGTGGACATTGTGCTATTCCTTTGCATATTTGTGATGGCCCAACAACGCATGTCCTTATGGGCCGCGGAGGACATAGATGAAGAGCTTCAAGATGTTGATCTGTCACTGGCGATTGGGAACTATGGGCAGAACGGCTTTGACGAGGGTGCGTTAGCTTCAGAGAACTTTCCCCTTGTCCTCACTTGGATAATGCAGCGCAAATACCTCCTCAAATTGATGAATCCTCCATAATTGCAATGCAGCAGCATATGGCGCAGCAAGCGGCTTTTGCCCAAATTCCAGATGTTGTAAAAGCCGTATGTGGACCGTGATGGTTTCCTATAGAAAAATACTCAATGTTCAGATAGTTCATCGTTCATTTTCATCAAGCGGTGTTGGACAATAATCTGAATGAGATCACGATTGCGTATGAAAGTGGCTGGAACAAGTATACAGAGAAGTTCTATTCGCGGACAGAATGGCCTGAAGCTGAAATCATCGCGCCCCTTGTCAATGACGGTGCCCATTCATCCTCTTGTTTCAATTTTGAACTCCTCACTAAAGACTGTGACTTACTAGATCCTATTTTCCTGATTCTTTATCGAGAGTTGTATTACCGACATGTCTACTCACGCTTGCAGCCCGATATTGACGATCGGTTCCATTCTTATGAGAACAGCTGCGAGCTGTTCAATTATCTTCTCAGTTAGTTTTTTGTTGTACTACATCCTAACACTTGACATGTTTGGCAGATTCTGACGGTCCCGTCGAACTGGAGCTTCCCGAGCAATGGCTATGGGACATTATTGACGAGTTCATCTACCAATATCAGGTTTTTTGTACTTGGCGATCAAAGGTAGCTTCTAAAACGGATGAAGAACTTGGTATCCTCGAGGATGGAGGAGGGGCGAGTTTGTTTGATGCGTTATACATCGTCTGTTCTGACTTTTTCAAGCAGGTGTGGAGCTCTTACAGTGTTTTGAACGTCCTATATTCTTTCATCCAAAAGTCAAAAATACACCTGTATATCGAAGCCACGCAGCAGGGAAAGTCTGTCGATGAAATTGCGTTCGTACAGTTTTCTTTAAATAATACTTTGATAACATCAACGACACATAAACAGTGAGATTGTCGGGCCGTACGGTGTACGTCCTCTATATCGAATGCTGGGTTACTTCAGCATCATCGGGCTACTTCGTGTCCACGTTCTTCTGGGCGATTTCACTCTGGCCTTAAAAGTGATGGACAACGTCGATCTCAACCAAAAGGTATATCGGAGCATCATCCCCCGAGAATTAGCTAACATGTACTAATTGTAGTCACCGTTCACTCGTGTAACCGCGTGCCACGTAGCCACATACTACTACGTTGGTTTCTGTTACATCATGTTGCGACGGTACCCAGACGCTATCCGCACATTTGTGACAATACTGAACTTCATCATGCGGATGAGGCAATACCATACCAGGAGCTATCAGTATGATCAGGTCTGTGAACTTTTGTTTTATACAGACGTGATTGTTTTACGGTCTCTATAGATCAACAAAACAGCAGATAGGATGTATGCATTGTTCGTAATGTGTAATGCGCTGTCTCCCAGTCGGCTGGATGACAACATTGCCAGTGCTGCTAAAGAACGGTACGGTGACCAGCTTGCCAAGATGGCCAGAGGAGGGTGAGTGTGTCATTTGTGCCTATTGTTCCGAGGAATCATATCGTCACGGGTTCTAGTGAAGGTGCTCTGCCTGCGTTCGAAGAGCTTTTCCTCTATGCATGTCCAAAATTCATTAACGCGACATCCCCACCGTACGAGGATCCCAATGCCATCGCCCAGATCCTCCAGGATTCATCACCAGATACCTACGTTGATCCGGCTCACCGACAGCTACGCCTGTTCTTGTCTGACGTGGTGACTCAGTCCCCTGTTCCAACGCTTAGGAGCTTTTTGAAGCTGTACACCAGTCTTGGCTCTCAAAAGCTGGCCAACTTCCTGGATGTCGACGAGGAGGAGATGATTCAAGAGATGATGGTATTAAAGCAATGCAGTCGTAGCATCAGCCGGGTAGGAGGAGATAAAAACAATCTACTGGACGGCCAGACTATCACCACGAGTGATCTCAACTTTGTCATCGACGAGGTATGCTGTGGCTAGGTCCTATCGTGAAGATGGCTAATGCATCTTTATTAAGAACATGGTACACATAGCTGAATCCACTGTTGGCAGACGATTCGCTGGCTGGTTCATCAAGAACACAGAGCGCACTCAACGAATATTTGATGACCTCAAGAATACCCCGCTTCCTACTCCTCCGAAAGGTGTAACTAGTGTTAGTACTGCCGATACGTCTACGAAGCAGAGACCAGCTGGGAAGGTTGCTTGGGGTAATGTTACCTCCAAGCCTTGAGCAGTTCCTTTACCGCAGGCCTGCGGCGTGATAGTATCCATCTACATTTACTTGAATACATTGCTTCATTCGCGCTTGAACATTTGTTTTCCAAATGATGTCCTATTTAGGTAACCATACTTTTTTTTTCCAGACCCGGCGGCAAATTTCTCTCCTTGGTTTGCTCCTTTACCGGGTATGCGTTCTGTACGCTTCCTCAGTACGCGACAGCCGTTATGGGAACTGCCCAAACCTCATGTCACTCAGAGTACAAAAAAGCTACTGCGAAAGGTGGAGATGAGAATCGCCCCGCAGGTAGTGGCCGCGCAGACGAAGCAACATCTTCAGCAATTCCTCCAGGTTCGAATGGATCCAATGGGGCGTGTCTTTATTGCTGATATTTGCACCAGGGCTACATATTAGGGCAGGAAGAGCGTGTTAAACGGGAAGACAAGCAGAGGGAACTGCAAGCTGTTCTCGCGAGCAGGTTTGGGAAAGAGGTTTTAGTCGAGGATATAAGCATGGCCTCTTACGGCCTAGATATACGGAACGCTCCCATGGAATTTGCCATTGTGGTATGTCATGACTTGCTTTTCCGCAAATGTGCGCCATAACATGACTAGGATGCGGCCTACCCGGCAGCAAACATACCACTCAAAACCATGCAGTCCCATGTTCTTTCCGAAATACATAATCATAAGAACGTATTCCGTCTATCTTTTACATCATATTTGCTGAACTTTTCCCTTTCCACAGGCGCGTCGTGGAGGTTTTACTCGAGGCCGGATTTCGATGTCATGTTCCGGAGTACAATTTGGATCTTGAAGTAAAAGACGATTTCAACCTCTGGGCTAGTTCAGAACCAATACAAGGACCCGTCTACCCGCCACGGCTACGCGTCGAAGACTCCAAGACATCGGACTCGCTGGACTCGTTTCATCTAACTTTCGCAGGTCCCACTGTGATACCCTTGCACAAATGGCTGGCTGGATATCTCCCCAGGCAGTACAAAGACTTTATGGCTCTTTTCTTGATATATCTCTGGTCTCAGGGTATCGAATTTCCGACGACCGCTCTCGCACTGATGACGGCACGCTACCGTCAGGTAAGTTGTCTCATTGATCCATTGCATTATATACTGATTCTTCCCTAGGCTAGGGACAATATGCCGCCTCTTTTTCAACAGAAAATGAGTATATGCTGGGTCCCAGCCAACTTCTATAATTCTATAGATAAGGTGTGGGAATCAAAGTGGGAAGGTGTTCGACTGCCGGAAAACTATAATCCTGGCCAAGATGTCAGTTGGAAAGCATTGCATTTTCTGGAGATGTTCCAGTAAGCGCATTTAACTGTCTCTAATGTTTTCCCTGACCACTTTCAGATACTGGCGCCATTCCGACACTTCTACAAATACCATGGTTTCTCTTAGGGAAGGGGGTATGAGTGCATTCATTCCCCGCCCTGGATATACGCTATCGCCTAACAATCAACGTCTGCTGTGGCATGATAATCCTTTCGTCGTGCAAGATCCCTTTATTGTTACACGTGTATGAAAGTACAACCTGTCCTTTGCATCAGCTGACTTATCGTTTTGTGGCCGTAGAATCATGCACATACAATCAACATGAGCGAAATCAAGCGTTTTGCATATACTTGCAAAAGGGGCTTCAACGTATTATCGCAGGGTGGCTCTGTTGAAGACTTCTTTTTCCAGCGCCAGGCACTCGATCCATCTAAAGAATCTGATTATGATCGAAGAATGCAGGATCCTACGGACAACGAGGACTGGCTTTCTTTCTTGGACGAAGAGGCAACGGAAGAAACTGAGCGCATGTTCGGTAACGATGGATCATTTGATTCTCGGCCTCAGGGCATGGCATCTCTTCGCTCTAGTTATGCGCCAAGGTCATCGCGTTCGCCTCGACGGTCCTACGGCACCCGATCTTATTCAACTCAGCCGACGCCGCCTGGCGGTGTTACCTCGACAATACTTCGACATCGGAAAGATACAGTAAGACGTGTGCAGGACATCATTCGGCAAGAATTCGGGAGTATGTACTCTGTTGAACAGTTTGGCAGCACACGCTATGGCATTTCTTCTGCAAACAGCGACCTCGACCTGGTCCTAATTGTACGTGTCGATTTTTTCCTTCTCAGTGTTTCTTGTTAATGCTTTATCGTCTGCAGGATCCCAAACGGCCACATGGTGTCTCCCCGAAACACTCAAAGCCACACGGCGGTAAGCATGCATTCCTACACTTCGCAAGCAAAACTGACGTATCGTAGGCGTATATAGCATAAAGTCTGTTCCGTTCTCTGACCCGCCTGGTGCCTCCATGCTGACAGTTTCAAAAAAGAAAGGTCGGCGCTCTACTGAGGAAGAAAAAATATAGGAATGTCGTCGTCATTGATAGCGCCAGTGTTCCAATAGGTGTGCGATTTCTAGCTGACCCGCCAACCACGTCTTATTCTTTCTGCACAGTGAAATTCAGAGACCCGGATACGGGCATGGACTGCGATTTGAACATAAACGACAGACTTGGGCTCCATAATTCTAACATGGTGAACCGCTATTGCGATTTGTCGCTGCTCTTGCGACCGATGGTGCGAATAGTAAAAAAATGGGCCAAACCTCTCAAGCTGAATAGCCCTGCCATACGCTCGGGAGGTCGTGTGACATTCAGTAGCTACGCTCTTACTTTGATCACCATTGCTTTCCTCCAGGTGAATCTAGCTCGTAGTTTTCTCATGGGAACGCTGACATCGTTCCCAGACACATCATCTATTACCCAATCTTCAAGATCGCGTGCTTCCTTTAAGTGAGGAAAATCAAGATGGTCTCTTTTGGTTCAAGGGGAAGCCGTGTAATACGAAATTCAACATGGCTGAAGGCTGGGTACCTCCAGAAGAAAGATCGGTGGAGGAGGCGATGTTAGCTTGGTTTAGGTTTGTGCTTCTTTCTCTCTGACGTCTCAGTCTCAAATGTATAAGCAGATATTGGGGTTTCGAACACGATTATACCATGGATACTCTCATCTCTATCCGGGCTGGTGGTATTATAGATGGGCCTGACTTCGCTTGGGATGACAATGAGAAGTTCAAACGCATGTCCGAAGCAGAGTGGCGGAAGGCTTGCTTGACCTCGAAAGCTGATATCAGAAAATATCGGCTTCTTGTTGCAGATCCATTCATCACCACCAAAGTAAGTTGATCTGTTCTATGTAATATGCTTAATCTCATGTGGTTTATTCAGAACGTCACGGGCAACATCCAGTCTGTCAGTTTTTCCGTTTTCCGAGCGGAGTGCCAGCTTGCTTTCAAGAAGCTGTTACTTCCAAAAGTGCCGAAAAAAGTGAAGAAGGATAAGCCCCGGACCACTCCAGGATCGGACGATGATGCGGAATATATCAGTCGAGCTGCCGATGCCGAAACTGAACCTAACATACGTCCGCTCACTAACTCGATAATGCCTAAGCCCAAGGCGAAGGGGCCAATACGGCCAGTTGAATTTCTGATGGAAGGGGGACGAGCGAAACGGATCATTCCTCCTCCAAATGATCCTTTTTTAAAAAGGTTTGCATACCTAGAAACGAACTCAAATATCGTTGCGACGGAAGGTTGCAAGACATCCGAGTTTGAGGAATATCATTTCCGGGAAGAGGTAGAGACATGATGGCCTCTTTATCTATATATTGTATCACTAGTACGCATTGATTAATGTCGACTGCAGAATTGCCATAGGTCAATATAAGCGCTGGAGCGGTGTTATTGTGGGACGAATATGGTAATGTATGTGTATGACCAATCACTCCGGGGCTATATCCATCGGCGCTCGGACCTACATCCATCTTCAAATCACAACACGAAAGCTCGCTGGCGGTGCTTACTCCTTCTCTACTTTATATCACCATCATCGTTTCGTGTAGCTGTCTTTCATTTACGCCACAATGTCTTGGAAACTTGGAAAAAGTACGCTTGCAGCACCCCTTGGAATATGCAGCATTCATTACCTTTCGCATGTAGAATCCAGGGACAGCAAGGAGAACGGGGTCATCTCGAGATCTGTCACTCCCATACCCTCTCGACCTACGACGCCGAAGCCACCTACTGGATCTGATCAGTTCAGGTCTGGAATGCTGACCATTCGTATCTTCTCAGGTATGTCAGAGTGTTTGCAAGCCCTATCTACGAGCCAACGCACCTTCAAGGACGTGGACTTTCCCTGCCTCCCAATGCACCAATTCCGGATATCATACAGAGAGCACTAGAATCGGCGCCTCCCACCCGGAAGTCGACTAGCAACAGAGAGAGTATGCAGCGCAAACGTTTCTGGTGGCTCCCTTATGTGGTTCTAGAGTTTGACAAGAACGAGATTCTCATTGATGCAATGGGTGGAGATTTAGCGAGCCCAGTGTGGAACTACAGGGCGGACTTGTGAGTTGTCGCCACTCCTTGTTTTACTCTCCCTTCTGAATACCCGCAAAGTGATGTCTCACGTACATCCAACATTTCCGTCTCTGCATACTTGCGTACGGCACCTATGCAAGGACCGGACGATATGGGAAATGACTTGCTCTTGGCTCGTGTGGACCTTACGCCAATGCTAGATGGCCATGTGAGTCTCATACCACTTTATGCCAATATTCTTCCTTTCTTAAGACTATTCTCGCGACAGCATGCCTCAGATCAATGGTACATTGCCACCGCCGGCGCAGGCTCCTTCCATCTCAAGATCGATTTTAAACCTACACGCAACGAGCTTCTCACGATTGACGCGTTTGACCTTCTCAAAGTTATTGGGAAAGGTAGTTTCGGCAAGGTCATGCAGGTCAGAAAGAAGGACACCCAGCGTATCTATGCCCTCAAGACCATTCGCAAGGCACATATTGCGCAGAGGCCTGGGGAGATTACCCACATCCTCGCAGAACGGACGGTGCTAGCATTGGTCAACAATCCGTTCATTGTCCCCCTCAAGTTTTCCTTCCAGAATCCGGATAAGCTCTATCTTGTCATGTCGTTTGGTGAGTTGATGCGTTATGAACGGGGCAATGAGTGGCTAAATTAGATCATATCATGACTGCCGTTAGTCAACGGCGGGGAATTGTTTTACCATTTACAGAGAGAGGGAAAGTTTGACCAGGATCGCAGCCGATTCTATGCGGCAGAACTTCTTTGTGCTTTGGAGCATTTGCATGGCTTCAATGTTGTTTACCGGTGAGCCTAATTTATATGTGTACATCAGATCTGGGTGCTCATAATGGACGCGATAGGGATCTTAAGCCAGAGAATATTCTCCTTGATTATACTGGGCACATTGCGTTATGTGATTTTGGTGAGTCTTATTAAAGTGCTTAGGTAGTTTTGCTCACTAATAACTGGATAGGTCTTTGTAAACTCAACATGTCCGAAACGGAAAAAACGAACAGTAAGTACCATCACCTGACAAATACGGTATTCCCACTGATAGATCCTGTTACGCAGCGTTCTGCGGCACTCCGGAATACATTGCTCCCGAACTCCTTGAGAGTCAAGGATACACCAAGACCGTTGACTGGTGGACTTTGGGTGTGTTGCTGTATGAGATGATGGTGAGATCTTCCATGGCTTTCGGCATTGATTACTGAATGTCAAGCTGTGAATAGACTGGCCTCCCACCATTCTACGATGACAACGTAAATACGATGTATCAGAGAATTCTGACTGATCCGCTTCACTTTCCACCTGACATGTCTGCGGAGGCGAAGAGTGTTATGACGGGGTTGCTGCAGCGAGATCCGTCTCGGCGCCTTGGGGCGAATGGGGGTGAAGAAATTAAGAGACACCCATTCTTTGCGAGGTATATTGATTGGAATAGGTGGGTCTACCCTGTACCGTCGCCACTTTTTAAGCTGACATGCATGACAGGTTGTTGGCGAAGAGATACCCACCGCCATTCAAGCCGAGTGTTGTGCGCCTCTTTTATTTTTTTATGAGATCTATGTCAGTCTGATCGTAGCACAGGAATCTGTTCTCGACGTGGCCAACTTTGATCCCGACTTTACGAACGAGGAGGCGCAGGATTCAGTTGTTACGGACTCCGCCCTCTCCGAAACTGTGCAGGATCAGTTCAGGTGTGTGTCATCGTTCGAGATCTGGACGTATTTGACCGTTTACGAAGGGGCTTTACATATAATCCTGCAAATGAGCACCTTAGTGAAAGCGTCAGTTATTCTAACGCCATGTGAGGGAGGGGATTCTTTTTTTCAATGGCTTTTTTTTCGTTTATTTTAAGACTGATACCCACCAAAAGTGATTTCACTGTAGAGTGAATTGTTAGCACCACTTCGTTCGCTGTAGACAATTTTCGTTCTAATATTTAAACATTTGTCTGGAATCGCTTTGTGTAGGATACGGAATGTACAAGTGACCACATCTAAGACAGCTCGAAAGTGAATCATTAGTGGAAACAAGATATACAACACAAGTATACAACATGATAGGAACGTTAAGAACAAATTCGAAATTATTAGTACTAGAAAATGCCCGACTTGTCTCACATTCTAAGGCCTCATATCCCATGAGTTCAGATGAACGTCACGCCATATTGCAAAAACTCACTATCACCGCGCTGGTGATTCCTAGCTGTACGAAGTAGAGTATCGTGACAAAGCAATTTCGAACACATGCTTGCTTCCGCGGACTTTTTCGAGCACTACACCGGAGGGCGAGTAGTGCCGTGAAGACGACTAAAGAGAGATACGTAGAGACGGTGACGTACATAACAATCACTCAGTCCAGACAGATGTCTTGTGGCTGAAGATTCTGGTGCCAGGAGCGCATGCTTGAGAAGCCTTCTATACATCCACAGAAAGGGGGGCGCTTTGCCTCCGGGAGGGTGGGGAATGTGTTGAATGCGACATGCTGGTGCATGCGGGGATCTCAAAACAGGACTTGGATGTGAAAGAGGGAGCATCTGGAAATATTATTATAAAGTCCAGTTTCAGCATCAACATGGGGAGGACAAGCGGGAGGACAGAGAAAGAGCGAAAGGGGAGACGTCGGCGACGTCAGAGGGATTGGCCAATTGAAGGGGGTATTTTTGGTACGCAGTGCAACCACGCATAGTACCGTTCTTGGAATTTGCTAACCAGGATGGAGACGCCGGTATGACGATGCTAGCGAGAAGAAGGAAGACTAATATGTATATGGTAGGTTCGAAATAGAATTATTAATGTACTTTAACAACGACAGTACTACTAATTGATTGTTGAAGATATACGATGGGCTGTATCTTTTTTTTTCGCCTCCTACAGAGGAAAGGGGATGCAAAGACATTGCTTTAAACGCATAAAAGATGAATGGAGCTTGAAAGAGTTGAACCGTGTCGTCAAGGATTCTGATCGCGATCGAGTGGCTGTGGAAGGCGCAAATGAATTTGAAATTTTAAGCGGGCCGTAGGGTTGACACGGATCTGGCTTGTCAAGGGGAGAGAAGGGGTCGATGAGCCAGCAGACCATTTCACGAGACGACTGCCAGCACCACATTCTTCCGTGCTTTCTCCCTCCTTCAAGATGATTGACTTCACGGGACTCTACGCCTTGTGCGTCTCCCACTTCTTCATGCTCTTTCGACGCGTCTTCGTACCGACAGCTACCCTGGGTGTAGGTGTTCTCAGTGCCCCGAGCGGCTTCCCAGCTACAGGAAACGGTCTCTGGTATACGACTGCTGCTGGCACTTGGTCCAAGAATTGGCTGCCTATTGGGAATGGCTACCTTGCTGCAATGGTCCCCGGTGGAACGCATGTCGAGGTTACCCAGTTAAATATTGAGTCCCTGTGGAGCGGTGGACCATTTTCTGATCCAGTATGTTGCGGCTATTGCACTCCCAACTCCTTTTTCTTGTTTTCTTTGGGCTGATGATCGTAGACGTATAATGGCGGGAACAAAGACCCGTCACAGCAGGCTTCGTTGGCAAATTCAATGCAGCAAATCAGGGACACCATATGGACAAGTCCAATTGGCGAGATTGCAGGTGAGTCTCCATCGCTGATATCCCGTATTCAGCTAAGCATATCATACAGACATCGATGTTCTCGGCGTCGATGCTGTCGCGTACGGTATGTTCTGTAAACTTGAAAGTATTTCATTTGTTAAAGAATATCAAGGATCCTACGCTGGCGCTGGACATCTAATCACCACCCTCAATATCACCGACAGCGTGACCGCGAACTATACCCGATGGCTTGATCTCGACCAAGGCGTTGCTAGGACTTCGTGGACGCAGGACGATATTTCATACCTCCGTTCATCATTTTGCTCTCATCCGAGCAAAATATGTACTCAACATCTGACTACAACAAGCAACTCGACCCTCCCCGCTCTGTCTTACGCCTTCACCGCTTCCATCGAAAGCGGGTTGCCACAAGTGAACGTGTCGTGTCTTGATGGTACGAATAACGCACTTGTTGTTCAAGGTGTTGTTGCGGAACCGGGAATGGCATATGAATTTATTGCGTGGGCCGAGTCCGACACAGGTGCAACGACCTGTATTCCTAACGGGACAAACGCGACCCTCGTCGTGGATGGAGCCAACGAAGCCTGGATCTCATGGATTGGAGATACCGAGTTTGACCAGGATGCCGGAAATCAGGCGAACGCGTTCTCCTTTAAGGGTGCCGATCCGCATGAGAAGTTACTTCCTCTCTTCAACAAAACTTCATCGGTATATGCGGATGTCTGGAAGGAACATCTTGATGATTATACCACGTTGATGGGCTCCTTCACACTGGACCTGGGTCAAACCGTAGATCTGGAGAACCCGACAGATGTGCTGAGGGCAGCGTATCAGGTCGGCGTTGGAAATACTTACCTGGAGTGGCTGGCATTCAATTTTGGGAGGTACTTGTTGGCTGGTAGTGCGAGGGGACTTCTACCGGCGAATTTACAAGGCAAGTGGGCAGATGGATTGAGTAACGCCTGGGGAGCAGATTATCGTACGTGATTTTTGTCGGACAGTGAAAATATTGTTCTTGACGATGTCCAGATTCCAATATTAATATTCAGATGAACTACTGGATCGCTGAAGCCAGCGGAATGAACGTAACTGCTTCGTTGTTTGACTACTTTGAGGTGGAGCATTCTCCTGAAATCTGTAATACCTCATATTGATGCGCCGAATAAAGAAAAACTGGGCGCCCAGAGGAGCTCTCACGGCGCAGGTCTTGTACAACATTTCTCGAGGATGGGTAACACATAATGAGGTACAATCCGCTTGCCAGTGTAGTTAACGTAGACTGACCGGTCGTCATGCATAGATGAATGTGGGTATGACGCATTATCATGGGAATGATGCTGATAGAAATACGCGGGTAGATTTTCGGACACACGGGAATGAAAGCTGGCGATGCACAGTGGGCTGATTACCCTGGTGGGTTTTTCTTTTCTTCCCTTCTTATTTGTTCTAAGGCCCAGAGCAGAATCGAATGCGTGGATGGTAAGTACCGGTATTCTCATCTGAAAGACAATTTAGCCTCAGAAATAGATGGTTCACGTGTGGGACCATTTTGATTATACCCAGGACGTAGCGTGGTGGCAGGCGCAGGGGTGGCCCTTGATCAAGGTAGCTTCGCTTCATTTCTTGGTTCTTCTCGATGATAAATATCTGCAGGGTGTAGCTAGTTTCCATCTAGACAAACTGATTGAGGACGAGTACTTCAAGGACGGCACGCTTGTCACAGCCCCATGTAATTCGCCAGAACAAGTTCCTATTACCCTTGGTGTGTCATTTTATACGTGTATCCGGCAACTGGTTTTTATACTTGGATAGGTTGTGCTCACGCGCAACAACTGATCTGGCAGCTATTCAATGCCGTGGAGAAAGGGTACCCTTTCTCTGGTGACAACGACCCGGCCTTTTTGGCGGAGGTACTGGACAAACGGTCGAGAATGGATAAAGGTATCAAAGTGGGAAGTTGGGGGCAATTGCAAGAATGGAAGATTGAAAAGGATTCACCGACAGATACCCATAGACATCTTTCACATCTGATTGGGTTGTACCCTGGATATGCCGTTGGGGCTTTCAATGACTCGGTTACAAATGTCACGGCGGACCAGGCATTAGCCGCTGCAACGGTCAGCTTGATTGCAAGAGGCAATGGAACAGGTCCAGATGCAGATGCGGGCTGGGAGAAGGCATGGCGTTCCGCGTGCTGGTCTGCGTTGAAGAATGCGTCGCAGGCGTGGTGGGAGTTGACTGTAATGTGCAATTTCGTGCAATAATTCTTTTTTGGCTAATATCGTTCTCGATAGTACACGATCGACAGAGACTTTGGCCCGAACTTGTTCAGCTTGTACGACCCCTCGAGTTCGGATCCAATTTTCCAGATCGACGCCAATCTCGGTTTACCGGGTGCTCTGATGGTTTGTCTCCTGAAGTCTCTTCTGTGTCCTCGTCGACCCGTTTGATTTTATTTCGCAGAACATGCTTATCCAGTCACCTGACGTTGCTTCTCGGAACGACACCTTGCTCATCAAGATTCTGCCTGCGTTGCCCCAGGCGTATGCCGCAAGAGGTCGCGTAACTGGGGCACGCGTCAGGGGTGGGCTGGACGTTTGGTTTGAATGGGCAGATGGACTTGTTGGGAGAGTAGATGTTGATATGGCGAGGGTAGGCGTCTTCAGTGAAGGTAGGAAGGTGCGAGTCGAAGTAGGTGCCAATGGTGACGTCAAGGGCGAATTTGTACTTCAGAGTGGAGGAAGGGTTACATTGACTTGAAGGTTTGATTTAATATGGATATTATATGGGTAGCAGTGGTTCGGACACGTACTAATGACATGCAATGAATGTACTGGCCACAAATGCAAGGTGGGACTCAGCAACGATAGAAGTTAGAACTAGATATAGCGGCACAGTGTAGCATCAGTGCAAGTGAGAAATTCTCACTACTCCCGGGTCTGTATGCCTATGAAGGAGAAAACCCTAAGTAAAGTAGCCGAAGACGTAGAATAAATGCCACTTTTCCGTGGAATAGCACAAGACAGTGTCACCCGAGAATCTGCAATCCTCAGGTCCTTGGACTTGAAGAAGAGAAAGGCTGCCAAATAGGCGGAATTTCCTCAGAGCGAAATGTCCCTTGTCACGGTACATGAATGCGGTTACTACAGTCTCAAACAGAGTGAACGCTTCAGTAAAGTTCAAGAATGCTATGTAAAAGCGAGAAGGAACTCATGACTGTTCTTTAAGGAAAGAGGCATATTCCGGCGCGTGCTGTTCTCTTTAGGAAAGAATAAGGAGATATTGTACGTGATTCTGGCGCTTCTGATGTTTCGTATTATTCCGTTGAACTGAAGGTAACTCGCGGCATCCTACACAAAGGTGAAAATGTTCTCAAAATGTAGAGACTCGTCTGCAGCCACTACGGAAGAGAGCATAACCTCTTCACTTACATTATTGATCCATCACAGCTGTCGCGCATGGAGTAATGCTGAACCCTTTCTCTTTCTGCCTTTTCAGCCGAGAGTCGTTTGATCCAACAGTATGAAACAGAACATTACAGTCGAAGGATGAGACCAAGTCGTCGATGCGCCTCGTGAGTAGTGATGGACCTGAAGCAAACGTCATTAGTCTCCGTCCCTCCAATGTGGTGGAAACGGCTGCAATACAACTGATGCATCTCCAGTTGCCACCAAAAGGGCCTGGGACTTGCGCAAATAAGCATTACTTGTGAAAACTGGTCGTACCTTGGTTATGTGGTGTATCTGAACTGGATAGCACGTTTAAAGAGACAGGCATACCTCAATAGCTTTATAAATCCATCCGGAATGATAAATATTGCGGGTAAGAAACATGCAAGTGTATAGAGCGAATAATAATAACTCAGTCGTCTTCAATGACGATAACGTCGTCCTGATGATTGCTTCGTGTGCGCCTCTTATTCCTTGAAGGAGCATCCGCCTCCACTGAGGCCTCTCGCTTCCTGCGACGGCGTTCTGGGGAATCATCGTCAGAAATCACGATCAGTTCGTCATCTGTCACCGGCATAACAGGTGCTTTTTGTTTTTCCTTTCCTTTCAAGGAAGATGCGGTGACGGGCGGAGGTGGCTCGGGTCGTGCATATAGTTGTGTCCAGCGACGAGCGGTGTCATCGTAGAGCTTGCGATTCTGAACATACTGTGTAGCAATTCCAGGAACTGAAGACATATGAGTACCAAAGGGAGGCTAGAATTGTTGGCATACCGAGTGGGTCCTCTGTAAAGTAATTATTAGATGATAAGACATGTCTGAATAACGACGCGTACTGGGATTGGGATCTGTCAACAGCGATGATAAAGATAACATCACTTTAAAGAGGGATAGTGCAGGTGACCAGTTGTTCTTAAGAATGTCGATGCATATATTCCCTTGATCTGAAATCTGCACACAACATGTAGCGGTCAGTGGGGACAAGGGGTAGCGCAACTCACATTCATGTGGTATATCCTGCCGGTAGCTCAGCACGGCGCGTAGAAATAGCACATCCGACATACCTCGTCTTGAAAACGACTCTCGGTGCTGTGAACCTAGTGGCGAATAAGATGATTGAATCCGAACAAAAGACGACACACGGATAATCATGCGCAAGAACGATATCGACGTCAAACGATCCTCCTTCGTACACGCTACTCTCAGGCCCAGGTAAAGATCCTTTCCACAAGAGCAGATTGTCCGTCGGGGCGAGCTTAATATTGCCCATGTCCTCCTTTTGAACGTCCGCGATTTCGCGGTGGATGCGCTTGAGTGTCATCTGCTAAAAGTGAGATCACGGATGATGATACTGTAAAAGGGCCGTACGGCGGAGGTGGTGAACGCCATAACTGACGGCGGTAAGAAAGGAAGCCTTGTTTCCTAATTCGTCGTATACCGACAGTGGCACATTTGAGACTCCGCTCGAAGTAGTGGTATCTCTCACTAGAGTGACAGGCAATGGTATCCGAATATACATATACGTGTAGGATAGATGCATGTTACCGTACAGACATTGGACACAAAAAAATTGTACGCGTAGCCTCAATTTCAGACCGTTAATGGAGGTTTCAGTGGGCCAATTTAGTGGATAGCTACTTGCCCCACGTTGAAGCATGTTGGGAGAATAGATATAAATATGACGGGTGTAAGGACCGTCAGTAAGGGTAGAAAAATTCGAGTAAAAGTGGATGCCAACGGTGATATTAAGGGCGGATTTGTGGTAGAAGGATCACATGGAACTGAAAGACTTTTTGATTATTAAAATATAGGCAGGAGTAGTTTGATTGTCTTGTAGTGAATGTAAAAAAATTGTCAAAATGCCCGGTGCGACACAGGCAGTAAAGGGACTAGTCGAAAATGAGCACCAGTACCAGTGTAGGTGAGGTTTTTCCAGCCGCGGCTGGGTCTGGACGCCTCTGTTGCCCCAGGAGAGACCCTAAGTGAAGTCGCCGACGGTGTAGAACAAAGGCCGCCTTTCGTGGAAGAACACAAGGCGGCATAACTATGCAGCGGCCCCATCGCCCCTTCCGCAGGCTCTCGGGTCGTTGGAAGAAGCGAAAGCAAAATAGTAGCTGACGAGAGAGAAAAGGTGTTCTCAGTGGGACAGTTTTCATTTCAGTCGTCCATGAGTGCAGTGTTGTAAGACCAAGACCCGGTAAATTGAGCAAGGACTCACCAAAGTTCAGTCAGTCTCACTTTTAGCGTCTTCTCGGAGGAAAGCAAGCGATATAATAGCTTGAAGCGGCTCATGACGCTGAGATCCATAATATTCCTGTTCGTCCGAAAGCTTCTAGAAGCGAGCAGGGATACGAGGTCGTTTTCTATGATTCCAGTCGGTAGTTAAAACTTACAAGTTCAATTCCGAATTGTACACCGCCAATCGCCGGATTTTTCCGACTTTTTGGACAACGTAGAGATGAAAGAATTGCTTGGGATTCCTTTGTACTGATGGGGGGGAGGTTGGTGGGTCTTCGATCAGTGGAAGAGTACGCTTCAGTTCCCTACCCACAGAGATCAATTAAGGGAGAAATCTTCGAGACTGCCAAGCACCCTGAGTACTCTGGGCAGGCGCCACTCTCTAGCAACTGATTGTAACCGTAACATTCCAAGGAATACGAAATGACTGGCGAAAGTCTCTAAGCCGCTCCGCCTCGACCACAACTTGACGACCTTGGAGACGGTGCCTCCCTGAACGGCGTTCATGTTATTTTTAATGGCAGCAAGGAAGGATTTATTCGTTCTAGTTCTGTTCGTGTCACTGTTGTGCCGTTAAGCGGAGTAACTAACTGCGGATGAGTACGATGGCATGAGAAGAAAATGAATCTAACCTGCAGCGATAGAGTGACAATCGAATACATGATCTTCCTGTGACTGAACGAATTCAGATCTCTTGATTAGGAAGATAGCGCCATCGTCGGTGATCATAAGCATTGAGAAGGATAGGCTTCGAAGCCTTGACGATGAGATTGAGATTGTGGTCCAGATCGTAGTCACGACCACAGTGCACCCGTGCGCTTGCACCAGGTCAACGCGTATACGCATCAGTTTCGGGATATGTGATATGTTGCACGGAAGGTGCTCGGCGCGAGGTTTCAGCGCGTATAAAAGTCATCGTCGATGGGAAGAAACTTCACCATTCGACAATCGACAATGTTGAAACTCAGTGCTATTCTCCTTACTCTTGGATCCTCAGCCCTTGCTGGGTACGTCCAGAAAGCCTCTGGAAACGCGTCTTTCACCTACTATTCGGGCTGCTCGTCGCCTGGTGGGTGTGGTCCTTGTTGCTGGATGGCGCTCTTCGTTGACTCCTTTTGTACACAGCCTGTGGAAAGACCGCAACAGGCTACACTGCTGCGATGAACCAGCTCGCATTCGGAGCCTCTTCGGGCTTGGGTGCTGGAGACGCGTGCGGTAGATGTTTCGCGATTACAGGTTTATTTCTGCATGTTCTTTGTATTGCGTTCGTTGGTCTGATTGGTGACTTGTGTAGGCACGGAAGACCCGTATAGCACCTCGTACAGTGGACCTTTCTACTCGATCGTCGTCAAGGTGAGCATCCGGAAGAACAGCTTTTTTCTTTGGCCTCTAACACGAAAACCATGGCAGGTAACCGATCTTTGCCCTGTCTCTGGGAACGAGGAGTGGTGTGGACAGACGCAGTCAGATTTGACAAACGAGTGGGGCATGCCATTCCAGTGAGCTTTTCTCGTCAAAGATCATCAAGCTTCGCTCAACCATTTGCCCTCACAGCTTTGACATTTGCGAAGATACTGGAGGATCGTCCGCGTTCTTCCCCTCGAGCCATGGTGCATTGACTGGAACATTCGAAGAGGTCGAGTGCTCGGAATGGACTGGTTCTGACGGTAGTTCATTGTGGACTGGAGCTTGCTTGGATGGTGAGGATGCGACTTTCTGGCCTACGGTCGACGGTTGCGGCAACCAGGGTACTGCTCCGTGAGGAGGGGCTGGAATAGCTGTTGCGTGGTAGCTACGAGATATTTAACTTCATGTCCCGGTGATATGCTATAATGTTTCTTGCCCATTTTTCTCAAACAATCCTTGCAGTCGTTGACAACGCTGCACCACTCTTAGATTACTGGCAACATACCTTTGATCGCGAGTCAGCTCTAAGCGTGCAGGATCATTCTACGGGCGACCAAGAAGGTTCACGAGTAATTGATAACAACAGTTGATCTCCAAGGCCATGCCTAAACTTAGTGCTTCAACAAGAAAACAGGGAAGGAGAGGGGTCGAACATACTCTGATGTAGATAAAAAAAAGTGATGGCGTGATATGAACGGCACAAGGGACAACAAGGTCGGTTTGAGGGACAAAACTGCTGAAGGTATGGTCGAGCGCAAACTCGACAGTATTATAAGCATCGGCATATAATATGATACAATAGAACCATCCATGGAACACCATCAGATCATAGATATAGTGATAAGATGCTATGTCTTGAAGATGACAATCAACACCAACAGCACGAGTATGAGTATCCCGATGGTCACCGTTGAGCCTAGGAAGCCAAAGCCTGTTCAAGAAGAGAGAATCAAAATGAGAAGAAACTCGCCATTTCCCTTCACGCCTTTAGATACCCTCTCCAAACTCCTCCTTGCAATGCTCAGCCTGGAATGTGTTGTGTCAAGGTCCTGATCAAGTCCGTCAAGGAGGGCGGTGTGGGTATCCAATTCCGAGCTTATCTGCAAAGAGACATCTCTCTGCCTGTTTATTGAATGTGATAGTGCGTCTAGGTGGTTATCTTGGTCTAGTTGACGGAATATGGGGGTCAATACTGAGTGAACAATTCAAATAACGAGGACGTACCATCCATCAACCTCCTTTGCTCCTGCAGCATGATCCCAGCCTCTAAATCCGGGTCTGGGTCATCCGTGTAAGGTATGTAGACTTGTTCTTGTGACTTGCGTGGTGTTGGAGGTGGTGGCAGTTCCCTTTCATCTTCGAGACTACGTATATGGTGAAATGACACGAAATAGAGAACGTCAATAATACTCACATCTGACCACCAACCATCCCCCTCATTCGTTCGTACTGCTGCCTTAGCCCATTGACTTCGCTGCCGCTACCCAACTCCCGTATTCCATCCCGTAGGGCTTGCATGTTCCCTTGGATACGCTCATCGTGAGCTGCAGCGGCATGGGGAAACCGTTGACGTTCGAGAATAAGCGAGAGGGTCTGTGTAGAGAGAGAGGTTAGTTTGTTTATTGATGACATCCGTGGGCAAAAACAGAGAGAGGGACGGGAAGAAAGGAGACGGGATGATGGTGGCCGGTCGTTGGTGAGAAGTTACGTCACGTGCTGTTCTCAGGCTTCACCGGTATCGCCAACGAGGACGACGACGACGACGACGTATACGGCCAAGATGTGACAAAGCACCACTACGCCAAGATGGGAATACTCATGTGGACGGGAACAGTTGCCGGCAATATAGGATAAAAGCAAGTCGACTGCGAATATCACCGATTCCATCGATAACGATGACGCTTCCCCGGCTGGCAAGTGCACTGGTGACCGAGTCGCTCGTCGCTGCGACTTACGGCGACGACAACGACAGAAAGACGGCAACGCTTTCGCTCAATGGGACCGACCTCGCCAAAATCCCGTTGATAAGCAAGCCAATCTTATCTGGAGTCGATACTATCAAACTGCTCGACCCGCTCGACGTTGATCCATCTTACACTGATGCCGATCTGGTCAGGATATGGACACAATTCTCGTCATTGTCAGGACTGTCGGAGGAGTCGAGCGCTTCCATCCTGTCAGAGCTGGTGAGCGCGTCGGAATGGTTTGGACGGGACACCAAGGACGGTGGGGCTTTCCCGACGCTCTCGTCACCGGCCATTGCGTGGGAACAGTCGGTGATGGGTGGGCACCCGACACACCCGATGCACAAGACGCGCGCCCCACTCCCGCCCCTCCGCCTGGACCCGTCGTACAACCTTCTCCATCCCCGTCTGAGGCTGATCCACGTTCCGCCTACATCTATCCTCACAACCGGGCCGTACCACGACCTTATCGCTCCCTTCATTGCGCGCTTCCCGACATACACAGTCCCGGCGGGGTATGTTCCTGTTCCCGTTCACGAGCTTCAGATCGCCCATATAGCCGCCAACTTTCCCGAAGCAGTCATACATCCACCCGCAGTTTCCTACCCTGTCGAGGCACAACAGTCTCTACGGTCAATTATTGTTCCAGATCTCGATAATGGACTTCATTTGAAGCTACCACTAGGTATCAAACTGACGAGCGCTGTGCGGACCATTTCGCCAGCTTCAGCGTATCTCGGACCGCGTTTTTCTGCGCAGATAATCCCCAAACTCACATACGATCGAACTATCCTAACTGTCGCAGAGGAGCCTGTCTCGCTCATTGGTACACATCCTGACCCTCTCGTTGCTCGACACCTTGCCTGTCTCATCCGGCAAGATCATACTGTCAACTCCAACTCGAGAACCATTGACATCGTTTGCACGGCCCTCGTCGATACTTCTTCCCCACAAGCCATTTTTGGCCTTATTACGAAAGAATCACGCGTCGCCTGGCTCTCAAATTACATTGACATTCTCCTTCGCGCCTTTCTCCCGCCCCTGATCATCAATGGCGTTGCATTCGAATGTCATCCCCAGAATACCGTTGCCCGTTTCTCATCCGAAGCCCCCCACAAGCTCGTCGCGTTCATCGTCCGCGATTTCGGTGGATTAAAGATACATCCTGCTACCCTTCTTGCTTCCGTTTCAGAAGCAGACCTTACTTTCGTTCATCCCGCCCATTCCATCCTAACCGAAACGATAGATGCGGTCTGGACGCGGACGTATCATACTGTTGTGCACAACCATCTCCAGCAGCTCATACGTGTTATGGGTCTTCATACAGGCGGCGAAGGATACGAGCTGCTCCGCGTACATCTTGCAAAGTTTGTTCCTCCGACGCATCCGTGGTTCACCGAGCCATATGTTGAGGGGAAGTGTTTCATGCGTATGCGTATGCAGGGTATGGATCGATGGGTGAGCGATGCAGTGTTTTGATACAGCTCTTGTTCTAATTCATCTGTAGCATCTACACGGGCCATTCCCGAATCTCGTCCTCTTCCGAGGAGAAGAGCTGGGTATACTCATGGAGAAAGGAGATGGACAGTCCGTCGAGAAAGCCCGGGCCGACGAACAAGTCACAGCCCTTGGCCCATCTAGTTGGGTCAAAGTGGCGTAAACTGTGTGTAGGCACAATTTTCCTTTATCTTGATATTTGGTCGTCCTTATAAATCTTCCATGCTATGTTATCCCTACAATTGTTAAATACAAAGAGGAAAAAGAGTGTGTGTGTTACAATTGAGTTGGTTTTGGCATTATTGGTACTTGATTGTTTTGGAGGTCAAAGTCGTCCTGCGGCTCCGCTGACCGAAACCTTTCTCCTTTTCCGCTACGACTTCTTCCCTGAGGTTGTCACCACCTTCGTCATCATGCCGTCTCAGTCAACGCTGAGCAAGGAAGAGAAGGACAAAGTCAAAGCTGCTATTCCAGTCTCCTCAAACAGGATTTTCTGCGCTACGCTTGCCCGAGTCTACTACGCTTATCCGCAGCCGAACGAATGGTCGTATTCTGGTCTTCAAGGTGCTCTCGCGTTCTCCAAGAACAATTCAAATGGTGCATTGTCGTTTAGGCTTGTAGATTTGAGTGGTACAAGAGGGGTTATATGGGAACACGAGTTCTACGACGGTCTGGAATACTCTGCGGACAGGGCGTTCTTCCATTCATTTCCTGGCGATGCAAGCGGTTCTTCTCCTTTGGATCGGCATTATGCTTACCGTGCTTTACTCTCTAGGACTCCATGATAGGATTCGTGTTCTCCAATGAATCAGAAGCCAAAGATTTGTGGAAGAAAGTACTGGAAAAGAAGGACAAGAAGCGCAGTACGTCGCATCGCTCAGTTCTTTTAATGTTATGTTTTCTGAATGTTCTTGGTAGCGCCTAAGCCGGAGACGGAGAAGAAGAAGAAGAAGGCAAACAAAGGGGGCAAGATAGACAAGTCTATGATTTCAGGACCAACGTCCGGCTCGTTCGTCCACGTTGCGCATATGGGCTACGATTCCGAGTCCGGCTTCACTTCAGAGGGAGTCGACCCGACATGGATGACAATCCTTGCAGGACTAGAAAATTCGGGTATCGCCAAGGAAATGATAGCAAAGAACATGGACTTTATCGAGGACTTCGTTCGTTCATACCCTCAACAGCAGCCAGCAGCAGCGAAAGAGCCCAAGAAACCTCCACCGCCGCCACCGCCTTCACGGAAAGCTCACGGCCAGAATGACAGTGTCAGTGTTCCGCCGCCACCGCCACCATTACGGGGACGACCTCAACTGCCTCCTGCATCTGCACCTGCACCTTCTCCACAGCCCCCTTCCAGAACTCCACCGCCACCGGTCCGCCCACCTCCGGCTGCTACCAATGCACCACCGCCACCTCCGACGCGCCCGCCAGTCCGAGCAACCCCAGGACCGCCTCCCCCCCCGGCCCGGCCAGTGAGCTCAGTCGCTGTGGCTCCTCCTCCCCCGGCCCGTCCATTGGGTATATCAATTCCTCCAGCTCCTCCAGCATCACCACTGCCAACAGGAGGTGCTGCTATTTCTTCTGCCCCTTCTCCTCCTCCTCCTCCACCACCACCACCACCACCACCTACAGGAGGTGCTCCTCCACCTCCCCCTCCACCGCCGCCTCCTCCCCCTCCAGCTGGAGGTCCTCCTCCTCCCCCACCTCCTCCAGCAGGCGGTAGCGGAGCCGTCACAGGGCTACCTCCTCCTCAACCTGGACGCGGAGACCTTCTCGCTTCGATTCAAGGAAAGGGTATCCACTCGCTTCGAAAGACAGAGCCCAATTCTCCACCGCCTTCTGGATCGTCCCGGGGGGAAGAAGTTGCTACCGGTGCGACTATGGGTGCAGCTGCAGGTGTTGGCGCCGCCGCAGGAGGGGATTTGACCTCTGCATTGGCTGAGGCATTACTAGCCAGAAATAAGAATATGGGAGACAGCGATGATGATGACAATGATGATGATGATGATGATTGGGACTAATCCAATACTTATTATTCTGTGCTAGATAGTTGCTCTGGTAGATATAGGCCCTCTCGTGTATACAGTAACTTTACTGATGTCCCTGACTCAAATGTCGGTCTGACACTCTTACTGCATGCGAAAGAAACTGATGATCATCACGATCTGTTTATTGCGGATCTCGCGGCTTCTACAACGTCGCAACAGTTCTTGGCTTTTTAATTAACTGAATATTTGACGGCACATATTTTCAACTTAAAGCTTTGTTATAACCTTGTTTTTTTCACGCTCATCTGCGCAGGAAATCCGAAAGCCCTAGGCTTACTCAAAGATATCAACTACCCTCACCTTTTGCGGTCATATATCGAGTCACTTTCCGTGATCCAACGAACTCTATCTCTCCCATCCACCGCCCGCGCCCAGAAGCATCGCTCCAGTAAAGCTGCTGCTACCTTTGCACTCGGTCTCCCCGACGCCATAGATGGGCAAGTCATGGCTTTATCTTTACATAAATATTAGATTCGGGAATCGAAGACGAAACTAGCCTTTCAAAGTCTCCGTGGTTTATAACTTTGTGCTCGAGTCGGGAAATGTATGATTCAACATGAGGCGCGTACTTTGTTTAAAAAAACTTTCTGTGCACGATGACACCGTCAAATTGGGATCTATATTATTAGGCCCATCTATCAACCGCGCGATTTCCACCAGTCGTTAACTATTACTTCGACATCATAATCGTACTGTGCTTCACTATCCTGGCCCACGCTGCTACGCTTGCCAGCCATGGTGACCTTCAACGCTTCATCCCTCGCACGTTGTTCAGGTCCATCAGGGAGATGTAAACTACTCTTATCCTCCCAGCAACCATCAGCTGTGGCCATGGCACGAGGATTCCGGAGAGATTCATATGCTTCCAAGAGAGTGGGTATTTGATCCTTGCTCGTAAGGCGGACGAAGAGGTTGCCGAGGACAGCCGCGTCTTCGATCTGGGAGAACGTCATTAGAAATCAAGAGCAGAGAGGACGAGGAACACCTACGGCCATAGACGCTGCTTGGGCTCGGTATGGCTGTCGTAAAGGAATGGATTGCTAACATGGTAAGGACTGGGGAGATATCACTTACCAGCATTGGATGACAGGCATCTCCGACAAGAGCAATACGACCGTTCTTGTGTACCCAGGATTTGAGCGGGGACTCGAGAACTTTGAGAGATCCTACAATGCCAGATGGTATGAGATCTATTAGTTTGCCGATTCTTGGTTCATGTTCAGCATCTTGGATATCACGAAGAAAAGAAAAAGACTTACCGAGGGTCCCAATCAGCAAACTCTTTCTTCATCTTTTCGATATCCCCTGGTCGAGTCCACGGAATGGCGGTCTCCTCTGTTTCGTCCGGATGCAATAAAACAACATTGCATTCGTTCAGGCCCTAAAGACGCGCGTTGTTAATGGCGTTACCCTCTCAAAGACGTTTGCAAAACGCACAATGGAATACATGACCAGGTGGCGTTCGGGTCCTAGCCAGACATTAAGCTGTGGCTTTTCAACGAAAGGACGAAGGTCTGGATCGAGCATCATCCTATCTACATCGACGACAGACCGGAAAGCTGCGTCTCCGCTTCGTACAGCATGGGTAGGCGAGCCCACCACGACGTTTCGCGTTAGGCTATTAACGCCATCAGCTCCGATGATCATGTCCGCTTGGATAACTTGTCCCGTGTTCAGGGTAACAGAAGTTGTGTCGGGGTTAACAGACGCCACCTTGGTATTGAAGCGAAGGGTCGCGAGAGGGGCGGTAGCTTCGTGAAGCATATTAACAACATCGCGTCTCTAGATTCGTCGCAAGTAAGCGCTGTGAAAACCCACGGCGCGGAGAGATAGTACACTCACGTGTATATCATAGCACGGGCTGCCGAATTCTTGATAAGGATAATAAGCTAGTTGCTTGCCATTGTCATCTGTGAGAGGAATCATTTATAGAGAGCGGTTCGACTGAGAGGAACATACAGCGAAGAAAAGACATATGCGTAGGTAACACTCCAGCGTTGTCGAGGGACGGTTTGAGACCCCATCGAATGAGAAGGCGCGATGTATCTGGACGACAGATAAGTAGGTATCACGCAAAAGCGTGGTTAGATACTGACTGGGACCGACCTGGATTCCTGCACCAATCTCTTGAAGATCAGATCTACCTTCTAGTACGGTGATAGTATGACCGGCTTTGGCCAAACAAAGCGCAGCGCAAAGACCAGAAATTCCGGCTCCAATAATGACGATATTCAACCGGCATGGTGCAGTTGCTCCATCGTAGAGTGTAGATTCCTGAAAGACGACACTTTCGATCAACGAGCTGATGCGTATCCGAGAAAATGTAACACTGACTGTGATTAAGGAGTCAGACATTTGGTTGGTAGCGTGTTGCAATACAAAAAAAAGACGAGCTAAAGTCCATCACTTCATGCACTTTAAGTACTCGAGCGGGAACCGTGACCTGTGACCACTGAGCCTTGTGGATGCGATCATCTTCAGAACCTTTTGGGTGCAATGAACGGGAAAACAGCTCAATTTCTAACCGTGCATGGTAAAGAAGATTTAGTCAAAATGAAAAGTAGGTTGTAAATAACCGATGAGTTTTGGCTGATGTATGCCCGGGGTAGGACACATCAGTTAATCTCGAGCGGGCGAATATGCGCGGTGATATAGTGGCATTTGCATTTAGCCGGCCAGCATGGGAAAGTAGACTGAACTTGAGTGCAGATGCATCGTATTATAAGGGGGGGGGGGATGCGGGAATGGAGGAAAGCTATGGGACAGGATGTACGAGTTGGCCTTTGTAGGGTTGCTGACCTAGTGCTTCGGTATTGCAAGCATCGACTATTTGATAATAATTGGTGGTGTTGCTAGGTGTATTAATGTTCGGCATGTCAATAGTGGGATGAATTGACTAAAGAGAGTGCGTTTTGCCGAACACATTCGAGATGGAGGAGGCATGGTCCGGGATCATATTGAAGCACACCCGGCATCGAATCTGCAGCCCGTGCTCCGAGCGGCGCAGTAGATAAATACGTTGCACCGGTCGCGGTATTCAGTCAGAGCAAAAGGAGGGTCCTGGGGCGAGACATGTGCCTCCTTGAATCCTATGAGCATCCAGTCGCGGTGGCCGGAGTGGTGGTACGAAAACAAAAGTCGATGGAGAGATTTGATCCCGACTGGCCAGCACATCTCACGCAGTCATTCTCAGTCGCTTGCAGCAGAAGGGCCTACTCTGATAGGCAGCACTCCATGCATACCGAGCCGGAATGAGTCGATGTCATCCAACCCCACACCTGAAAGATGCTGACGATCGCCACCATTCTCTCCCACTCCCACTCCATCCATATCAGAGGAAATCGCGACCTTGCACACTCGTCCCTCTTCTTCGCCTCGAGCAACGTATATAGCCTGTCGACGTGAAGGCCATTCCAAACCAGGCACAAGTGCGGGCATGAATTCGCCGGACACCAAGCTCGTCAATCTCTCGACGTCGTTCTCATCTCTGTCCATTCGCGAGTATTGCCTGTGTACACCATCCGAGGAACTGCTCTCACTTGTTTGATCAACGTATATGGCTTGCCTTTGCGATGTCCACTCACTTCCTCGTCGTCGACTCTGCTTCTACTGGCATTCGCATACATTGCTTCACCCGAAATACTGTCTAAAACTAAATAATATGCTCAACTGTCGATAACAAACTCATCCACCTTGCCCAGTCCCACGAAAACTTCCATCCGCTCGACTATTTTTTGCCTGAAATCTCTGAAGTAAAATTCATGTCACAATTTACCATCTCTCACCGCATCGTTCCGCAATCCATGGCGTCTTCAGATGATTTCAGCCATAGTTCTATGCGTGGGCATGCTCGTTTTCCCTCAAAAGTCCTCGCTAGTTGTTCGATCATAACATGGACACCATCTCGTACTACTGATGACTTCATTCTGGCCCACTGAATTTATTCATCTAGAGAACAGGAAACTTTGACGGTTCTCGCTGATTTTCATGGTGGTGGTGACCCCAACAACGAGTTTGTTATGCCAGAGTACGAAGAAATCAAGCAGCAGGTTGTCTCTGAGAGAACCGAGGGTGCCAAGTCATACCTTGATCTGCTTAAACTGGCATGCCTCAGCGTGTTGGTCCCGGAATGGCTCTCCAAATGTGGTCTCAACTTACCGGTGTGAACGTCATGATGTATGTCGCTCGGCATTGCTATGTAATAGATCTCTAGCGAGAATTCCAATAGGTACTGTAGCGTCTATGTCTTTGAAGGCGCTGGTCGTTGCTGAAATTTCATCTCAGTGGTATGTTATGTCGCTTCTAGACCTGCATGTGACTCTGACTGATCTTTTAGTCTGTTTAATACGTTCTCAATGTGGCCCCTCACTGTCCCGGCCATCATGTACATTGACAAGTGGGGCCGCCGCCCGATGCTTCTCTTCGGAACATTGTTCATCGGTTTCTTTCTCTTCCTTGTCGGCGGTCTGCAGGGGCATTTCGGTTACTGGGGTGTAGTTGATGGTGATTGAGCGTCTCACTCGTTGCAGTCATGTCTTCACGTTATATTCGACACGATAATGAAGTGTTGGAGTTAACGAGGTAGGAGCACGGATGTGGTGAACGAGGAAAAAAGTTTTCGGAAGAGAACGGACGCTAGGATAAAACGTTGTAATGTTACTACATAGGTGATAAGTAAATACGGTCAAGGATAGATATGTATAGAAGGTACTCACATCTCAGTGTTATGGTTGAAAGCTGAGATGTGTGGAATGGTGTGACATGCTGAAAAAGGAAGGAATATCAAATAGGTAAGTGAACATGTGCGTATCGTACTATTCCTACGTCTAACATGAAGTCCCGGAATCGAAAGTGTTGGAGGATATCCGTACGTTTCATCTTATCTTACTTTTTGATCACTCGCTCTATTTGCCTTATATATACTTACACCCCCTGTCGTTTCCCG